ATGATTGCATCTCGGAAACGAAACGTCAGATTGAAAATCGAATAACATCAACTTATAGAGCAAGAAAATTAGCAAGAGGAATGTAAAAATGTTATTGTCATATCCGTTCAAACAGAGTCAGAAAAGAATAAAAACAAAATCGAAAAAATTCGGTTTTCCCAAAAATATCTTGGGAAATAATCCAATGAATTCTGATCATATCACCCCTAATTACAATTCTATTCAACCCCATAAGCTTTAATGCGAATATATAACATCGAAATATAAAATCCCCAGAAAAATCATCCCCTCGTCTATCTCGACACCCCCTACAAAAAGCACATTTTTGACCGCCAGTCACCGACAACTTTATTGATTGAAATACGGTGTCAGCGAACGAACGAGGAAGCGGGGTGGACACATAGACGCAGGGGAAGGGGGCGTAATGGCGGACAACACGTGCCCGAACGTCTAGCACTACCCTCCCCTCGAACAAGGGTAGTTTACCTCGTTAAAATGACCAAAAACAACGAGAACATGCCAGTAAATCTGCCAAAAAAGATCTTGAAATAGTTTTCTCGTAATAAAAAAGGGTAAAAACGAAAAAAAAAACTGGAACTTACGTTGGGGAGACATCATTCTGTAATGATGGGGCGGCGGAGGTAACAGGCATAGCCCCTCCTGTTTAACTGGACCCCCCGTAACATATCTCGACACCATGATTCAGCCCGCAGGCAAAATTTCCTTCCTGCGCTAGCACGGGCGGTGTTTCGATAACACGACCACCCTGTATATATTTCTGTCGCCGTACTGCACGCCGCACGACACGCACATCGTTTATTCGTCGAAGAAAAACCGGAAAAGTACCGAGATACGCTTGGAAAAAAATCGATATCTAAGGGCGAGTCGAGTGCACTGAAGATTTTCGCGATTTTTAACGAAATTTTCCAACGTTTTGAAACACCGACGGATCGAAGAAATTCGCGATTTTTTGGTGAAAAAAACGTAGAATTTTAAGAACGGGAACTTAAGGAAAAAATACGAAATTAAATCGACCACGCCATTGCACGATGTCCGTGTTGCATCTCTGAGAGGGCTGCTAGAGTCTACTTCTGATTTTGACCGTCGAACCGGCGCGGTTGCCACGTTGACACAAGGAAATATCCCGTGTCATTCACTTTAGGAAAGGCAAACGACACCAAAATATCGTGTTAAGCAAAACACACAAGGTTTTCGCACTTATTCAATTATACCCAGTACATACCATACGATCGAAAAAAAACGGCGTCAAAGGCTGGCGAATGACAATCGATGTTAGTTTTGGCAAAGTCAAGCTCTAGACGTCATTACTTAGCCCGTATTTTTCCTTATTTTTAATGGCACTGGCAAAAAATGTCTTTAAAAAGTCAAACAAATATAATTGTTTGTTTGAGAATATAGTCTGTAAAACGAATAACTTTGAATTTGACAGTTCCCGCAGACTTTTCTAGTGTTAATTTTATTAGGTTATCAACTTGCGGCCATGCTGACGCAATGCCGTCTCTAATAGAACAGCCTCAGAGGGAGATTTATGACGTCACGCTAGTTAGATACTACGGATTAATAAATATGTTGTAGAATACATGGAAAACATAATTATTCCTCGTATTTTTGGTTTGTATTTTAAAAATGATATAGTTTACATGAAATATACATAATATACAGATAATAAATACAATATATATACCTATTTATAGTAATAAATATTTTGGCAGATAAACTATAAACCATACAAATGCAGCAAATGTTTTACAATATGGCTGAAATCGTACTCCATAGTCAATGTAGATAGTTTTTGTGTTAAGAATAATAATTTAAAAAAATATGTTTAATATGTAAGTTTATATTAGTTTATAACATTATAATATATAAATAATTATAATATATAAATAAATTTTGTGATTGCAAATAATAATACACTATTAGTAGATATTGAATATTTTTTGTTAAATTAGATCGATTTTCAAACCCCAAAATTTAAAATATATTTTACATTTTACCCATTATCTTATGCACCAACTATTCATTATTTGTATATTGTAAAACATTTGCTGCATTTGTATGGTTCATAGTTTATTTGCCAAAGTATTTATTACTATAAATAGGTATATATTATATTGTATTTATTAACTGTATATTATGTATATTTCATGTAAACTATATCATTTTTAAAATACAAACCAAAAATACGAGGAATAATTATGTTTTCCATGTATTCTACAACATATTTATTAATCCGTAGTATCTAACTAGCGTGACGTCATAAATCTCGCTCCGTGACTGTTCTATTAGAGACGGCATTGGTCTAATATTTAGAAATGTCAAAAACTGATGACATTTTACTTTTGTCAATTATGACATTTCGTGTCGATTTTTGCAAGAAGAGGAAGAACTGTCACTTGTTTTATTATTTTCCTTTTCTATTTCACGAAAGTAAAAAGAGTTACTTATCTGATTCGTTCAGGCACTCAATTTAAAGAATATCAGTAACTTTTTTGACAGAGGGATTTTATATTTGCCATGTTGGTAAAAAATAAAGATCAAAATTCAAAGTTATTCATTTTATAGACTATAACATTATCATTTTGAATTATCTCTATCTTAAAAGCTTGGCATACACGTTTTCGTGGCTGGACTTATTTTAAAGCGAAAAAAAGCATATCAAATATGATCAAAAATGCTTATTTCTATTAAAAAACGGGAAAAACGGGATGTTAAAATTTAAAAAAAAAAAGATTGATTATTTTTGGCTATATCTGAAAATATGATGGAGATATTTGTACCAAATTTAGTAAACTGCATTTATTTTAGTTATATTTTATACTGATATGAAATATTCTTCCAAAACGTAAGTATTTCTATACCGGGTGCATCTCAAAAGTGGCTCACCCCTATAACTTTTTTATTTTCTTAGATAAAGAAACGAGATTTTGTATGTTAGTATATGACATAAATTAGGATTGATTGACGTATTCAATTGTTTTTGGTCACTTCCTGTTTCACTGGAAATGACTACAACTTTTGATTTCTAAATGACACACAAATGGTATATTTTTACTTTCTTCGATAGAAAATGTCACTCTGAATAGAATGTCATATCATATGTCAACATTTGTCATTTTCGCTTAACAAAATCGTATTTTAAATTTAAATCTAGTGTGCCATGGCTGTGTTAAAAACACTAATTTTTAATCAAGGAGTCTTGGAAAAATAGATTTGATCGCCTAATGTTTTTCGTGTCTCGTCCTGGCCAGTTAAAAGATGACCAAATCATATTTTCTATCATATCTCAATTTTTTCAAATGCAACCAGAGTGACTAATTAGTATATTCGGAAAAAGCATTTTTTTACGAAGAATTTGATACCACATACTTGGTATTTCGAGTCAAATTGGCGTTATAAACAGCATGTTACAATTTCAAATAAACCATATGCGAAAATGTCAAAAGTTGACATATGATATGTCATTTTATTCAGAGTGTCATTTTGTATCGAATAAAGTAAAAATATACCGAGGATGTTATTTAAAAATCAAAAGTTGTAGTCATTTCCTGTGAAACAGGAAGTGACCAAAAACAATTGAATGTGTCAATCAATCTTAATTTTTGTCATATACTAGCATACCAAATCTTGTTTTTTTATCTGAAAAAATAAAAAAATTATAGGGGTAATCCACTTTTGAGACGCACCCGGTAGACTGCTACTTAAAAGTGGGCCACCCTGTATAAAAACCAACTGAACGAAACACAAAATTACCTGAAAAATTTTGAGACATCATAGTTTAAATTTATCAACACTAAAGGTGTATTTTTTATATGATATGAAACCTTCAAAATTATACAAAGCATAAAATATTATTTAATCCTTTTACAGTAAAAATGATTACCTATATGGATACTTGTTTAGTATTGTTTTAAGTGTAGAATTAATAAAAAAAGCCATAAAACATAAAAAATTTCCAATAAATTGACGTGTGAAACCTGTTTGAAAGTACAGAGACCTTACACAATTATGTATTTCGTTAATTTTTAATATATGTACAGCATTACATATATTTTCATCTCTTTATCAGACATACTAAAATGACTAAACCATGTAAAAGTATTGTTTGTGTTGATTTGATTAAAAATGTTATAATATTGTTACAATGACTGTATTCAGTCTAATCTGCTTTGTATTTAACAACTATTTTCCTTGAACTGGACATAGCTAATATAGCTATTTATTATGAGTTATTAGTAATTTTCTGTTTATAACAACAAACTTGCAAAACACAAATTCCTCAAAGTTGTGGTAATATTAAACTCACTTTCTAACAATACAATATAAAACAACAGATCTTATATAAGCAAGCAGGCAGACAGAGAAGTGCTAATATTTACTAGGTACTGATGCTGATATCTTGTTTGCCCTTAAATATCTAAATTATGGCAACAATGTAAAACCCTGAAGTTATAACTATAGATGTGCGTGAGTTTTCTGCACTATCCACTGTGAAAAAATGAATTAAATTAATCAGCAAGAGTGCACACAATAGTTTATTTTTTCTAATTAACTTGCGTAGGATTATAAGGCTTTAAAAAAAAGATACATGCATCCTGTATGAATATGTTTAAATAAACTTATTACTGCTTACCTGAATCTCTTTAAAATTATGATTGTAACGGAGCGTTAGCAAGATTCTCGAGAACACCATATGGTTTTTAAAATGCACTGGCCATTGCTTTAACAGGTGATAGTGAATGTAGACTAGTGCTAACATGGATTGAATATTAACTTTTTTTTTCTAAAACCACCGACAGCCAAACTGGTTATGCCGTTGTCGTTACGTGATTTAGTCGGTTAGTTTCAGCAATCGGGAGAACGTACATTCGTCCGAGAAAACTCGCTAATAAGCAAATAGTTTAATTACTAAAATTTGCTGTCACCAATGTGACAGATGGGCGTAACATTTTGCCGAACGAACGATAAAAAAAGGATACGGTGAGGTGGAGTATCTTTGGATTTGCGGCCCCCCTGCGGCCGACTGTTTCTGGTTACCACTCATCTTCGATTTCGGGCCCTGGGTACCTCAAAACGGGCGCCACGGATCTCTATTCCTAATCTGCATATGTTCACGATAATTGGCACATCACAACACGCACTTTTAGGTCCTTATTCGTCCATTGAACATTTTCGACAAAAGGAATCTTGCTCGTGAAATGCTGCCGTCGACCGATAATTTAGAACGAATTAGTTTAAAGGCTTATCTAATGCAATTTTATCAAAGGTTAAGAAATTCCAATATGGCGGAGCAGTATTACACCAAAAACATGATAAACTAAAAAGTCCAGTGCTGCGACAAGCACATGGCTTAATTACGGATAAATGGGCGACGAAAATTCGAATATCTTATTGTCTTTTTGAAAATTTGTCAGTTTCTGTTACGCGAAATAAAAGTTAAAATTAATTTTTCAATTGACACGCGGCTTTCACACAATTACAAAAAGCACACCTAACGGAGCACCAAGCAACTAATGGTGAAAAACAAATTTCCCCATAAAACCATTTCCATATAAAATTCCTAACTTTTTCCATCCCTCTCTATTCGATTGTGCTGGTTTCACGTGACGTGACGACGTACGTCGATTCTCGCAGATGAACCGGCAAAAAGAACTGTCAAACGTGGCAATAAAAAATAAACATCCAACCTCAAATTTCGACGAAAAATCTTATTTAGAAAATTCCAAGAATTTTATGGAAAAAAAGTCGAAATGACATCGCACGGAAAGACTGAAACCGAAAAACTGAAACAAAACGTCGAAAATCAACTGGACCGGTTAATGGAACAACTGGCCGACTTGGAGTCATACAAGTAGGTAAAGATCGAAGTTCAAAGTAAATATTTATTTTCGTATTAAAAAAGAGCAAATATGCCTGAAGCAATGGTAAATAAATGAGTAATTTTTATTGATTTTAAAACGCTTCTCAATAAACTGTACACAAATTTGAATGTAGAGAAATACAAATAAACATTTTGTTTTTTAGAGATAACTTAGATCCAGCAGAATATGAAGAAACCAAAAAAGATACAATAGAACAACTAAAGGAATTAAACCAAAGCCTTACCAAATTAGTTAATGGAGATATGTCACTAATTGATGCAGTAGGAGCAGTACAATTAGTAAGTTTTTCTGTATTAACATTTTACTGTAAAATAATAATTTTGTACCTAAGGCCACACAGGCAGCTATTTCTGAAGCATTTAAAACGCCAGAAGTCATCAGACTCTTTGGTAGAAAAGAGCCGAAACTGTTACGAGAAAGATTAAAAGACATTGAGAACAAAGTTAAGTTAAACAATTTGTGTAATGAAGCTGCCAATCAACAGAAGGTATAAAAATTACAAAAATAATACAAATATTTCACAGATTAGTATTTTAGGTTGAAATTCTCACAGCTTTGAGACAACTGAACGAACAATTATCAAGTGAAGAATTGCAATTTTTACAGAAGCATATGGGAAATACGAATGAATTCAAAAATATTGAATTTCTGGAACTTAAGGACTAATTAGTAGGTATTTAATTTTTTTTGTGATATAAGTATAAATAAAACACTTTTTTCTAAGTTATATTATTTATTAAATGTTAACGCTTACACGCACATAAAGGACAATAAAAAGAAGCATCTAAAAACTAAAAAAGGCATAACTTTTTTCTCTTAAGTAAATAATTTTATAATAAAAACATATTTTTAACTGTAAACAAGAAATATCTTACAAATACATGTGGTACACTATTTTTTAGAGGATGCAAGTTTTCTGTAAACTTAACAAACTAAATCTACAGTGGGAATAATGTACAGGGCGTTCACAAGTATATTTTAGCCAAGAGATATCTCTGTTATAGAAAAAGTTAAAATTACTGGAAATTTTATTTTTTTTTTAACAAAAACATTGCAACTTGTGTCAAAATTTAGAACTGTTATCCATCAGAAGTGTCAAAATTTGACAGATCTGATGCATGACAGTTCCAAAACCAACAGAACTGTCAAAATTTGACAATTCTGATTTTAGACAAAGTTCTAAAACTTTCACAGTTTAAACTTGTCTGTAACCAAATATATACAGAGATAGGCTACTAGCTAAAATATGGTTGAACACCCTGTATAACCTTAAAATAAATTTTATTTTTTTCTTAATTTTGCCGCTTGCGTCTGCACACTTTTTTGTGTTCTGCTTGCCAGTGTTGCTGTTGACACGTTTGTGAACAGTATGCTGTGTTCCAACAGCAGTGGTATATAGCATCTTGCTCACAGTTGTAACACTGAAATTCATAAATTACCGTTAAGTATGTTTACTTCAAAAGCTACCGCGACACCGTTTTTTTCTCTCGATTGTATGGTATTATTCTTACCCATTGTTTCTTCTTGGTCTCTGATATCTGGGCGTTGTGTGACTCGAACAGTCGCTTCAAGTGATCGTTGTGATCGTTAGTGATCCTGTCGATCTCTTGCTGCATACAGTTCATGGCACACCTGATTACGACGTTTCTGTCTGCCAGAGTTTCTAGTCTCCTCCTCATCTGAAATCAAAAAAAATTGTGTGTGCTTCTTACTAACAGCTATTAAATTGATGGGTTTGAAGAACATATAAGTGACATATAATGCTGTTTTAATATAAATATTACTAGCGTGTACCCGCGACTTCGTTCGCGTCGAATTAATAATTTGTAATGGTGATGATAAAGCAAAGCAAGAATTTCCATTAACATACAAACTGGATAAAATTTTCTAACATTTATGTCAGCATGAGAAAAAACAATATGGCGATATTATTATATAACTTAAGGTAATATTTGAATATTGAATATTGAATTTATAATCAGGTAATATTTGAGGGATAGTTTCATCTCGTTGGAATTTGCCTTTCGAAAAATCCGTTTGCCAAAAATAAGCTTTTTACGTCAAGCAGTTTAAGCAGAATCGTGGTTAATCAATTACCCAACTTTTTGGAAAACCCTGTATGATTTTTTAAAAAATTTCAAAATATATAAAAAAACAAAATAAATTATGCGTGTCCCAGAGTTTTCCCGAAAGACTAACCGTTTTTTAAATAACAAATATTGTAATATTTGAGGGGCGTTTTCACCCTCTTGGAACTTGAGATTCGAGAAACCCCTCCTTATCGAACCTCTACACCCCACAGTCAAACCGTTTGCCAAAAATCAGCTTTAAACGTCAAGCAGTTTAAGCAGAATCGTGATTACTCAATGGTCATATTTTATGAAACATCCTGTATAAATTTTTAAAAAATCTTAAAATATCTAAAACGACAAAATAAAATATACGTGTTTAAGAGTTTTTCCGAAAAACTCACCGGTTTTTAAATAAAAAATATTCTATTTGAGTGGTGGTTTCACCCCCTTAGAATTCGAGTTTCGAAAAATCCCTTCTTATCGAACCTCTACACCCTAAAGTCAATCCGTTTTCCAAAAATCAGCTTTTTACGTCAAGCGCTTTAAGCAGGATCGTGATTAATCGATGACCAGATTTTTCGAAACACCCTGTATACATTTTTAAAAAATCTTAAAATATGTAAAAAACAAAATAAAATATAAGTGTTTAAGCGTTTTTTTGGAAACTTGACCGTTTCTTTAAATAAAAAATATTGTAATATTTGAGGGGTGGTTTCACCCCCTTGGAACTGGAATTACGAAAAATCCCTTCTTATCGAACATCTACACCCTAGAATCAACCTGTATGCCAAAATTGAGCTTCTTAGGTTGAGTGGTTTGAGCAGGATCGTGATTAATCAGTGAGTCAGTCACTTAAGGTGGTAATTTTATATATTAGTGTAGATTTTTAATTTATTTCTGTAATCTGTACATTTTCTGTTTCCTCAATAGCCTGCAAATTTTGTGGAATACCACCCAAAATACACACTTTTATGCAAATGCCTAATAATGTTAACGCCCCTTAAAATTTATTTAAGAAAAGAAGAAATTTTGAACCTAACCAAAAATTCGTTTGGTCTGTTTTTGTTTACATGTTTTGTTCAGTATTTATCGTGATTTACAGTATTTTTTTTAAATTATACGAATATTTTCGTTGATTATTGGTTTGAAATAAATATGACAATGTCATCCAATGAAAATGCGAGTTGCTTAACTCTAATAATTCTAATTCTGAGCTAGCAAATGAGCTAGATGCTTTACCTAGACCGTTACTCAAAAGCTACAAAGCTATGGATGAAAATACGTATTAAAATTTTCTTCCTGGCACACAACCAGAGGATATTGGTACACAGGTACAGTATCAAGTTTATTATAATGATTTTCTTAGCTTTAAATCAAATATTTTTGGTGTTTGCGCGATCGTGCGATTCTTATCACTTTTAATATCGCTAGCTCGTGAGTCAAAAAAAAATCCAGATCATTATTTAAAAAGATTAAATTGATATTAATTTAATTACCTTTGTATCTCTTCTGGTTTACGAGATACTTATGGGACACCCTGTATAATGTGTTAAAGTTTGCAATACACGAATACCGTGAATGTAGCAACAATAAGAGATGAAAAGAGGGAAGAGTGAGATCGACAAAAAATAATTTAGAGCTCCTCTAGGTGTACTTATTTCTGTGAGTTAGAGAGCATCTATGTTTACTTACTTTTCTGGGGTATAAATTGATGATGAATTAATTTTGAGTGATTTTAACTTACTTTTTCGACAGAATCGCTGTAAGGTTGGTCCAATTGTTGCATTTCCGCATCGTGACTCGAAACAGTGCAATTTTCTGTCGAACTACTGACTTGCTGATGGTCGTCGAATCTGTTGAAATAAACAACATAAAAACGTTTAAAAACAAACAAAATATGTTGAATAAAATGAAATTTGAATTGAAAAACAGTGACTAAAGTTTAAATTTTAAAGCTCTGTCTACACGTAACGTTTTACCTGTTCAGTCAAAACGTATCTAATAAAACAAAAAAAAACGATCCGGTTTACTTGAATTGGATTAAGACTTAAGAGGGAAGACCGTCTAGGCTTGGTGCATTTCAGTTGATTTCAACCGATTCCGACCGCAGCGCTTCAACGGCAAAAATCAGAAATTATCAGTACATATTTCACGCCGCCGTCATGTTGAACGCATTAAAATAATATTGAAATCGTGGTTTTGTCGTAATATTTAATAACTATTTTAGTTTTTTGCTAGTGCAGTTATTGAGACTATAAAACACTCAGGTACGAGGTTCGTGTGATGTAACGCTGTTTTGGGTAGTAAAAAATAAGTGAAAAAGAATTCAAACTAGGCGTCGTGTTGTGTTGTGACGTGACAATTTCAAATGTTAATAAAATTGTCGAAAAATTGTTAACGCGTAAAGGAGAGAGCGCAATTAGGGCGTTGTTGGGTGCAATAAAATTCAATAATTCAACTTTCCCGGATATTCAACTCTCCCGAAACAACATTTTATAAATTCATAGTTTCTCACACCGATTTGAAGCAAAAATGTATTCAAGCAGTTCGACGAAACAAGTGAGTAAATAAAGTGCTCGTTACATAATCAAAAAATTAAATAGACATACTATGAGAGGATAAAATATATAATTTGCAATATTAATGGTATACTTTTTTTAATCAACTAGTGATTTAATGTTTTATGAACATCTTCTAAAATTATAATTACCTATGTGCCTTTAAAAAATTTCGTTATAACCGAAATAGCCCCAATTATGCCCCACTAGCAAAACCGGTGATTAAAACTATGCTCGCTATACCGTAGTTGAACTCATCAAAAAAGTCTTTTTTTAACTGGAATAATAAATTATAATACTAGTTAGACCTTCTAAAGATACCAAAATATTTACTTTATTTTTATTTTAAAAATTTTCACAAATTATACTTCCTAACACTTTTACAATAATTAAATAATAAATTTTTGGTATACTCGTTATTTAAACACGTGTATTTGTATATACTAGTTGTTTACGATGTTCTCCGATGGTGGCAGCACCGGCGGAGAATGCACCAAGCCCCTAGAGAACTGTGACGGGATCATTCAGTTTTACAATAAAACTATATATCGTCCGTTTTAAACTTCCGTTTTGACAGACAAAACTGACAGGTAGAACGTTATGTGTAGACAGAGCCCCTAACCTAACTCACCTAGAACCATTTTGTGATACATTCGACCTAAAAGAATAGTCCGGTTCTTCTTCTTCACAGTCCGAAATATTGATCACGCTGTCCGCAACATCCTGGACAGAGTCCGTCCTCGATTTCTTCGCTTCCGGTCTACCATTTGACATATCTGAAATATAAAAACAAGATTTTTTCCTACCTCAAAAAATAATAAAACGAGTACCACCGTACCGCTTAGGCGCTTGTTTCTCTTTTGCGCAGGACTAGCAATTGCCGAATTTTCCGAATTAAATGACAGATTAAGAGAACCACCGCTCGAAAAACTATTATCTAACGGCGTTAAATTCTTGGGTCTTAAGGATTTCTTTCCTTTAACGTCCGACCTGACTTTTTCCAGTTCTTTCGGGTCGGACAGCAGTTTCTGATGGTATTTCAGTTCTTCGTACGATTTCATGAACGCAGACGACTGCTTAACCTAAAATTTCCGTTTTAAATTACTTTTAGCTCACGCTGTATACACTATCTATGAATTAGCTTAACCAAAATACCTTTAGGGCTTCTTTGGTCGTCTCGATGGGTTTTACTGAGGATTTGGGGATCAACGATCTCTCGTGTTTACCGCCAAAAAATCTGACGTCACAGTGGGTCGGACTTTCTCTAATAACCTAAAAAAATGACGAAAAAATGTTACGCGGGAAGAACTATACAGGGTGTTCCTTAATGAAGTGCTATTATAAAAGGGGGTGATCCTTAGACCTATTCTAGGGAAAAAAACTTTATTTTAATGTACACAGGGTGGTCCGAACTGTATTCCGGAAACTTCGGCAGCATATTCTGCAGATAAAAATAAGCAAAAAAGTTTGTATAAATGTATGTCCTAAATTTTTTAGTTTCGCAGATACAGGGTATAGAAGTTTCTTTTTATTACGATTTTTTCCTAATAACTTCTGAAGTAACGTCAATATTTGGATGAAAATTGGTGTCTGGGACTTTTTTGACATGAGAAATTTGATTTTGATGTCAAAATATCTCCTATTTGTAGGTGACGCCACCTACATGTGTTTTAACTCTTTTAAAGAAACTTTTCGTCCGTACCTGTATAAAACTACTGAGTGAAAAAATATACATTTCCGTGACTTGTACAGGGTGGGTCAAATTCGACGCTTTTAAATGGAAACACACTTTTCTATAGGAGATAGACAAAAACTAATATCGGTGTCTGGAGCTCAATTTTTGTCAAAAACATGATGGTGAAAACCGCATATCGATATCTGTTACCGTTTCGGAGTTCCGGTTTTTTTTTCAAAAATATGCATTTTTAACAAATCGCTGTAACTTTTTTGCTATGGAAAATTTTGTATTTTTATGAAAACATTTCCAAAGTACCTGTTTACGTAGAATTTAATGGTTTAAGTATAATTTTTTTAAAATTAATAATTTAAGAATTATCAACAGAAAATTTGATTTTTTATATGGGACACCCTGTATATTGTTAATTTATTGAAAAGAATTTAAAATTACCTTTCCAAAAATATAACACACTTTTGCTCGATTCCTCTTCGAGATATAGAGTATATAAAAATTCGGCCACTTTAAATAAGTAGGCTTTGAACGGCACCGGCTGTAATGCAAAAAAATTCTAGCTGTGAGCATCAATTAAAACGAAAATAATATTTACTATGAGAGATGCAGAATTTTATAACAATTTAAAATATATTTAACCAACATCAACACATTTAAACTATATCTAATAACAATAAAAATAAATAGCAAATCAAGACATGAGATTTTGCTACAGGTGTTCAATATATCGACCGCTTCTGTTATGGACAGACGGGGCAGTTTTTGAACATTTCTCGCGGAATTCATTAACTCGTGGGGGTGAAAGATACCCTCTTATAACTGCTAAGTATTTCTAATTCTTATCTAGATTATACGGAAGAATAAGGAACCTTTATTCTTCCGCAAATATATCCTTAGGATTAGATCCAAGGGCACTAAGTCAGGCGGCCTTGACGGCCAACATCTTGGTTAGCTATTCAATTATTCTTTGAAAAAAATTTGCTGGTAACTTCAGCGTTCAGAGGCGGTGCGTCGTCTTGCTAGAAAAATATGTTTTCGAGTTCCATTAAGGGCATATCATCAATAAGGGGTCCAAAGCTTACTGGTTAAAAGTGGCGAACTTTTAAAAATTCTGTATTTCGAAGAGGATTATAACAAAATATCAAGTGTGCTATATTTTTGGAAAGGTAATTTTAAATTCTTTTCAGTTAATTAAAAATATAGAGGGTGTCCCAAATAAAAAATCAATTTTTCTGTTGATAACTCTTAAATTATTAATTTAAAAAAATATATACTTAAACCATTAAATTCTACGTAAAAAGGTGCTTTGGAAATGTTTTCATAGAAATACAAAATTTTCCATAGTAAAAAAGTTACAGCGATTTGTTAAAAATGCACATTTTTGAAAAAAACACCCCGTAACTCCGAAACGGTAACAGATATTGATGTGCGGTTTTCACCATCGTGTTTTTGATGAAAATTGAGCTCCAGACACCGATATTAGTTTTCGTTTATCTCCTATAGAAAAGGGTGTTTCCATTTAAAAGCGTCGAATTTGACCCACCCTGTACAGTAAAAATCGCTACGAGCAACCGTTCTTAAGGTATTTAGAATGGAAATAGTCAATACATGTCATTGACAAAAAATAAACACGTTGAGTAGATAGGAAATATTTATTTTTTTAAATTAATCATATATTTATTCTTCAGAGAAAAAATGATGATAAAACAGTTTCTATCGAACTTTTGGCACAAAATAGTTCAAATTTATGATTCCAGCCTAGTAAATATTTAGTCAACATGTTTAATTTATGTCAATGATGACAGGTATTGAGTTAATATATAAATATATAGTGTAAGTTTAAATTATTGTAAATAGAATACCTGTTTATTTTTTTTTATTTAAGTTCTCAATACCAGTGTTTGATATATACACTGTTTAGAGAAAGAAAAGAGACCATGTTTACGTATATGAAATTTATGTTAAATAAATATTTTTTTACTAAAAAAAAAAAAAAAAGGTACGGACGGAAAGTTATTACTCTTCAAACCAGTTTAAAGATATGTAGGTGGCGCTTAAGCGGTAAGTATAAATGGCTCTGTGAGCTAGACTTCGCCTATGTAATTAATTAATACATTGTTGTAATTGATTAATTATTAATAAAGACCATTTATTATTATTATTATTATTATTATTATATTGACATCAAAATCAAATTTCTCATGTCAAAAAATTCCCAGACACAAATTTTCATCTAAATATTGTCATTACTTCATAAATTATTTGGAAAAAATCGAAATAAAAATGAAACTTGTACGCCCTGTATATCCGAAACTAAGCATTTTAGGACATACATTTATACGAACTTATTTACTTATTTTTGTCTGACTGCAGAATATGCTGCCGAAGTTTCCGGAATACAGTTCGGATCACTCTGTATATTAAACATCTTAACTGTTGAGATACAGGGTGGTTTTCTAAATTAAAAATAATTTTTTTTTCATAATAACTCTGAAACTTGATACACGTCTCCTATGCCTCAAAATTCCTTTTTTGGTGTACAAAGAAATTTTATTTATTAACAAAGTTTCTTTGTACACCAAAACCTGTTGTCCTAACCAGTGGCGTCTATACGAGTTTTATTTTGAATATTTTTGAAGAAGAAAATGGTACGCCACCGATTTCTCTTTAAATAAATATTATTTTCAAAATCTTCTTTCATTTCTAAACAATTTTTATCTCTTTAATTTTTCGTCCAACGCATAGTTTTTGCTTAAAAAAATTAAGTCATTCTACATCAAAAAATGTTACTTTTAAAAAATGTTACCACCAGGGGATAAATTCATATGAAGTTTTTTTCTTAGAATACGTCCAAGAATCACCCCCTTAAATATTAGCATGTCATTAAGGAACACCCTGTATAAAAATTATAAATTACGCAATTAAAGAATTATGAAAAATAAGTCTTTTTTTTAATCTTACTTTAGCCGGCCAATAAGGATACCCCTTTTGTTTGGCCCAAACCAGCTTATGAGACCTCCTACAAGGCAAAGTAAACCATTTTAGATTTATTTTCTCGTTACTGTGCCTGTAACAGTCCGAACAATTCTTAAGCTCTGATATGTCATGTAATGTATCTCTTACAACGTACTCGGCAGCCTGATATTCCTGAGACTCCACTAAAAATAAAATAAAACTTTGAAATAAGTCACATTTTCCTAAAAAAAATTCACAGTAGCCTTTAAAATGACTTATGGTACTTACTCCCATGAAATATAGCAACATTATGTTGAACAGTTAAAATATCAGCCAAAAATTCCGACATTACACTGTAAGAGTTTGTGTTTAAGTTCACTTCAATCACAGACATATCACGATGTTCAAAAAATAACTGGTTAGCTCTCCAGGTCAGTTCTGTGTCTGTCAAAAATGCTGGTCTATCCTCTTCGGCCATTGTATGGGTTATGGTATCTGGCAACTAAAGTAACTTTTAACTCACCCTGTATGCAATTTATTTGACTACTAAGCAACTTACCCAAGCCCTGACCCGATGCAAAACAAATCGTAACAAATAATTAACTTCAGCTTTTTCTAAATCACACTGATCAATGTTGATTATGTTACAGATGCTGCATAAATTTTCATTATACACATAGTTATTAATGTATTCATCTGAACTGTCAGATGATGAAGTCAAATCAACATCACACTCTACTTCTAGAGGCTGACCATTATTTTTAATAGAACTGTTTAGCTCAGAACTTCCTATCTGCTTTTGATAACTAAAAATCCATACTAAACAATATCTGAAAACGTTTTTACCTTTAAAAAAATTACCTGGACTTTTGAATTTCAAACTTTTTCTTTGCAGTCTTAATACAATCTTTGTGAAACACTCTAAAGCACTCATTACAAGAAATTACATCGCCTGCCAAGTGACATTCGAAGCAGTACCAATCTTTACCGTCAAATTCTGGCTAAAATTCCACATAATTAAATTATACATCGGAATACAAAAGATATACACAAATTTACCAGTTGTTGATCAATGATTTTGTATGTGGAAATAGCCAGGTCCATGGTGTTTCTTGCTCTGAAATTTTTATATATTTGTTTGTTTTTTTACATGTAAATTAAAGACTTACGATATCATGCCGTCTTGAAGGGCTTGCTGGAGATACTGCTCTACTTGAGCCTGTGTACAGTCCTCTATTTTCTGGAAATACTTCGTTATTCTACTTATATCACAAGACAAATGCTGTACACCCAAATATCTTATTGCATCCCATATTCTTTTTATATTTATGGGATCACAGTGTCTTCTAATCGGCATCTTAACGCTTACTTTTAATTCTGATTAATAAAATGTAAATGTTTCTATTTACAACGCGATACAACAACAAAGGTAAACAAATTCCAGACAAGCTTTAAAAAGGTATATTCCTCATAATATTTCGTAAAACTCCTCAATATTTCGTTTCCGGTCTATAATAAATATTGAATTACTTGAAAGATTTTAATCGAATATAAATTCCATATAAACTTTCAAAGAAAACGCATAAAGATGCAGTTTTTTTACACACAACAAACACAAAATTGCATAGCTTGCATAAGTTTATAAAAAATTAACTGTCACTGTCAAAATATTCGATAAGCCCTTTCAATTGTTACAAATCACAGCTGATTGGTAGTTTTTCATATATAAAAATCACATGATTTTTCCTAATCTGTGGTTGACATATAAAATCTTCTTATAAATTTACTGGCCAGTACACATTTTCATATATAAAAAATTATAATCGGTAATCTGTGGTAGTGATAACTTTGTTTCATGTCCACAGCTGCTAGAGCTATCCGGCCACAGTGTGTGTCAGACGTCATATAAATTCTTCTTTTATTTTGACTTTTACAGATTTCTGTAAAAGACTAAAAAGAAAATTTCAAAAGAAGAAGAATTCAATAAATAACCTGTGGCTTTTGCTGAAACGTCATAAAAATAAATAGGGTTTATTTTTTTATATTCCACTATTCCACTACTATTTATCACAGTTCTAATTAGAAAAAGGAAGAATAAAATAATGCTGAAACTTATTTTGTAGTTTCCGAACTATTTATCTTTAGAAAATTTTACTTGTTTTTTGTATTTCGCACTTATTTCATTATGGCTACGATTAGCGGGCTAAAAATAGCGGTAATATGTTCCAGCAACATGAACAGGAGCATGGAAGCTCATGCCTTCTTATCAAAGAAGGGTTTCGACGTACACTCGTTTGGTACTGGCGAGAAAGTAAAAATTCCGGGCTCTGCTATAGACAAACCCAACGTTTACGAGTTTGGTACTTCTTACAATGACATATACCACGATTTGCTTGAGAAAGATAAATCACTGTATCCTTTAGCCATTTACTACGAAAAAATACAGTAGAAATCATTATTTTCTTTAATTTTTTATAATAGATACACCCAAAACGGGTTATTGCACACTCTCGACAGGAACAGAAGGATTAAGAGTCATCCAGAGAAGTTTCAAGAAACGAAAGACAAGTTTCACATTTTGATTACTTGCGAGGAAAGAGTATACGATCAAGTTCTGGAATACATGGAAAATAAAACGCCATCGGACAATTCAATTGTGCATGTTATTAATATAGATATTCAGGACAATTTAGAGGAAGCTACTATAGGGGCGTTTTTAATAAGTGATATGTGTATGCAGGTACGTATATATGAAATAATAATAAATATATTTTCTGTTTATATGATTCTAATTTTTTTTTTTGACTTACAGATAGCAAAGACCGAAGATTTGGATAACGATATTGAAGAGGTTTTGCATGCTTTTGAAGAGAAATGCCAGAGGCCTATTTTACATAGCATTGTCTTTAACTAGTTTTAGGGAAAACAAATATGTATACATAAAAGTGGATTATATTTTTGACTTATATGGGATTTTCTAGTTATTGTATGTAACTTAATTCTGTGGTGGAGTGTGGAAATAAATTATATTGTGTAATTTAATTAAGAATCAATAGAAATATTCTGAACAATTTATTAAAAAAATAACAAATATACAGGATGCTCCTTTAATAAGTACACATATTTTCCATTTTTATATTTTTCTTTTTCTGAAAATTTCTTTAATTTATTTTGAGTCTAATTAACGATAATTAAGAATGAAGGTTATCCACAGAGAGGCAACGTTGCACGCTATGTTCTGAAAAAATTTCAGATGAACCGGGGGCTCTAAAGTTTTCTAAAATATACCGAAAATAAAAAAAACCAAGGCATGATTCTGGGGGTAAAAATATACTAGCAGCTAAAATAATTGCACTTATTATTTAAGAAATACCTTGTATATATACATAAAAATAATTATTTTTATAACAACTTTATTAATGCTGATCCAAATGTGCGTAAACTCTTCTTAATTTTTCCTTTTTCTTCTTGTTTCGATGTCTATTCTCAGTTTTCCATGGTTTGGCAGCTAAATCTTGCGATGGCTCTCTAAAATAACAATTTTATAGACTTGAAATCGTATTTTTCATTAAAAACTCACCCTTGGCCTGATAATCCTACAGATTTACCCTGGACTCCTTTCGAATGCACTGTTTGATTATTTCCAGAAAAAAATACTTTGTCTATATCCCCAGATGTCACTTTATTGCTCTTGAATAAAAATATAAAAAGTATTCGTTCAATATCCAAACTATAGCTAGCAGAGATTAAAAAAACTTACCCTAATCGCTCTGAGTTCTCTGGGAGGAAGAACTCTTTCATGTTCAAGTTTAGTTTTAAGCTTTTCCGGCCAATTATGGAAAATTTCCTGTTCCACATCCGGTGGAGCATGACAGTATAACAATTTTCCATTCATATAATCCTTTAGAATGTATCTAGCACCTCTAGGGTTATCAGGTTGGCCATTAGCTGTCATAAATCCCCTATTATCTGTATTAAAAATAAACATAGACCACTATGAAGCTGTTTTTTTTTATTTTATGATATACTTACAGGCATAAGCATTGAGCAACTCTTCAGCGGTAGGACTCCTATCAGGATCCTCACCTTCCAAAGGCTTAGGTATCATAATTCCATATTTGTCTTCAATAACATGCCGTGGAATTAATGATGTAACTAAATTAACCGGAGGCACATGATCCCTCATCTGATCAATTGGTAGAATACCGTTCAAAATCATTTCGGCTTTAGTAAATACAAAACTGGGCATCACCAAGCCCGGGCAATCACATAATAAAATATCTTCGTCAAGGAACAATGTTTGGAAATGCTTGGTTTTTCCTGGTGTGGCAGAAACAGAGACTTTTTTAGCAGATAACAATGAGTTTATTGTCGAACTTTTTCCTACATTTGGGTACCCAACAAGTCCAATTGTTGTAATACCTTCTGTTACCTTAGGCCCAGTGTGAATAGTTCTGAATAAATCTATTAACTGTTCTTTACTAAGTAATTCGGGTGAGTTCTGTCGTTTTACTTCACTTAAACTCGTTTCCCCAAACTGTTCTTGTATTTTTCCCAGTATATTTTCTAAAATAACAGCTTTTTCCTCAACAGCTTCTTCCAAGGATTCTATATTCTCCTTTAGTACCTTAAAATCTACTATTTCTTCACTTTCATCAATACAAACATTATTTTTTTCATCTAAAGCTGAGTAAAATACAGCTTGTAAATTTATTGAATCAAAATATTTAGCCCATATTTCTCTTTGACTTTCTGTAAGAAAATCTGCCTTGTTTATCAGGATTAAATTGATTTTGTTCTCCGATACTTCTTTGACATATTTCTCTAAATCTTCACAGCGAAATAGCAATGGGTTTCTTGCATCAACTATTTGAACAATCACATCACTTCTCTCAATAACTCTCCAAAGTTGCCTCCAAAACTCCAAATTCTTTTCGTATGGTGTAAGTAATATTCCCTCATTTTCTTGTAAAGCTACTAAAGATCTTCTCCACTCTAAAAAGCTGTCTTTTTCGTTTCTGTCTAGTTCTGTTGCAGACATATCAGATGTCCAAGGAGGTCTATACAGAATGTAGAATAGAAAATATAGCGTATAACAATATAAACACAATTCTTACCTTCTAGGAATTCTTAATGATGTTTTAAACTTTCTATGCATGTCTTTCGCGTTTTTAAACTCTTCCTTACTTAATAATCCGACATTTGAACGTGGATTTACAAATTTTATGTTCAATTTTTCAGCTTGAAACTCTGTACCTGCTAACTCAGCCGTGGATAAAAATTCTTGAAATGACGATTCTTCAGTAACTGACTGTAAATTTAACCTTCCCCATTCGTAGCCATCATCTAATTCTGTAGTATGTAACTATAAATAATAACATTATTAAAGTTATGACAAAATAAAACAAATACAGTAAGTTACCATTGAATCGTTTGCGACCATTTTCCTGCCTGTATGATGTCCAAATCGATCCTTAACTAAAGAACGACCCAAAGAGAGGCCTCCTTGTTTGCTCTTTTTACCCATTATGTGAAATATTTACAATTTAGTAATATTTTTTATGATAAATGCAAATGCATACTGTAAATCTGTGAAAAAATGAAGTAAAGTTGGTTAGGTTCTGATTTGACATTTCAGTCTTCTTGACAAATTCTCACTGGTACATAGCCATTGTTACAAGAAAAATCTTTTTGGATTCTGTGGTCATTAAAACTGGCCCGAGGTCTTAATGATAAGAAGCCATATTTTGGACAAAGAAGAATAATCCATAGATCAATACAATCAATACTAGTATCACAAGAATAGATATCAACCAGAAGCCTAACTTAGAGTTTGCGCGGGAAACATCGCCTAAAAATAGCGGTAGAACCTGTCAACGCACTGGCGTTCGCAGTTCACTTATGTTTTGCGTTTTGCTGAGAGCAGTAGCTGTTCGTCATTCGTAAATATTGAATATTGTAGTTTGTGTTGTTTTATAACTGAACGGAGCGAATAGTCTGGAATAGTTATTAAATATTTGTTGTGCTAGGTACATTATTTATAATAACTTCAAAGAGTACTGGTTCAGTTTGTGCCTCAAGAATGTGCAAAAGCCGGAGTTATGTTTCGCCAGGACGCAAAATATTTTACGATACGTTTGTGGATATTTAATAAAAAAATGTTTGAGTATACATTCATGTGATATATGTACCAAATATGCAAAGGCACACAGTGAGTTAGATGATACATCGTTGTTTTGCCATTTACGTGCCTATGAAAATAATAAAGAGTGAAAATAATAATTTAGATATTTTTGGCAATCTTCAGATGTCACATGACAATTTTGTATCTTTTGTTTCTTCATTAGAACTTGTTTTTAGTAAATATTATGAAGAATATGGGACAAGACATTTTATTAAAGAAATATATATAATATGCAAACAAATTAATTTCAAACATCCATGTACTAGTTTTCCCCTAAAATATGTAACTAAATTATATCTGCTTATGAAATTGTATTATACATTAAAAAAGATAAACCTTAATTTTAAAACAGCCAATAAAAACAAACTAATTATATGGAGGCATGAATAAATACCTACATAAGTATTCTGATGTTAGCTTGTTTATTTATTTCGTTTGAAACTTAAATGAACACCTACCCTATCTTTACAGGATGTTTTAAAACGGGCCAATTGAAGGTAAGTATCTCAAGCGTCCTTATAAAGAACCCAAAGTTTTAAATTTCAACCAAATCTCTTCTTATATTAAAAAATCCGCCATATTGGATCCGCTAATTTGATTTTTTTTCTTCAAAAATATTATAAAAGTGTCACCGGAACTCAATACGTGTGCAACATTTCGGAAAAATTGGGATAATAGAAGTGATCAATAAAGCTGCTGCCAGATTTGCAACAAACAAAGGTATGGTAAAGTTAAATAAAATCGTTTAAAAATATAAACTATTTTTATACCGCGATATCTCTAATGGTTTACTAATGCAGTGTTTTTTATCGCTGGCAATAAGTTTTACATTAAAAATATTACTCCATAAAATATGTTGGGACATTTGTACTAAACCAATATTACAGCATCTTAAACAAATTAGCCTTTACTTTTAACTTTAACAAACTCACCTATTAAAGTTTTAAGCAGTAGTTTTATTAACTGCCGAATGATATTAATTAATTCTATGCTTTTCAATTTACAACAAAAAAATAAATACAACTCTGTATACATTCAACGGAAATTTATTAAATACGCCTCTGTGTTCTACCGCTATTAAATGGCGGCCCAATTCGTGAAACGTCACGGATTTCAGCTCCAGTTAGGTTTCTGGTTGATATCTATTCTGTGCTAGTATTATGACACTGACATCCATCTATTAAAGATCTATGGGAATATTTTGAATTTACTTTTTTTACATAATTTTAAATATTTTTAAAAATGTTTTTTTCTGAATTTGTTTTAAAATATAAAAGGTAATTATTGGGAAAAGTGGAAATCGTCCGATTTTCACCAAAATTGGTATACACCCTATTTTGAGGTCGTAGATTACGAATCTGAACTTGTTTCCTGGCGGTCTCTTACCGTTTTTCAGAAAAACGGAAAATTATGTCAACATTGAATTTTTCTTAATTTCCGCTGTATAAAGTAGTAATATCACTATATTTTCATTATATTATAGTTTATCTAAGAGCTGTTCTTGATTGTGGATAGAAAAATACCCAAAATTTTACTGAAAAACACTTTTCTTAATAAAATCAGAGATATGGAAGTGGGAGAATGAGCTTCGACGAGTGCGCATCCAAATTTTTGTCGACGGCAAGATGGCAGACATCTTCCAGGTCTCGCTGTCACTTCCCCTCTTTAATTGACATCTGTTTGTTTTGTTTTTTTTTCGTTTATGTTGTTATCTAGTTAAAATTTATTATTATCTGAATTATTCTAAACACTAATTCAAAAAGGCTTGTTGTATATTGTCATAGTCATTCTAAGAAAGCTAATACGCCGTTAAAAATGATTAGTTTTCATGTGTAAGTTTATACAACATAATCGTGTTTACAGATGATCCAAAACTGTTTATGTTTAGTTTTCCTAAAGGCGATTTGCAAAAATCGTGATTGTAATTGGGAATGGTCAAAAATAATTATATGATGTGGCCATTTAAAGAGGATGTTTTATTACGTGTGGAGGAAGAAGATACTTGGAATCAATGTTCGTGCTTCTGTAAAACAGTGCACTCTTATAGTGTCCATGAAAGCCCAAGTTCAAGTGTACTAGAAATATGTCAAATAAGATTGGTCCTTACTTGACAAGAAGATTATTTGGAGGAAAAGAAAACATAAGATAGGGTATTTTAATCGAACAGCGAAAATTTAACATTTTTATTGTAAAGTTTGTTGTAGGTAGTTGTAGTTTTATGCTAAATATTTCTAACATTAGCAGCAGCAGTGTTCAGAGTGTCAAGAGGAGGAGGATTCAGTTAATTAGATTTATGCACAGTTACAGGTATGAGAGGCTTTTTCAAACATAGTATCAAGTTCTATAGTCAACATTTTTAGTATTCCTACAACTGTAAAAACAAGGAACATGGACTGAAAAAATGGCAAGATTTATATAGGAAGAAAGGGTATTATGCCAATAAGAAAATTAAATCTGTAGGCAGAAGTTTCTTATTTAAAAACTGTTATGGGGCATATATTAATTTGTATCTGTGCCACAAATCACTGAGAAAAATCATATAATATTCATAATTGTTAACGAGATAATATTTAAAGAGTGTTAAAAATGAGACTATTAGTCATGAAGCTTACAATGTTACTTTGTTTCAATATTACACTTTTATTCTTGTAAAATCTATGATGAAGTTCAAAAGCATTTTGCAATGCAAAAGCATTTTGCAATGGCCTTAAATTGTGAGTTGTGAGCCAGGATTTATAGTAAAGGTATTTGATGCAATGAAACTTAATCGGTACCTTCCAGTATGTATTTTAGTAAGGGGATTGTCAATCCCATGTTTTTAAATAGATAAAATATAGGCCAAAGTTGACAATATTACAGTTGAGAAGAAACTATTTTATCTTAAAAAAAATTTCTTAAAATTCTGAGATCATATAATCTAATTTTCTTAATAATAAATTAGGTATATGTATGTTGTACATACAAATTTTGTTATGGACAAATAAGGATCGACAAGCTTCTTTTGTGCAAAAAATAAATGATTTTTTCTAGTATTACGACAAACCATAATGTGTTTACAAACTTACGGTAACAGTTTTTGTTTATAATAAAATATTTAGGAATAATTTGGGTTGTTTATCAATATATTAATGACTTGAATTTTGACAAATCGAATTTGTATCAAAATAATTTTACGAAATATAAAATTGATGTTCTATTACAAGATTGAGTTTTTATTGTCGACAAAAACCAGGATAAATACTAATAATAATACCCTTAATAAAATCAATGATGTTTATGTATTATGGAAATATTTGTTAGAGGACATGTTATGTAACAGTTTTTGAAACATAATTTGAAGGGACGAATAAAAAAAATAAAACAAAAACATATTTTTTCTAGGTTTATATTAAAAATACAAGGTAGATAATCATCAAAAATAATTATGAACCAAATGTTTTTTATGAATATACAACTTGAACAAAAAGTTGTTTAGAACAATTTTTACCAAACTTGCAAAAATTTTAAATTGAAATGCGTAATTCAGTACCTTTGTTCAGTACAAGTAAACATGAAATATTGTAAATACTTATTTAATATCATTTCGAGTGTTTTACGACGAAAAGGTCATCTGTCCGTAGCGTCTTTTGTCAGAATATTCGTATATTTAGTGTATTATATACCAATATTGTACGCAGTTTTGAAACTGATAATTAAATAAATCATATTAATGTTAACTAACCATAATGAATGATAGAATTTCACTAAATTTAAATTGCCCCCCGTATGGTTGAAAACAGCAAATTGATATTTGATTACTTATAGATTACCACCTATATACAAAATGACAGGAAGACCTGGAATATGGCGCCCAACTTGTTTAGACCTTCTGCGCATGTTGACGTTCATTCTCTATCCCTTCTATTTCTCTGAATAAAATAAACAAAGAAAATTTCCACCAAAAATCACAAGAGTGAAGCCCCGTTCTCAGAACTGCGACTGTCGCCAGCGACACGACAAAAGAACCAATGAGATTTGTACAAAATTCAAACAGCTGTCAATTTTAAATTTAGTACAGCTCCCATTGGTCGTTTGAAGTGTCAATCAGTGTCGCTGTCGACACGACGCAGTTCTGAGAACGGGGCTTGACACTTGACCGTTCATATATCCTTCTTTCTCTCTCCTATGCAACGAGAGTGACAAATATAGTCTAGACCTGATCTAAAAATCTGAAAATTTGCAACGTTGCCATGTCTTGTATTTTTTCGGGGGATTAGGGAGTTTAAATAAAATACGTTTTATTTAATATACTTTTTAATAAAATAAGTATATATTTAATTAAACTACAATAATAATCCAACATTCAATGTCAACAACATTTTTCTAAGAAGTTTATCAATATATAATATTCAAGCTTACATTAATTTCAACATTATAATAGGAGGTGTCTGTTAAGTAGATATCTTAATTAATTAATAGTAATTAAGTATGTCAAATAGAAAAAAGTTGCAGTCCAGCAGAGGCCACGTGGAGGCGGGACAAATTTCTGCCAGGAAAGGGATGAGGGTGGGATCATTTCGCTCGCCATTTTCTAGGATATATGAGAGTAGTTGTGGATAGAATAATAAATTGGGTTTGGTTAAGGTTAAGTTGGTTTGGGTTTTGGTACAGTTTTTTTTGTTTTTTTTTGTTTTTTTTGTAAATCATCATTGAATCGTCCACTCTCACAATAAAATAGAGGCATAGTAATCCACCTAAGCGTTTTGCTCCATATTGGCAGAGGGGGGATATCCTCCTGATGTTTGGGTGTTCGAAATTTCCTCCGAAATAAATGTTCTGCCAAATAACCGGGAAAATGATCGTTTGCCCGGCCATATTTAGGAACATTTCAGCGCAGATCCCTCCATGCTCTCTCAATATTTTGCGTGTGTGCTCCAGTGTCTGGATCGACAAAATTTTGGGAGTGGTTTACCGTCAGATATTGGAAACCTTCATCTGCCAAGCAGTTGTACGATTTCCAGCAATCCGATATTATTGTAGTACTCGGTAGTACCCATTTTTGAATAACCGCCAGCAGATGCTCCTTCGACCGTTCTTCAACGGGTACCAAAAAGAGCTTTTTTGATTCCCGTTCGATTCCTCCGAAAATCCATTGACCGTCGATTACACTACCTCTATATTATATTTTCGTTTGCCCATCTTACATTCGTCAATCTCTACAATAACCCCTGGGCCCCCCACCTTTTGGGAGTTATCAACCAGACAAATTAAGCAAACTTCCCTGCAGAAATTTGTCCAGTTGACAACAGTATCGGACGCCAATTGCAGCTCGACCATTATCCACTCCCGCCCGTGATTATGGGCTAACCAGTAAAACACGAACTTACAAATTGTCTGAATGTCCAAATGCGCCTTCTCAAAAAAAGTTCCTCTCTTTGCCCCAATTTTAAACGTACATTTAGTCCCCTTTTTTTAGACAAATACACTGTATTAGTGCAACGAAATCTATTTATCGCGTGCGTAAAATTTGCAGGGTACATGGCATCTCGGACAATTTATAGGTTCGATAGAAAATACCCCATGAGAAAATAAAAAATTATTTAGTTTACCCTCATCATTGACTATATTATACATACCTCAGACGTCCAAAGTGCATCCATTGCAGGGCTCCATTGCTAAAAACTTACTTGTCTTCACTCCCAGAAAAAAGCTCTAGCTGGATCTCGTGCACATTAATCAATAAAAATCACAGATAAAAATCAGTTGGAAAAATCGTTAGAATCTAACGGTTTTTGCCTTGGAATGTAGGGGAAAATATTTCCCTTTTCATGAATCTGGTAATCCCAGAGGCGGCAAAAAAAACGCGCTAAATTTAGGTTTATCATTGGCAACGTCGCTTTAAATGTCAGAAACGCGTAATCCAACATTTTCAGATTGTTTACAAATTTATTTTAGCAAATTTTCCTCTATTATGCATAGAATTGGTTAAAAAAGTAACAGAAAATAGCAAAAACCTGATTGTTTATTGAATACCTAACAAAATATGTGCGAAAAAACCTTAAAAATACGAGAAATTAAGAAAAAATCAATGTTGACATAATTTTCCGTTTTTCTGAAAAACGGTAAGAGACCGCCAGGAAACAAGTTCAGATTCGTAATCTACGACCTCAAAATAGGGTGTATACCAATTTTGGTGAAAATCGGACAATTTCCACTTTTCCCAATAATTACCATATAAAAACAATGAGTATTCAAAGTACATAACAAAACCAATGTACTAAAAAATAAGTTTTCTATGTATTACCGTATTTTCTCAGCAAAAAAGATGCGTTTTCAAGATATACTGAATTATAAGCTAATATATATTTTATTAATTGCAAATATACATGCTTTATCTCCAGATCCTAAGTTATTTAATGTATGGGGCCCAGGTTTGCATCCTCAGGATGTTATTATGCCTGCCAGGTATTTTTTTATTCAAGCAGTAGACAGTAATAACAACAGGTAAATTATTATAAAATTATTTTTACTAGATATATTGAATGTATAATTTTTAGTATAAATCACAGTCTTAGCTCTCCACTACAAGTTGTAATTGATGGAGCTACTGCTAAAAAAACTCCCTGTAGAATATGGACTAATATTTTAGATAGAAAAGATGGTGTATATATTGTAAGATATAAAGTTTACGAACAATGTTCCTATATAAAAATTAGTATTGTATATGAAAATGAACAAGTTGCACAGTCTCCATATATAATTAACCAACCTATTTACCCAGATAATTGTTACTGTCCCAAACTAAAACTTAAAGAATTGTTAAAAGTTTGGAATTCTGAAAAAGTTCCTGCCCAAATAAAAAAAGACTTCAATCAATTTCAAACTATAGACTGGGATGAAATGAGACCAAAAATTATAAAAGAATTTGATAAACCACAATCAGTTAGTTTGTGCCATTATATTATTAAGGATAATCAAATTTACCGAAAGTGTTATGGGAAATATGTTGGATTTAATATGTTTTCGGACAGTATTTTGTTGTCCCTTGCTAGAAAGGCTTTTCTTCCAGATTTAGAGTTTTTCGTAAACTTAGGAGATTGGCCTTTATCTTCAAAAAACTTGCCTGATAAATTTCCTATATTCTCTTGGTGTGGGAGCAAAGATACTAATGATATTGTGATGCCAACTTATGAACTTACTGAGTCATCTTTAGAAAACATGGGAAGGTATGTATTATACTGAATCTTTCTTATCATTTACTTATATTTTATGCGGATATATTTCAATTTAATTTAAGGGTAATGTTGGATATGCTCTCAGTACAAGGAAATGTAAAAGACGTATGGGAAAAACGAGAACCTAAGTTATTCTGGAGGGGTAGGGATTCAAATAGATACCGCCTAGATCTTATTGGATTATCCAAAAAATATCCAGAATTATTCAATGTATCTCTGACAAATTTCTTTTTCTTTAAAGACGAAGAAGATGAATACGGACCCAAGTCTGATCATGTATCATTTTTTACATTTTTTGATGTAATTTTATGTCTAAAAAAGTTGATATTTTTAAAAAACACATGATTTTTTTTAGTACAAATATCAACTCTCAATTGATGGTACAGTTGCAGCTTACAGAATGCCTTTCTTACTAGGAGGTGGTTCATTAGTTTACAAGCCCCATTCAAGATATTATGAGCATTTCTATGCAGGTTTGATACCCAGTGTCCATTATATTCCTGTGGAAACCAACCTATCAAATCTAATAGAAAAAATCGAATGGGCTAAAAATAATGATGCTCAGTCCAAAATAATTGCAGAAAATGGTCAGAAATATGCCAATGACCAGTTACTGCCACAGAATGTCTTTCTGTATTACATGCATTTATTAAACGAACTAAGCAAAGTGATGACCAGCAAAGTTAGACTGTTTAATGGTATGGAACAAATTCACCAAAAGAATGATATTATTTGTGATTGTTTAACGAATGATAATGATGTTAAGGATGAACTTTAATGTACTGTGATTGAGTTTTTAGTTACTTTTACCTATATATTCATTTTGTGATAATTAAGAGTATACAGAATCTCCAAAATATATACAATTCTCAATTAGCCTTATTATTTTAGTCAAAAAAGGAATAACTACTGTTAGAATAATAATTGAAATTTATTTAATAATTGAGAAAATTAGTATCTCAAATTAAAGTACATTTTGCTACTAATTCAAATATCCTCCAAGTCCTTGTATCCTACTTTTTCTAAATTCATTAGAATGTGTTCAATTTTATAAAGCAACTCTCGTTTGACTTTCTCCCTAATTAGGGCTCTAGCTTTTGGTGTGATAGTTGAAATTAATTCGTCCACCGTAGGGACTCTGTCTCCGCTTTCCACGATGGCTTTTCTGCAGGCTAGTCGGACTTCGTCTTTCCAACCGCTCTCAACTAACCGAGTGTGAACTAATTCGGTAACGCTATAAGAAAAAAAATAGTTTTACAGCTAGCCTTGTTATTTAACTTGTTTGTTTACCTATCGAGTCCATTGTTTACATCCAAATGTAAACTTACTCGGTCTCCGTATTCTTGGGGCATCTTTATTGTAAATTAATTACAAATCAGAACAAATAAATATTATTGTTTATTGTGACATTGTGACTTGTTCTGTGATTGTGACATTGTGACAAAAAAATCAATTTGACATAAGATTTAATGCCATAGAAAGAAAAAAGAAGAGGGATCAACCACAGATTGCATTATTTGATTTATATATGATAAAATATATGATCAGAACTTTTTAACAAGTTATTAAACTGTTAAAATACAACCTGCTCTCGGAAATATAAAAAATACGCAAAATATGAACAAATTTAATTAAATTATTACCTTTTAAATAAAAATTGGTATTTCTAGGGTTTTATATGTCTTGAATAAAGGTTGGCAGTTGGCAGCACTTATATAAAATGACAGTTGAAGGTGGTTTGCAGGGCCATGTAAGTGAAATATTAAAAATGGTTCCAGCAAAAGTTTCCCAATTATGACGGATGATGGCGCTGATCGTCAAATTTTTGGACAGGGATTTTGCTTACCGACAATACGACGTGAGCTACGACCGGACCAGGACCAATCAGAATGATCAGTCTTTCTTGGACATTTACCGCGGACGTGTGTGTTAATTTCTGTTGTGATAAGTGTGGTTGTGTTTGCAGTTTGATTTTTCGGTTTTGATATTATGTTAAAATTAATTTTGAAGTATTGTATCACCTGTTTTTATGTAATAGTACTTTGTTAATGTTTGTTTAACAATGTTTTACCAAAGAGGTTATACTTAATATACTTATCAATTTGCATAGCCTAACTTTTTTATCAATAAACTTTGTAAATTTTCAGATTATTTAATTCCTTTTGTTTCCGTTTATAATTTTATTTTTAAGACATATTATGTGATTGTTTCACATAATATGTTTTAAAAATAAAATTGCAAATAGCAAATAAAAATAATTAAAATAAAAAAGTGTATTTTACAATTCCCCACGGCCCCGCACCCCTTTGGCTAACCTATAATGTCAGCTATGTCGAGAGATGGCGTTACGAAAATGGAACCGGTTTATTACAAGGAACTTGGGCTTCTTTTTCGTTAGTATATTCTGTGGTGGTTTGTCTATGGTCACTATGGTGGTTGAGAATTATTTTTATAATAAAAAGCGTGTTTTGTAAATTTCAGATATTTATGGACGAGAAATAGTAAAATAAATATCGAAATAGTGGTATTAAAGATTAACTTTCTAATAGTTTGTTTTGCATCGTGAATTCGTACAACGCAAGACAAAATAATAAGCAAAAATGGCATTCAGTTTCAGGATGTCGTTGCACATCTGATCAAAATGAAGTTTTTGATTGTATACAAATACTTTTAAGAATTAAAATAGGTCTAACACTAATTTATTTTATTGTGATTCGGCATTAAAAACACTAACAACCATGGAATTCGCTCAGCCTCCACCTAATTTAGCCATGCCCCCTCCTAATATGATGATGCCACCTGGTAAGACCTTTTTTCTATCCTCCAATAATTTTAATAAAAACAAACGATTTTTATAGGTTTCCATAATGTTAGGCCTCCATTCAGGCCTTTTATGAACATTCACAAACCTTTACCAGGCCCCTTGGGGAACATGACTCTGGAAGACTTTGACGGAAAACGACTCAGAAAATCTGTTATGAGAAAAACCGTCGACTATAATTCTTCAATAATCAAAGAACTAGAGGTAAGTGAAAATTCTTCGATTATATTAGTTTTGTTTTAATATATGAAAATTATTTTACAGAATAGGGTATGGCAAAGAGACTATAGAGACCGTAGAGCTCTACAACCTGATGTCATGTATTATCCTGATCTAATGCCTCCTCCTTCGTACCCTGACAATCCAATAAACTGTGTAACCACTAGATTTGTTAAAACAGCAACAAATAAAATGAGGTGTCCGATTTTTTGCATGGCCTGGACACCGGAAGGCCGAAGATTGGTCACTGGAGCCAGTTCGGGGGAGTTTACCCTATGGAATGGACTTACGTTTAATTTTGAGACTATTTTACAAGTAAGTATTTCTAATTAATATTTACAATGATCCTGAATAATTTTTTATTGATTTTATATTAACAATTTCTATTTTTTTCTATGTTAGGCACACGACAGTCCAGTTAGAACGATGGTGTGGAGCCACAACGACAGCTGGATGGTGACAGGGGATCACGCAGGGTACGTCAAGTATTGGCAGTCGAACATGAACAATGTGAAGATGTTCCAGGCCCACAAAGAAGCCCTGCGAGGCATCAGGTATCTACAACTTCTCTACATAATATTTCGATTTGTATTTGCCCCAGATATTTTAAATAAAATACTTTCCTTCCTTATCCTATTTTCGGCTACGTTAGTGCAATAAGAGCTTGTAAACTATGAGAAAAAAACAATAAAGAAATCATTTATTTTATTATAATATTTACTAATTAGAGATCTGTGATATAAAGTTAAATTTTCTGTGATATGATTTTATATGATCGTGATGTAATTTATTGAAGTCTTCAATAAATAGTTTTTGAAATGAAATAGTGTCAAAGCTGGATCCTAGTACCTTTTTACATCTATCTTTTTTCAGAAAGATTTAATAAGGTGTCAGGGTCCACCATTTTTATTTCACAACCTTTTGATTAATTTTTTTTGTTTAATTCTTGAAAAAATAATTTTAAATAAAGATATACTTTTTTAATAAAGAAAATTTTAATTTGCACTAATGATATAATAATGCTTAAGAAGAAAAAGACATAGCGTGATACAGTTTTATAAAAAATGTATATGAATTAATATTATAAATAAAGCACCCCTATTCCTACCTCCTATATACACTGCAATACAACGTTTAAAAATAAAGACAATTTAATGATGAGTTCTAGTAACAATAAAAATACCTTCACATGTCCTTATCCTAAAATTCCTGGGTAAAAAGATATAACGTGATCAAAAAGATCATATTTCCTTAAATTTATTTAATAAAAAAGTCGTTCTGATAATAATTTGAAGGCAACGTTTATACCGTATGATCGGAAAGAAACGGCTTCAAGTTAGCTTGGAAATGACGATCAGTGATATTCCCCATATAATTTTACATATACAAATGACAGCGATTTTCGTTTCATAGCCATCGCTGACGCCGTTTTTTTTAGATTATACGGTAGATTATATTAGAAAAAAAGTCCGCAAACTTCCATAAAGGCTAAATTATTTTCAGTGTTCAATCTGGCATTTTTTCCATTTGGGGTTTTCTTAAGCCGCGTCCAAGCTACTCGAACAAAACGTTCGCGAACATATATAATTCAAACTATATACTCATAGCAGCAGGTCGTAAACGACGGCACAGCCCATCGCATCGGTCCCGAGGACTGAGGAGCGGGGAAGAATGCGACAACCAGTTTGCTCTATAGATCTAGGATGCGTTTAGGTAGTGGCTGTTTTTTCGAGTGCCCGGATTTCGAGTGCAAGCATTTTATTAAATAAATTAACCGGTAAACAGTTTAAGAACTTTTGTCGTAGAAGAATCTATATTTAACAGGCGGAGGGTTACAGGGGTCTTTTGGTAGATTATTCGTTATAGTGTATTTTTAAGACCTGTATTCATTTTCAGCCGATTCTACCAGGTGTTTCTCAAAAGGGGCTCACTTTTTTATTTTTTCAGATAATACAACGAAATAATTTGGTTTGTTAGTATATGACATAGATCGGGATTGATTGACGTATTCAATTACCTTCGGTCGCTTCCTGTTTCACCGGAAATGACTACAACTTTGTATTTTTAGATTGTATCCTAAGTACTTTTTTACTTTATTTGATAGAAAATGACATTCTGAATAGAATGACATACCATACGTCAATTTTAGACAATTCCAATTAAATAAATATTGCATTTTAAATTTCAGTCTAGAGTGTCAAGACTGAGTTAAAACTATTAATTTGTAATCAAAGAACTTTGGAAACATATACATATTTGATCGTGTAATTTCTTTTCGTATCCTTTCATGACCTCTTAAAAGATGCCCAAATCGTACTTTTAATGATAACTCAAATTTTTCAAATGGTACGAGGCTGGCTCAGCATATTTGGAAAAGGCATTTTTTATGAATAATTTGGTACCACATTTGGAGTAAAATTGTCGTTACGTTTATTTATGGCCATTTTTAAATTGAAAATGTCAAAAGTTGACATATATATATATATATCATTCTATTTAGAATGTCATTTTCTATCATATACGGTAAAAAATACCGAGGGTACCATTTAAATCAAAAGTTGTTGCCGAAAATAAATGAAAACGTCGATCAATCCTGATTTATGTCCTATACTAACATACCAAATCTCGTTTTTTATCTAAAAAATTAAAAAAGTTATAGAAGTGAACCACTTTTCAGAAACACCCGGTATATTTATTTCTAAAAATGTAATGGTAAAATTTCATTTCCGGTGTCAAACTTCCTATTAAGTAGTAATTTTTAATTTCATAATCCCATAATAATTCCGGTTTTTAATAAAAATAATCATAAAGGTCTTTATTACCAAAAATGAAATTATATGGACGAAGTCTAACTACATAGCTATTCACACTCAACCCACAATAAAATTAAAATTATAAAATCTTTTCTTTGTGTAAACAAATTAGTTGTAAATGTTTTTCACGATCCCAGTCAATAACTGCGTCCCCCATTGTCGAATACTCGGTAAAAAATAAAAATCACAGATGGACGCCCGAAATTAAATGAGACCCTTCCAAGTGCCCGGTACAATGTCCGCCGAAATACACGCCGTTCGCTCCTTTTGATTTACCGACACCCGTCGGAAAAAGAACGCGCGCGGTCTGGCATAGGCAGACGCACGCTCTGGCGTACAAGCTAGCCGTTCGGCGCTCCGCGCTCCTTAATAGGCCTAGGCTAGCTGTACTTGTTGGCTTTATTATTTATAAATCTATCTATCTCACAATTTTCACTTAGTATCTGTTTAATTATATATGTTCGCGAACATTTTGTTCGAGTAGCTTGGACGCGGCTTTAGATCTTAATTTATTCAACAGTTTCTGTTTGCAAAATTTTAAAGGTGGCATATTTTCTTAAAAAATATTTTATTGACTTTTCGAAATATCATACAAGAAGCAGTATTATAGTAGTATAATATGACTTATTTATATTTTTAAAGAAGAGAAGAAAAACTATGGTCACAAGGAATAGGTAATTATTTTGTGGTATATACCGGGTGCGTCTCAAAAGTGGCTCACCCCTATATCTTTTATATTTTTTCAGATAAAACAACGAGATTTGGTATGTTAGTATATGACATAAATTAGGATTGATTGAAGTATTCAATTTTTTTCGGTCACTTCCGGTTTTACCGGTAATGACTACAACTTTTGATTTTTAAATGGCACCCTCGGTATTTTTTTACTTTATTCGATAGAAAATGACACTCTGAATAGAATGACGTATCATATGTCAACTTTTGACATTTTCGCATATGGTTTATTTGAAATTGCAACCTGCGGTTCATAACGACAATTTGACTCGAAATACCAAGTGTGTGGTATCAAATTATTCGTAAAAAAAGAAAAATTTTCTATCGAATGAAGTAAAAAAATACCGAGGATGCCATTTTACAAAAGTTGTAGTCATTTCCGGTGAAACAGGAAGTGACCGAAAACAATTGAATACGTCAAATACCAAATCTCGTTTTTTTTAGCTGAAAATATATAAAAAAAAGGGGTGAGCCACTTTTGAGACGCACCCGGTATATTTAATTTTCTCTATTAAGACGTTTATTATACTGTGTATACTGTTTTAACATTTATTGGGGTATCTTTAAAATAAACTTAGTGGCAGTTACATCATTAAATAAATATACCGTATGGCCAAAAACTAACGGGAAAAGACCGTTTAGTTGATTGTATATATTAGTATTTGGTATATTACTATTTTTATTTTTTATAAAATCGGAGAAAATCGTTTTTTTTTCAAATATCTTCGGAAGTAATCGTTTTTTTTTTAGATTTCGAAAGATTGCGTTGTAGTGACGAGCAAGACACAACAAGTTTTCTCTAATTTAATCAGCTTTGTTTCTCTTCTGGTTTACCAGAACCCTGTAGTGATCATTCTTATACAGGGTGTCCCACTTAAGATGGATACAAGCCAATATCTTGGTTGTTTGTTGAGCGATCTTTTTCATTTTTGGCAGGAGGCCGTATGGCTATAAGACGTACATTTTGCCCAGGGTAAGAAATGCGATACCTCATAGACGTACGTTTTAATGAGGTTTGATATTTTTCGAGTCAAGAGTAAACTACCCTTAGGACAGTATTTATTTCAAATCTGATAAATTATATTGAATCCTCCTTACCTAAGATACTTAAGTTCTAATTTTTATAAATATTGACACAGGGTGTCCCATTAAAATAAGACATTTTTATTTTTATTATTATTTTTTTAAGTACTTACGACGCAACTGGATAAACAACTGGTTTATCATCAATAACCAATTATATCCAACTATCCATTAATAATCCATTTAAGTTTGGTCGAAGATGATGACTTTTAGTTCGTTATAGTTTTATAAATCTTTGTTTAGAGCATATTTTCCAAAGTTAATAGTGATTGTTTTAAATAACTATTTGGATTTTTAAAAATATTCCTCAATAAAACGAATAAAAATCATATTTCAGATTCCATTGAAAACTGGGTTTTTAAATTATTTTGTAACTCATTTTATTCATTTGTATTAGCAAACTTAAAAAACAATTTTTTAAAGTAAACAAAATAAATTGAAAATATTTAGTTTTTTTGTATCGTATCTTAATTATTATGGAAGCTATCTGAAAACTTAAATCGATTGTTAATTGATAATTGGTTATTGATAACAAACCAGTTCTTTATCCAGTGGCGTCGTAAGTACTTAAAAAAATAATAATAAAAATAAAAATGTCTTATTTTAATAACACACCCTATATCAATATTTATCAAAATTAGAACTTAAGTATCTTGGGTAAGGAGGATTCAATATAATTTATCAGATTTGAAATAAATACTGTCCTAAGGGTAGTTTACTCTTGACTCGAAAAATAGCAAACGTACCCATTAAAACGTACGTCTATGAGGTATCGCATTTCTTACCCTGGGCAAAATGTACGTCTTATAGCCATACAGCCTCCTGCTAAAAATGAAAAAGATCGCTCAACAAACAACCAAGATATTGGCTTGTATCCATCTTAAATGGGACACCCTGTATATGGGACACCGTGTATAGTTTAAAGAATAAATATTTCATTAGCGTTAAATTGCATTATGTCCATAGAATAGGTCTTTTTTTTAAATCTTTTTGAAGCAAAATGCAAAAAAATCTTATTTCTTGTGACCAAAGACGACAGATCCAAGAGGGTGTAACTACAACTATTATTTTTTTGTTTAAAATCGTACATTTAATCATGTATTAAATAAAACGTTTTTTCAAAAAAGTTTTTTATTCCCATTCCACGAAAAAATAAAAATATACTTATTCAGAAATTGAGTTTTATTATACATTTAATACAATCTATATATTTTTTTTTTATACAGGGTGCCTTAAGTACGTGAAGGAAATTGTTGGGAAAATTTCTCAGATAAAAAGTACTTATAAATATAATAAAGTACTTATAATATTTGCCTTTATTTCTAACTTTAAAATCTCTCCTATCATTGTTTTGGTATAAAGGTCCACGTAAGTTTACTTTCAGATAAAAATCATTGTCTATAAACTATTTTTTTGAAATTATCTTAGGAATCGTTCTTGAATTTTCTCGATGTATTTAGGGACCACCCTGTATAATATCGTAATAAGTTATCATGTATGTTGTGGGTGATTTTCGCATCTTTTTACACAGCTTTAGTCCTTCCGATACCAAGTTTGTGACGTGTTCGGACGACGGCACCCTCAGAATTTGGGATTTTTTCCGCTATCAGGAGGAGAAAGTACTAAGAGGTAAGTACGACCTTTTTTGAGATTTTTTTTACTCTGATCAACAAACCGTACGAAAAATTAGTTTAAACTAATTTAATTTTTATATTCACCAATATACCGTATGATCGAAAAAAAAACGGCGTCCAGTTGGCTTGAAAATGACGATAGATGACATTCCCCATATAATTTTACATATAAAATGACATTTCATAGCCACCGCTGACTTTTTTTTTCCGAGCATATTGTATTTTTTACAAAAAATCACGTTACAGTCCTAGAAAACTTGTTGAAATCCATGTTTTGCCAACGATGATTATGCTAACAGTTAGCAAATACACTTTTAATTATTTAAAGATGATGCTTACAAAGTTAGCGAAATACATTTGGCTCATGTTTATTATCAGTACCTACATGGTTAAATATTACTTTTAATCATTTGCCGTCTACTAAAGCCGAGTTTTAAAAAGGCGTTGATATTAAGATTGTTAGCGAAACACACTCTGTGTTCATGTTTCGCTAATCTTCTTATAGTCATTGATAGATAGCTTAAACTTAGTTCTAGTCGTTCACTGACTATTAAAGCTGTGTTTTAATAATACCTTGATAGTATTAATATAGTTAGCGAAATACACTCTGCACTCGTATGGTTTGCTCTATTAGCATTACTAAATGGTTAACAGCCAGTTTATGTCTACTACCTTTGAACGAAATTAAATAGTACGTTGAGTTTATTACTATAGTTAGCGTAATACATTTTGGCCTCTCGTTTCGCAAACCATCTTATACTGTCAGCAGATAATTTAAACTTGGTTTTAATCTATTTCTCCAGAGCAAATATGAGTTTTTTATCATTTGATGGTGATGCTAAGTTAGCAAAATACACTATTGTATCTTATTTTGTCAGCCATTTTAGATTTTTTCAATAATCGATTAAAACTCTTGATTTAATCACTTGTCGATAGTTACAGGGAGTTTTAAGCCTCTAATGATCATGCTAGAGCATAGTTAGCGAAATACACTCTATACTCATATATTGCTAACTACGTATTAAAACTCTTGATTTAATCACTTGTCGATAGTTACATGGAGTTTTAAGCCTCTAATGAGCATGCTAGAGCATAGTTAGCGAAATGCACTCTATACTCATATATTGCTAACTACGTTAACATCATTAGCAGATGATTAGAAGAAGAGTTTTGAGCACCTGTCGATGTTTAAAAGAAGTTTAAAGCGTCTAATGGCAATGCTAGCATAGTTAGCAAAATATACTCTATACTCATATATTGCTAACTATGTTAAAATAATTAGTAGATGATTAAAACAAGAGTTTTGAGCACATGTCGATGGTTAAAAGGAGTTTAAAGCTTCTAATGGCAATGCTAGCATAGTTAGCAAAATACACTCTATACTCATATATTGCTAACTTTGTTAAAATCATTAGCAGATGATAAAAAATAAGTTTCATAGCACTGTTGATTGTTAAAATTGAGTTATAATACAGTGATGTCAAATATTTTGTAAGATCGCTCAACAAACAACCAAGATATTGGCTTGTATCCATCTTAAATGGGACACCCTGTATATGGGACACCGTGTATAGTTTAAAGAATAAATATTTCATTAGCGTTAAATTGCATTATGTCCATAGAATAGGTCTTTTTTTTTAATCTTTTTGAAGCAAAATGCAAAAAAATCTTATTTCTTGTGACCAAAGACGACAGATCCAAGAAGGTGTAACTACAACTATTATTTTTTTGTTTAAAATCGTACATTTAATCATGTATTAAATAAAACGTTTTTTCAAAGTTTTTTATTCCCATTCCACGAAAAAATAAAAATATACTTATTCAGAAATTGAGTTTTATTATACATTTAATACAATCTATATATTTTTTTATACAGGGTGCCCTAAGTACGCGAAGGAAATTGTTGGGAAAATTTCTCAGATAAAAAGTACTTATAAATATAATAAAGTACTTATAATATTTGCCTTTATTTCTAACTTTAAAATCTCTTCTATCATTGTTTTGGTATAAAGGTCCACATAAGTTTACTTTCAGATAAAAATCATTGTCTATAAACTATTTTTTTGAAATTATCTTAGGAATCGGATAGGAATATCAAGATAGCAAAGTTAGCAAAATACACTTTGGTTTTACGATTCTCTAACAATCTTGGCATTGTCAGTAGACTATTAAAAGTTTGTTTTAATCATCTGCCTGCTCTAATGACAGTACAGTTAGCGAAATACACTCTCTCTCTGTACCTACTAGTCAGTAAATTATTATAACTGTAAAATAAACGTGGTGTATCGAAAAAAACTTGAAAAAATAAATCTAGAATACCTTAAAATCTTTTTTAACACCCTTTAGGACACGGTGCTGATGTTAAATGTGTACACTGGCACCCTCAAAAAGGACTGATCATATCCGGAAGCAAGGACAACCAACAACCAATCAAATTGTGGGATCCCAAGACCGGACAATCTTTAGCTACGCTGTAAGTTCTGGCCTAGTCTTAACACAAATATCAAACAATATAGGTACTTATAATTAATTCTTTTTTTACCAGGCACGCTCACAAATCCACCGTGATGGACCTGAAATGGAACCAGAACGGTAACTGGCTGATCACAGCGTCCAGAGACCATCTTCTGAAGCTGTTCGACCTCAGGAACCTGAGTCAAGAAGTTCAGACGTTTAGAGGGCACAAAAAAGAGGCGTCTAGCGTAGCGTGGCACCCGGTACACGAAGGGTTGTTTGCTAGCGGTGGTTCCGACGGTGCCATTATGTTCTGGCACGTGGGGTAAGCAACGCAAGATTTATCCTTTTTTAAGGTCCCGTACTGCGGTACTAAAAAGTTTTTTTTAATTTCCTGAAAAATGTCGAGAAACATGTGAGATTTTCAACATTTTTTCCCAAAAAAATCTTATAAGCGTAAAATACTACTAAAGTTACTACATATTTAAGACATCCTATATTTTCTATCTCAATATATTATGCATATATCTTCTTTTTAGTGCTGATAAGGAAGTGGGCGCTATAGAACAAGCCCACGACAGCATAGTGTGGACGCTGGCCTGGCATCCTTTAGGCCACATTTTATGTTCCGGTTCCAATGACCACACTAGCAAGTTCTGGACGCGGAACAGGCCAGGCGACCAAATGAGGGACAAATACAATCTCAACACGCTGCCTGCCGGTATAGCGGGCTTAGAAGATTTGGATGCCTTAGGAGGTAACTTGACTACTGTATTTTATATTTTTTTATGAAACAACAAAATAAAACACTAAATCACCACAATACACCAAAACACTTTTACTTTTACACTGGACGCTCGTTTCGCTAACCATGTTAGCATCATCAGCAGATGATCAAGATTAATCTAAAATGTACAATTTGAGCGTTTATATACTCGCTTAGTGGGTACCGAGTGGGCGTGGCAAGATCTGGCCAACCTAGTCAGAGCCTACCGAGCGTTAACACTTAAATTTCCGCCACTAAAGTAGTAGGAACAAAGAACTTGAAGGAATTGGACCGTTGTCTCTGTTCATACTATCTTTACATTTATTAATTCTGATGCTTTCATATGCATCTAATTGCCTGTAATTTGAGACTTGTTTAATTAATTTTAAATTATTAAGATCTATACAATGTTTTTATCAACAATATGTTCAGCAACGCAAGATTTATCCGGTCTACCATATCTTATTTCAGCTAAATGTTCTTTATATCTAGTTAATATTCATCTTCTAGTTTGCCCAACATATTTCTGATTACAATCTTTACAAGAAATTTCATAAATACCCGACCTTTCCAGTGGAGATGTTTTATCCTTTGGATTACCTAATAATTGTTGTAATTTATTATTAGCGCTATACACAAGTTTATAATTGACATTCTTAAAAATTTCTTTAAGACCACGGGATAACTCTCAATCAGACGGTATTGAAAAATATTTTCACGTAATCATCTTTCACCACTTGAAAACTCAAATTTTCAGAAATCAAAAACTTATACCTACGTTTTCTAATTATTTTATCAACTAGTGAAGGAGAATATCCATTACACTCAGCTACACTCCTAATGAAGTGGAAACCTAAGTAATCTATGAACTAAGAAATTTAAACTAGCCATTTTATGTTGTAAAGATATCAAATTCCAAATGTTCCTATAGATATCAAATTCCAGGCAATTATTAGTATTTATAATAACTAATACATCTAGAAATGGTAAACTGTCGTTTTTAATTTCATGTGTAAATTTAATGGAAGAAAAACTATTATTTAAACAACAAAAACGATTATGAAACAAATTTAACTTATGTTATGATTTTTATTTTGTTTTTCTAACTGTTTTTTTTATATTTACAACAATAGGCTTGTTTTCATGTAGGGGTTGATATTTTTCCAAAGAATATTTAGGTAATAGCCAATTTCCAAGTGTTCCTGTAGGTACTATTATCCTTTTTATTCACTAGCATTGCTGGACTTGTTGCTTTATGGCTTTATGTCCTTTTCTAGCAATTTAACTTATGGATTCACACACAATATGGCATATTGGCACTTTTTAAACTCTTGTGGTACTTTTAGTAGGTCTATCCCACTTCTGATATGTAAAAGTACAACTTGTATTTTCAAATAAAATACTGGATTTCTCTCATAACTCCTTTATTACATCGTAGTACTCAGGATTACGACACAAACATGTGCTTCGTGCGAGCACCGGGTACCGACTGACCGCGGGAGCCTCGCTCACAATATCTTATCTCCCGTAACATTCTATCGCCTCTGTCATAAAAACCATGCATTATGAATAATACAATCTGACATATACATAAATCTTGATTTGTTAATCATAACAATACACTATATAAATAAGGTACTCATAAAAATCATAACACTTATTTCTTTTAATCGTAGATGAGCCTATGTCGGTGATTCCCGGAATGGGTCCAGAGGACAAAGTCGAACTGACGGCCCTGATAGGCGATGAAACGACAGCCATTCCAGGTCTGGACTTAGATTCTGGATTGCTGACCAACGAGGAGAAGCCCAAGCCGAAGAAAGTGCCCTTCAGCAAACCGATCCCCAGAAATTTCCAGGCGCAGTGGAATGAAACGGGAGCCGGAGGTAAGAAAAATAATGTTTAAATAATAATCTTTCCCCATTGTCCCAGATTTGAGGGTGACCACTAGGATCTCGGAAACTAAAAAAGAAACGAAGGAGGTCAAATTATACAGGCTGTTTCAAGAAACATGTGCCTAAAATATATAATTTTATTTATTAATTTTATTTTTATATTAATTTTATTAATTGTTATTTATAAAATTGCGTTTATCTCATCAAGGAGGCCGATATCGACGAAATATCAAGAGGCAACTTTTAATCGGCGTTAAACTGCTTACACTATTTCGCTAACAAGAGAAAAAAAGTCAGTGGCGTACATGCTTTTTTTAGAAAAATATTCCAGTGAAAACCCATATGCACGTCCCTGGTGAATATGTCGACACTTTTTTAGCTTTAAAATATGTCGCATTTATAGTAGCTTTCACTCTCAAAATTTCATTCGAAACGCTAAAGGTACTTGGAAGAAAATTATAATTAACCAAAAAAATATTAAGATTTTAACACCTTGTAGCTACGAAACAAAGCAGAATTGGACCTATGTTGATATGAAAAATCAATCTTATTTTTACTTGAGGAATCTCCCCACGAGAGATGGCGCATGTTTTTTGAAACACCCTGTATATAGTAAAGTTTTGCGATTTTCTGTCGAATAAAATGACATTTTCAAATTTAAAAAAATCCAAATACTTCGGAAAAGTAGATATTCGGAAAATACAAAATATTGTAAAATTATTTTTAAATAGTTAAATTTATTTAAAGAAATGATTTAAAATTGATGCCGCTTCATCATTATCACTTTTCTCCTTATAAGATGGTGCTATTAAATGTCAAATCCTACGTTTTATTTCCGAGATACCATAATTTTTTAAAATACGCCCCTGTAAGATACAAGGACTGGTTAAAATATTCGAAAAAATTGACAAAAATTAGCAATTATCGTATAGTTACTTTATAGTTACAAAATTTGGATTACTTTTTCAAACAAGATTTGTCACAATTTTAATACACCGTTAGTGAATTTTAAGTTAACGCCTCCTTTTTGCTACCAAGGCTAATCTTTACGGCTCCTACTTTGTTGCCCAAGTAGAATAAAATTATATTATATTGCTTTACAATATATTTTGTTTTTGTTTCAGACGATGGTCTTAACGACGTCATTTCCAAGTTGGTGGAAAGTACTCCAGGCGTGGTACCACTGGAGAAAATTACGCCCAACGCTATTATAGTCTACGGCAAACTAATTCCTGTGGAACGTAAGTAACTATTTTTTTAAATGTATTTATAAATAAACAACAAATTAAATGTTATAAAGATCACTTCATAATATGGATGGACCGATATATCGATCCTATGATATACAGGGTCTTCCTATTTTATTCCATTTATTCAAAAACTGACTCGTCCCGCCTTGACCGCCTCTTATACAGACCTATGTATACCCACAGACGTCACTTCTAGTTTGTTCTCGAAGTTCGCTTTATCTTCATGTGTTAGGAAACGGCCGTTTTGTATATTATCGAGAGATACCACTGGTCATTTCGTTATGATTTTCGTAAGTAACAATAGCATTATTTATCAATATTTCCCTTTCAGCCGGATCTAAACTAGAAAAGGCCATCTCCGAAGGCCCAGACGCTCTTCAAAAATTCATCGATTCCGGAGAGATTGAAGAACTACACGACGTGATGCCCATCAGAGATCCCGACGAAGACGAGTACTTGAGGGACACGAACCACGAAGAAATCAACAACATGCACAACGTGAGCATGCAGGACCTCAACGACAGCCAGTTCTTCGACGAAGACTTGAGGAATTTGGACCAAGACATGAGGGCGTTTAATCCCAAAGGAGGTAAACTTATAGTTAATTTTTAATTATGGTTTATTTTTACCCATCCTGTATGATATTTTAATTATTTTAAGAGTCCGTTTCACTAGTCCGAAAAAGTAGCAAAATAAGCGTTCGGCATTTAATGTTTTATGTGAAACTGGTTAGGATAAAAAAAAAAGATAAAGGATCTATATCCTTATTGTAGCACATTTTTAGACAACTTCTTTATTTTTAAAATTTTGATAGTCAAACATCAACAAAATATTCCTTATGTTTGGACTAAATTTTCTCGAAAATAAAGACATAATTTAAAATTCCGTTAAAATAGGGAAATAGATTGAAGTAATAATTTAAGGCGCTCGGGCTGAATTTCTCATTTAAAAAAGCAATGAAAGAGCTTTTCTCTGTTTCAAAGAAGCCCTGATAGTTTTAAGTAACTGTTCGTATCATTATTATCATTATTTATTGCTTTATTGATTTATTGATTTACCAATTTATCGCTTTATGGATTTATCGATTTCTTGATTTATTTATTGATTTATCAATTTCTTGATTTATTGGTTGATTTATTTATTGATTTATTAATTTATTGTTTTATTGATTGATTGATTTATTAATTTATTTATTGATTTATTTATTGCTCTATTGGTTTATCGATTTATTGATTGATATATTGATTTATTGATTTATTTTATCGATTTATTGAATTATTTATTGATTTAAATTAAATTTGCTTTATTGATTTATCGATTTATTTATTGCTTTATCGATTTATGGATTTATCGATTTATTGATTGATATATTGATTTATCGATTTGTTTTATCGATTTATTGATTTATCGATTTGTTTTATCGATTTATTGATTTTTTATTGATTTAAATTAAATTTGTTTCCCTTAATTTTTCTTCAAGCCAACTAAAATAAGAACTGGTAATTAATTTTCTCCTCGGTAATTTTCGGCAAGACGATGAAAAATATGACGTATCCTAGGTCAGTTCTCAAATAATAATTTAAGCGCTCGGGCTGAATTTCTCATTTAAAAAAAGCAAGAAAGGACTCTCCGTTTCAAAGTGTCGTAACCCGATTTATCGATTGATTTATTGATTTATTGACTTATTGATTTATTGATTGATCGATTTATGAATTTATGGACTTATGGATTTAATGGTTTATCAATTTATTGATTGATTTATCGATTTGTTGATTTATGGATTTATCCATTTATTTATTGATTTATTGATTGACTTATTTATTGATTTATTGAAAATTTTTGTTGCTTCCGACGACGGAAAGAGATAAACTTTCCGAAATGTTAAGCATTTTTTTTGTTCGTTAGGCAAATTTGTTTATCTGTAAACTTAACTGCTGATAAGTAGTTTCCCTTGGATTAACACAGCAGTGTTTACAAAAAATATATATATACATTCAGGTCAGAACGTCCTACGACGTTGTCCGATGCCTAACTTCCACCTTGTGCGATTTTCCCATTGATCTTCGGTCAGATTTTTCTCGCTCATTGATCTTCTGATTCCTTCCATCCATGTTTTCTTGGGACGTCCTCTCTTTCGTTTACTAGATGGTATCCAATACAAAAAATATTTTATTTTGTAGATTTTCTTGTAGTGGCAAAATACCCATATAGGATTTTTTTGGAGATACTCTTGATTTAGTTTCTTTCTTTTCAGACAGCGACATGCGCATGTTCGGCGATCGGCCCGCCTCCGACTTGGACTTCCGTCCGCCCAAAGACTTCGACATGCGCAATCCCCCACCTCTATTCAACCACCCGCCAGGCGTTCCACCGCCACTTTTCGGCGGACCGCCTATACGTCCACCCCGAGGCCATCCGCTGATGGGCGGACCGGGAATGGGACCGCCCCGGGGAGGCGGCATGATGCGGCCGCCCAATCGTATGTCGCACGGCGGAGGGGATGAGGAGTTTGGCGACGAGGATTTCAGGAATAACAGCGGCGGACGAAAGAATTTCGATGAGAGTTTTGAGGAGGACAAAGAGTTTTACGATGATGGTGAGTGTAATCTTAATGTTTTTTTTGTAATTAAAATTAAAACATTTCTCATAATTTTTTTCCATAGCAACTGTTAAAATTGCCTTATATCTATCAAAAATAGTAGATAAAATAGTACTTTAACCGCAAGGGTATATTAAATGATACTTTAACAGCAAGAATAGGTTAAAAACTTTATTTCTTCTAGCACGTTTTTTAATTGTTTCCATTTTTGAAAAATTTTGTATTCCATTTCATAAGTTATTCGGGATTCAAGTGGAAGTAGTTTGGATATGGCGTTTGTCGCCTCAGCCTGAATATCTGTTGGTAATTTACTTATTTCGATTTGAGCCATTTCTGTCTCCAATTCAATCAGCAATCGACACGAAAGAGAATTAAAAAATATTGACTCAAAACTGACAACTAAATAGACAGCTTTATTTATTTGTGAAATTACATAGAAACCAAAGCCAACCCAGCACAATATTTTTTCTACTCGTAATAAATTCCTTGAAATAATAATTTCTGAATATTTTTTAAAACGTAACTCGCTATGGAAAAGAATATTGTTTTATACACGACGATAAAATTGCATTATCGTCTCCCGAAATTAATTCACTCGCGATTTCATCGCTCATGAATTTCCTTGACTATTTTTTATGTGTAAAAACTATTTTCACGTAAAAAACTATTGGTTAGACGTAAAAAATATTTCTAGGCGTAAAAAACTATTTTTTAAGCGTACAAAACTATTATACGTAAAAACCTATTTGTTACGGAATTTCTCATTTAAAAAAGATAGACTGATAGTTTTAAGCAGGGTTGGAAAAAATCATGATTTTTAAAAAAAAATCAGATTTTTTTTATTTAAATCGGATTTTTTTTATTTAAATCAGATTTTTTTGATTTTAATTCAAAACAATATTTAAATCGGATTTCCAAATGACTAGGACTTATTTCCAATTAAAGTCCTATCCTAAATGGCTAAATCTTTATAACTCTGAGCAATGCCGATAACATTAACAATTATATGGCGCGTGTCATTTTTTCACATTGGTCACCAATATATTCCGCAAAAAAAGTCGCTCGGTTCAGATCAAAAGGATTTTTTTTCAAACGTCTCAAAAGTATTAATTTTTGTCATTTTAACGGCTAAGCATAAAAGTAAAGCACTGTTACGCCTAAGCACAAAAGTACAAAAATATATTATTAAACTGATATTAAGTGTCAAATTCAACGAGTGTACAAATTGTTTCTCGATTACTGTTTGTATTATTTGCAATGTTTGAAATTGATTAAAAAATTATTTGTAATGTTTTAAAAAAATAGTGTTTTATTCGGAGTAAAAATGTACTTTTTGTGCCTCCTTGTAACGTCGGAATAGGTTTACGATGATCATTCAAATGTACAGCATCGTCAAAAAAAGTATAATTTCTACTCTTAATAAAACAATACACTATTGTTCGGAAATAGTCTTAAGTCGAGAACGAAATTAGTATTATCTAATGTCAAAGTGTACTTACTGCAAATAAAAAGGTCGGTAAGAATTTGGAAACATACCAACGTTTCAAAAAAAAATATATATAAAATAACATATTTTCTGACAACAATTATAGATTTTCTGGAATGAAGATATAGTCTCTATATCAGAAGAACCTAGTTCTGGCACTAGTCTGCGAATGATATATATTCGAACAGCGAATTTTTGTCACTTATACATAAATTTTAAAATAAATCCCTGCGTTTAGCGGTCTTATGGATTCACACGAAATTACTTCAATAATCGGTTCAACATTTAAATTGATGAATAGATATTTTTATATAGTTTTATAAAATTTACAATTATTTTTCGATTTATTATCTGTTATATCTGTTATAGAAATATTTTTTATAGTTTTCTAGGACAGATTTTTATAATTTTTACAGTTATTTTTTGATTTGTTATAAAGTTTCAATAAAATTATTTTTTTGATTTAAATCACATGATTAAAATTAAAAGAATCACTTGATTTAAATCATGCCCAACTCTGGTTTTAAGTAACTACTATTTTTTACGGGTTACTACTATTACGGTAACTACTATTTTTTACGGGTAAGAAACTAATTGTTACACGTAAAAGGTATTTTTACGCATAAAAACTATTTTTTAAGCGTATAAAACTATTTGTTACCCATAAAAAACTATTTTTTACGTGTAAAAAACTATTTGTTACATATAAAATAGTATTTGTTACGCGTATAAAACTATTTGTTACAGGTAAAAACACTATTTGCTGTGCGCAAAAAAATATTTTTTTACGCGTAAAAAACTATTTTTCACACGTAAAAAACTATTACATAGTTAGACCTAAAAAAATATTTCTACGCGTAAAAAACTATTTTTTAAGCGTACAAAACTATTTGTTCCACGTAAAAAACTATTTGTTACAAGAAAAAAACTATTTTTTACGGGTAAAAAACTAATTGTTACACGTAAAAGGTATTTGTTACACGTAAAAAGTATTTTTACGCATAAAAACTATTTTTTAAGCGTATAAAACTGTTTGTTACAGGTAAAAAACTATTTGTTACCCACAAAAGACTATTTTTTACATGTAAAAAAGTATTTGTTACACGTAAAAAACAATTTTTTAATTTATTACTTTTTCCACATTCCAAACTACACTTTTTCAAGCATGGCCTCCAATTTAATAGCTGTTAGTAAGAAGTTTTACTTCAAATATGCACACATAGTACACACACAATTTTTATTTCAACTATAAAATTCCTCTATCAACTATTTTCCTCCTTCTTTCAGATCAACAAAACAACTTCAACAATTCGAACTGGCAACGCAACGGCGGCAACTTCAACAACTTCCGCGGAGGCGGCGGCAGGGGCGGTTTCCGACCGCCCCAGTCCAACAACTTCAACCCCGACTGGAGCGGTCCCCCTCCCAACCAGGACTTCCGAGGCCGCGGCAGAGGGCGTGGCCGAGGCGGACCCAGAGGTAAAGGCGGAGCCGGAGGCGGTCCGCGCAATAAGACCCAGAAGAACAGGGGGCGTGGCGGCGGTAGAGGCAGGGGCGGAGGCAGTTGATTTCGACGTGTTTCAGAAGGAGAGGAGACGTGAGAGGAAAAGAGGAAAGAAAGGAGCATGGTATATATTTATTGTGTACTTGAGAGAAATTAGCTAACGGTTTTTTGTTATTAAGGAAATATTAATTTTAGATAGCGCTCTGTATATGTATTTTTTTTCCAATTAAATGAAAAGAGTATATTATTTTCATTGTTTTTTTGTCTCTGATGAAGTGAGGAGATATACCTCCTGGAACGTTAAGCATTTGTTCGCCGTTAAGAAACTTTGTTTTATTTAGTAAAATACCACGTCAAATTGGTCCCCGTTATACTTATATTTTGTAGATTTTCTTCTAGAGGCCAGGATCTATTTCAAGAAATAAACTCGTCCCAAAGGTATACCGGATGCGTCTCAAAAGTGGCTCACCCCTATAACTTTTTTTTTAGATAAAAAAAGATTTGGTATGTTAGTATATGACATAAATTAGGATTGATTGTCGTATTCAATGGTTTTAGGTCACTTCCTGTTTCACCGGAAATGACTACAACTTTTGATTTTTAAATAGCACCCTCGGTATTTTTATACTTTATACAACAACAATCTCTATAGTCATCGTTGACATAAAACTTCTCAAAAATTAACACTAAAATAAAGAGTACTCGCCAAATAAATGAGATCTAGGGCTTGACCTCGCCAAATCTATCATCGATTGTCATTTCTCCGCCATCTTTGACGCTACTTATTAAAATAAAACGAATCTTTAAGAAAGAAAAGGTATATTTAAACTAGTTAATAAAATCGCTTATATTTATACATATATTATCTCTGTTTACCTATATAATATTATAATTACAGAAAATTAACTTTAAATTTAAGTTTTTGTCAGACAAACCGAATTTTCGATAAAAAAAAACACGAAAAATAAAATGTACAACGCGTGTCCTTTGATTCGACTCTTGCAATTTCCCTAGTTTTATTAGATTTTCTCCCTTTTCTTGAAGTTCCGTTTGCTTGCGCACCGGTTCACTATGTCGTTCACGTGACGCTGATGGTCAAAGATTTTCATTATTTGACATTTGGCCTCCAGCATACCGTCATTGATGATTTTGATCCTCTGCAGATTACCCTAAAACCATTTTTTTTTATTTTTAATCATATTTTGTGAAGGTATCAAAACTTACTTTTATTAATTCATTGACCCTGTTGACTTCTTTGTCGATCTGCTTCGAGTTCTCCTCTGATTCTGTCACTTTTAACAGTTCAGTTAACTGATCATAGACTGTTTGTTCCTGTTCAGCCTAAAAAAAAATAAAATAAAATCAGTTAGTAAGAAATCAACGAAAAATTCAAAGATGCCGACATGGTTAGCGAAATACACTCTCACTTTCAATTCTAGGTTAGCAAAATACATTACTTGTATATCGCTAACTAGATTATAAGAAAATAAATATTGTGTATTACGCTAACTATGTTAGCAAAATACATATTATGTATTTCGCTAATTTTAGTCTTTCACTAAGTTAGCATATTATACAGATGATTAAAAATGAGTTTGATAAATCTCATAATCGGGTTAGCAAAATACATTCAGTATCCACGTTTCGCTAACTTCAGTATAGTCAGAAAATGATAAAAAGTGATTTTAATTAACATCTGCTGATACTATAACATTTCACACATTTCACGTTCTGAACTTATGTTAGACTAATTCTATCAAAATAGTTAGCAAAATACATTTTCTATGAGTTTGCGTATTTTGCAAATATATGGTTATCGAAATACACACAACTAGTGTGAATTCTGCTAATATGATTAGCAACATACACGCTCTGATTATGTAGTCAGATGGTTAAAAAAATACACTCTATACTCTATATAAGTGTGTGTATTGCTAACACGGTCTTAGGATGTTTTCATTCTCTATAAAATGTTTAAAAGTGACTTAAAAAAATTAAATTAAAATCAGTTAGAAGTCAAGGAAAAAAAAATAATTTTTCTGACAGACTTTATGCAAATATACTTTGCATCACAATATAATACACTTTTAAACTAGGTTAGCGAAATACATGACTTGCACTTCGCTAACTAGATTAGAAGAAGATAAATATCGTGTACTTCGCTAACTATATTAGCAGAATACATATCATGTATATCGCTAATAGGTTAGCAAAATACATTAGTGTATTTCACTAAGGTAGCATGTTACGCAGATGATTAAAAATGAGTTTGATAAATCTCACAATTATGTAAATCGGGTTAGCGAAATACATTCAGTATCCACGTTTCGCTAACCATTTCAGCATAGTCAGAAAACGATAAAAAGTGATTTTAATTAACATCTGCTGAACTTATGTTAATTTACCAAGCATAACATTTTCTATGCTTGTGCGTATTCTGCAAATATTGTTAGCGAAATACACACACAACTAGTGTGTATTTTGCTAATATGGTTAGAAAAATACACTCTATAAGTGTGTATTGCTAACATGGTTAGCAAAATGCATATCAGCGTAAACTAACAGTCTTAGGATGTTTTCATTCTCTATCAAATGTTTAAAAGTGACTTTTAAGTATCTCCCGATTATATTACTATAGTTAGAGAAACTGTAAACTTATTTTGCTAACTATGTTAGATTATTAAAGTTTAAACTAGGTAAACTTAAGAAATATACAAAATTGCGAAAATATTTTATGAAATTCTTACCAGATCTTCCATTTGCGTTGACAGATGGTGTATCTTCCATCCATTGATCTTCTCAGTCACTTTATTCTGATTGGCCAGGTCCATGATGGTCGGCCTGCGTTCATCTTTCGGCTTCACATCTGAATACCTCTGATAGTGGTTGTGAGTGGCTTTCCACGTCTGACGGTACCCGTTTAGAAGACTGGCCGTAGCTGGTTTGCGTAACTGGGAAATCATACATTGATTTTATTTTAAGAAAATATTTCTTTAATAATTATTTTTTTGTTTTTTTAGCGTACTCACCGTGGTGACACGTACCGCTTCGGGAGCGCCATCTTTCGGCCCTCCATCGGACTGCGGACCATCCGAATCGTAAGTTTCCTTCTTGCCTGTATCGGATATGAACTGCATATCGTCATGATTTTCTTCTATCTCATTTCCGGTCCTATAACAAACGTCATTAAACTTTAAATAATTAACTTTTTTTATCACTTAGTTAAGAGTCCATTTCACTAGTCTGAAAAAGTAGCAAAATAAGCGTTCGGCATTTAATGTTTTATAGAAAACTGGCTAGGTATTTTTACACAAATGAAGAAGGAAATTAAAGATAAAGGATTATACTATAACCGTATTGTAGCACATTTTTAGACAACTTCTTTATTTATAAAATGTTGATGGTCAAACATCAGCAAAATATTCCTTATGTTTGGACTAAATTTTCTCGAAAATAAAGGCATAATTTAAAATTCCGTTACAATACGGAAATAGATTGAAGTTTTGTGATTACAGTGCTATATTATATGATTTTGTAACAAATTGCTCGCTATTTTATGGCAAATGCTAAAGCTCTGCAAACCTTAATCAAAGCACGTGTGTTTGGAATTTTGGGTATAGCTTAACACGACAGGATCGGGCCAAGCCTTAAGATTCCTGAAATATAATATATATTTCCTTCGGCCACACCACCCGCTTTAAAACCTAACCTAACCCCTGAAAGCGACCCGAACAGTACAGCCGAATATCGATTAGCTCTGAGGATTAGCCAATTGTCGAACGGGAACGCAAACGAAAGCCGTATGAAGTTGGACGGAGCCGTACGAATGAACAGCTGGTGCTAGCGTCTAGTCTCTTATTGGTCTGGTGATCCAATCGATAATTCAAAATCCAGTCTTACGCACTACGCTTGAGCACCGCTAACTGAGCGACTTATGCAAATTCCTTCAGAAGATTTATATATCCATTTCACCGGCTTGGCAGTTTGGAGTCAATATACTTATAGTTAATATATATATTGAAAATACATAATATTGGACTTACAGTTGTTGCTTTCTGGGCTTCTTCCGCGGACTCATCTCCATGGGAGGTTTGGTCTCTTCGTCCTCCTCCTCCTTGAGATTCATCGTTACGGCGGGATTGCTGTCTTCGTTCACTTCCGGTAAACCGGGACTGGAAGTGGCAGATATGGTGGTACTTCCGCCTAAACAACAGATATCTCGTTACAACCCTGGCAAATGTAAAAAAATGGGGTTATATTTCTACCGGAACTGTGACCGTTGCCTCGGGAATCCGGCCTGGGCGGGGGAGACGGCGAGGCCGGCACCTGCGCGGCGGCGTGCTGCGCCAAATTTTGCAGGGCCGGAGTCAAGTTCTTCGCGGCTTTTAACGGGGAACCTTCGTGATCCCTTTTTCTTAGTATGCTCGGCCTGGGTGACGAAGTAACCTATAAAAAAAAATAAAAATGAATATAAATAATTATAATTTAGTTTGGTAATCTATGATCGTAAATAAAAAAAACGGATCTTGATATATGGTCCACATAACCACTTTATTTATATCTTACCTTTGACTGCGACGGCTGCGAATGACTTATTTCTAAATGCTCTGTAACAGCCTGCGCAGAAACGGGCTGAAAGTGTGTCGTCTGCGCAGCACCACTCTGTTCCACCACCATCACCGAATTAAACCTCATACCTATAAACGAACGTCAATCAAATCAGTCAAAAAACTAACCTATAGTTCATCCAGCAAAAGAATACACAAAAGAAAGAAATGTCAATTTTTATCTTAATTTTTATCAATTCAATGTCGATGATCTTATGTTATTCAATTATCAGGACAGAGTATAAATAATTCTTTTACCTATACCATGTAGCTGTTGGTTGGTTATAGGGGCTCCAAGGGGCCTGCTTGTATTATTTTGCTGTTGAGGCTGCGCTGCGAAAGCCCCAGTAACTTGCTGTCCGCTGACGAAGGCTCTCTGGAAGGTACCCGCTGGCGTACCGGTGGTGTCATAGAAAAAGGGACTCCCTTCTTGGCCGGTGAGAGAATACGAAGCGACTGTCGTAGCCGTCATGACAGTTTGCGGGACGTTAGAACTGCCAGTGACTGGACCTGTAACGAACCAAGTGGATAATATAGGACAGACTATAAAAACTAACTTAGTACACCGTGTATATTGTTGAAAGGGGTACAAAATTAAGAAAAAAAACCAAGAAAACATGTGAGCAAATAGAGATGCTATTTAAAAGGCTCCAAGCAAGAACGGTAAACTAATAGGGTTGCTGATCCTCATAAGACGTACGGTCGCCTCTTCCCGCGCTTCAGCTGACAGTTGTGACGTCATTGTAGTCCTTGTCATGACAGTGTGTATTATTAGTTGCCTATGGTAAACTTATAAAAATAACAGCTGAGAAATTTTGAGTTATTTTGTCAATTTTAAATGTGAAAAAGGTGTTTTTAAAGTTTTTAGAGCTATAGAGTGTATAAATACGTTCATTTTGTGTTGTGGATTGTGACAAAGTGCTTACTAAGTGCCTACGATATTGTTTATTAATTATTTTAAAGCAAAATATGGAAGTACACTAAAAAGAATGCCTGCAAAAGGTGATGCTGGGAACTGCTGTTGTTAAAAATGCATTATCCGAGTATTTAATACAATTTATACAGTTAATTTTCTATACTACATATAAAGTGTTTACATAAATAAACTAAATAATGAACGTTTTGCATCAGGCAATCAATAATGCACGTGTGTGTATTATTGGTTGCCGGATAAGGACTAATAACCATGACAAGGGCTACAATGACGTAACAAAGCGAGGAGTTTTCGCATGCACCTGGCAGACACTTTTGGCTGAATAAGCAGTCCTATTAGGTTAACTGTTCTTGGGCTCCAAGTACTACACTGAGACGTTTTATATCGAGTAGTTCAAATGTACCGAGAACTTACTTGGCGAAGTCCGTCTCTGCGCGGTCGTCGTTTGCAATGGAGTCGGGACAAAAACGGTGGTGGTACCGCCCTGGCCTTCCGATGCTGGAAAGACTTTGGCTATGGATATGGCTTGAGACGGGGCTATGGAATTCGTCCTTTGCGGTACGATGGAAGCTGGCACATTTACTGAAATAAACAGTCACATTTTTGCAATAAATAATTTAAATAAAAAAATTATCAGTTTTTACTACTTTTCACAATCTTTGATGAAAAAATATTTTGTTTTTCAAACGTCACAAAAGTATTAACATAAATAAATGAAACAAGTTTAGATTGAAAAGTGCCCATAAGGACAATATAAGCACTATTTGGCGCTATTCTTGCAACGGTCGCGACCCAAAGCTTTTGATAATTTTGGATCGGTTCGGCTTTTCCCGGAATTATATTATCAAATTTATTATTATTTTTTTTTTAATTTTATAAATAAAATACAGTGTGTTGCATACAAGAAACTTTATTTTATATAAGGACATGTAAGTGAAATACCTATGAAACATTGGAAACCGACGTTATGTCACGATCCACGATGGTTTTTGCAGTTCACAGTTCACAACACAGTTTTTTAGTTTTTAATACCACTTTTTCACAATTATCACGGGTTTGAGTAAGTAAACTTTAAATTAAATTCACAAGATAGCAATAATTACTTTGAGAATGGATGCTTTAATCACTTTTCGGTATTTTTTCAATGAAGGCGGTTTAAATTTTGAAAGATTTTAAAATTTTTTTGAAGATTCTGATTTTGACAAGAGAAAATTATTTATGTAATTGTTTGGGGGGCGGTTGTTCTTAGCAATTGCTATAGCAGCGCCAGATCACGTACAACGGTCGCGACCCAAAAGAATGATATATTTTGACGGGCATTCCAATCTAAATTTATTTCCTTTAACTATGAGTATTAATTTTTGCGACGTGATTGACAATATAAAAAGTCATTTTAACGCATAGGCATAAAAGTCAATCACTTTTACGCCTAAGCATAAAAGTACGAAAAAATATTATTAAACTGACATAGTAAAGTGTCAAATTCAACAAGCGTAACCATAGTTTCTCGATATATAATTATATACAAGGTATTACTTTTAAGTATTTTTATATTATTTGGGAGGTTTGAAATTGTTTAAAAAATTATTAGTGGCGTTTGAAAAAAAAATAGCATATTCTATTCAAAGTAAAAATGAATTTTTGTGCCTCAACTGTATCTGTCAAACGTACGGCCTCGCCACAAAAACTGTCATTTTTACTCCTAATAAAACAATATACTATTACTGCGAGTAGTTCAAATGTACCGAGGGTGTATAAACTTACTTGTTCTGGCACCGGTTGATACAACAGCAGCCGATGTCTTTATTTGTGGCGATATTTGCGTCAAATGAATAGTGGCTGAAACAATAAATCAGAAAAATACAAATACATACCTAAATTTTTATCATACATAAACATAGAAGCTACGAAAAATTGTCATAATTATTAGAAAAAAAAAATCTAACATACCTTGTGCAGGCTGAGTTATAACTTTAGGCCCTTGGGTGGTTTGCATTCGGGCATGTCCACCATTAGCCACCATAAAAGACTGCAAATTTAACGTGGACAATGTCGATATTCTGGCTTGTGTAGTCGGTATATTACTAACATTAGTTACAGACCCGGATATCTGTAAAATTTTACATTATATACATATATTACTCAAAGATAGACATATTTTTAGAAAATATATGTAAAAAAATAAAAAAGACAGACAAAGTAAGAAATTGCGTTTCTTACCTTTTTAACCTATAATTTCAATTAATGCAGCGTAAACTTTTGATTTCTACTCAAAATAGTAAAAAATAATAGAAATAAATGAAGAAATATAAGAAAATAAGTCAAATTTTTCATTAAAGAAGTTGAATAATTCAAAAAAGTATTTTTTGCTTTTCATAAAACGTTGTTTACGTTGTTCACATGTAAAAAAAATGTTTTTTACATTACAGCCCTTTACAGGTTCATCCCTGATATTCAACCATTAAATATTAATCAAAATTTGTCAACCATTATATTATACTTAAAATGCGACAGTTAAAAACTCAGTTAAAATCATGTTAAAATTTGGTCCACAAAAAAATCTCCAGTATAATTTCAGTATATGTTTAGGTAATTCTGTGCTTTTACACAGTTATGTTTTACTTACCGTAGATGGAGTTACTGATAATCGCCCCACCACATTAGCCGTCGCTTGTGTGGTCCCAATCCTTGTCGTAGCCAGAACTGGCTGAGGCTGGGATTGCTGACCAATCCTAGGCGTTACTGTCAAAGAACCACCACCACTCTGTTGTGGAGTCAAAATTCGCGAAGTCTGAGCCTGAACCTGAGAAATGGGCACAGCAAGTCTCGTACCAGTCACCACAGGGCCCTGAAAGTCAAAGAAACATATTAAAAATTAGTTAAAAATAAAAAAAATACTAATCTGACCAGTGGTCTGGTTTGAGGAGGCCTAACTTGATTCTGCGCCGCCGCTGTAGTGACAGTTATCCGGCCTGTAGGCGTAAACTGACCCACTGTATTCGCACTAAAAACAACTGCTTGAGTTCTGGCTGGTAACATTTGGGCCAGGGTCACTGGAGCACCTAAAGTCTGTATAGTACCAGATGCTGGTTTAAAAGAATGAATCTGAAAAAAATCCAATATTTAACCTTTTTCAATAACAATATAAAAAGCAAGTACTTACTGTCTGACCTATTATACCGCTCTGGATGATTGTCCCTGCTTTTAGGTTAGGTATAACAGACTGTGCAGTTCCTTGAGGTCTGCCTACGACTTGAGGTTTACCAGTAACCGTCGCCCCTCTCACTGGAGAGCTTAAGACAGTTGAAGCCCCCTTTTTTTGGGATCCATTTGATGTGTTTGTTAACCATGCTGTACCAGGAGCTGGACTAGGAGTCCTTGATATAATTCAGATTAACTTATTTAATCAATTTTCACACTTAATATAATATGTAAATCATACCTTGGAGGCCTGACAAAAGCTTGACTGTTCTGTGCAGTCACAATTAAAGGTGCCCTAACTGTTGCCACATTACTTCTTGGGGCTGCTAAATTTGCGACAACCGCGGGGCCTCTGGGTACGTGATAGGATGTACCTGCTGTATTTTGAGCCACTACCGGCGCTGTGGATAGAGTAATTTGGGCTGATCTTTGTATTGCTAATGTCCCGGTCACTTGTGTTTGTGCTTGTCCTTGACTAGGTCCCCCAATATTTGTTATCTGAGTCTTCGAAGGGTCTACTACAAGTTAAACATATGTTACATAGTAAAATAGATATACAAGGAAATATTTACCTTGGTTTATGATTGCTTGGGGTACTAAATTAGTGATTATAGCTTGTCCGACTGCGGCAGAGTTGCTATTTGTTGAAACGCTTTGCGTTAAAACTCTCATATTTCGGAGAGCTTGGCTTGGCACTACCAAAGGTGCCTTATTACCATCCCCAGCTCTAACTGCTGCTATTTGTGTCCTGGCCAAGTCCAAAGGCAACACTTTAGGTACTTCTTTCTCGTCTTCACCATTTCCACTCATTTTTAACTTAAAATTATCTACAATATTAATTTAAGAACCATAAATCGACAAAATAAAAAAGCAGATTCTGAAGTGACAAAAATGCTTCTGCAATTTCGAAAATTCTCATAAAACTGATTAAAATATTAGAAGCCGAATAAGACAAAACGAAAATGTACAATTCTAGAGTGTAATTCGTTAGAGAAATTCATAAAAAAGCTTTAAAATAGCCATTATTATTTTATAAATTTGAAAACAAACTTCAAAATCTCTGTGATGGCGACCTATCAGGGTAATCGCTTTTCAACACTTTTCAATAATAAACTCAAGAAAATAAAATCACTAGAAATGTGTCAGAACCATATACGTATTAATACGTATATGGTCAGAACTGCCAACATTCTGACGGTAAATTCAAAAGTAACTAGAAAATAAAGTGAGATGGAGAAACAATTTTTATACGTTAGAAAAAGATCACTAATATTTTATCATATATAAAATTAAGGTAATAAAGTGTTTTATTTCAGTGGATAATCATTATCTGTACTCTCTATGGCACTTGTTCATAAATACTACTTACGCATGGGCAGTTCGTAGATGTTGCTACCTCCTAATTTAAATTTTAATCGTGTTTTTAGTTCAAAATTTTCTCACTTTTTCACAATGGCGCCACCTGCATTCTTCTTCTTTTTCATATATTAGGCTTTAAAAGTACCACGACCACAGAGTAAAGTCAAAGACAACCACAGATTTAATATAGAATTACTCTTCTTTTTATTTTTGGCCACTTGTCTATTACGACATTCAGCCAGCTTATTTCTTAATTGATGAAATTAATTATAGAATTTGTATTATTTATTAACACTCAAAAAGAAATTTTTCAACTGCAAATAATTCGAAAATAAACTGCAATTTGGCAACATCGACGATGTGCGCTTGCGTAGTATTGATGATCAAATGCAGCAAATATGGGCTTCAAGGTCAGCCACCGGATCCACACCTTTACCTTTTATTCTTATTTTATTTTATTTGGCTGTATGAACCCACCATTAATTAGCGTTTAAAATTGGACAAATACAGACTCACACCACTCACACACACATTTAACACCCATGTCCGAGGCCGGAATCGAACCGGCGACCTTGCGTCTACTAGAATGCGGCGCAATCATTTCGACCACAAGGCCGACCTATGATGACAGTTGTATTTTAAAATATATTTTAAAAGAAGATTTTAACATTTTAACCTATTAGGCAATTTTTTTAATATTTGGAAATTTCATATTTAGTTCCTACAAAAAAAAACAATATTTAAAGATGTAAAGGATCGAATTAAAGACAAAAACAATTATGACTGAAGAAAAATTGGTGACCGAGGTCCCTAGCAGTTTGAAACAGTTGGCGAGGCTCGTCGTACGAGGTTTTTACTCCATCGAGGATGCCCTCATAGTCGATATGCTGGTGAGGAACCCCTGCATGAAGGAGGACGACATCTGCGAACTGCTCAAATTCGAGAAGAAAATGCTCAGAGCCCGAATAGCCACGCTCAGAAACGATAAATTCATACAAGTCCGTTTGAGAATGGAAACTGGAGCAGACGGCAAAGCCCAGAAAGTAAACTATTATTTTATCAACTACAAAAGCTTTGTTAACGTGGTTAAGTATAAATTAGATCTCATGAGAAAAAGACTAGAGACTGAAGAACGCGACGCTACTAGCAGAGCAAGTTTTAAATGTTTGGCGTGTCTCAAAACCTTTACAGACTTAGAAGCAGATCAGTTGTATGATTTTGCTACTGGGGAATTCCGTTGTACTTACTGTAGAGAGGTTGTAGAAGAAGACTCCTCAGCACTTCCAAAAAAAGACTCCAGACTGTTACTAGCCAAATTCAACGAACAACTTGACTCATTATACGTACTATTACGAGAAGTGGAAGGTATTAAACTGGCTCCTGAAGTTCTAGAACCTGAACCAGTAGATATAAGTACTATTCGAGGTTTGGATAAGAAAACTACTCAACAAAATCTTACTGAATGGTCCGGAGAGGCAACAAGAAATGCAGGATTCGCCGTTGAAGAGACTCGAGTTGATATTACCATTGGTGAAGAAAATAATGCTAATACAACAGTCAGTCATAAAGAAGCACCTATTTGGATGACCGAGTCCACGGTTATTTCAAATCTTAACCAGGATGATACAAGTATTAATCCTGATGAAAGTGAGGCAAGTTCAACTCAAACTGCTCGCAATGATGATATAATGAGTGTATTGCTGGCTCATGAGAAAAGACCTTCAAATATTGCTTCCAGTGCGGTTAAAGGTCTAGCAAATGACTCCGATTCAGACCTGGAAGATGTCAACGATGGTAAAAATAGTTTAGATGACATTGAAACTATGGACAGTGAAGAAGAAGATGATGGTACTGTACCTAGTGTTAGTGTCGGGAACAAGTCGTACTTAATTACTGACATTAATGACAGTATTATAAGTGAAATGACACAGTCGGAAAAGGAGATATATGTGCAAGTGTTCCAAGATTACTATTCTCACATGAACTATTAAAGACATTTTTTTATTTATTTAAGTGTAACAAATATTGTATTTGCGTTTATTAGGGAATAAAACTTATTTTTTCTTACTCTGTGCCTTTATTTTGTATATTTGTATAAAAAAATTCGATAAATAGTAAATAAATATGTTGCTACAACTCCATATAAGTACGTTTTTGTATATATCCCTAAGTCTACTGTCTTTATTATGAGGTTCTACCATTTAAGTACTGAATTTTCTGCGTGTGCAAATTTGTTTGGGCTAGAACAAACAGTAATAAATTCATTTGATTCAAAGTTTTCTATAAAATATGTTTTTAGAGATTTGGGATGCGCAAAAAAGTTCTCAACAAATATGATTTTCACGTATTTGCTCTACATTACGAGCCCTAACAACTATATGTTGGGACAAGGTCTTTTTTGCAATAAAAAATAGTAATTTGTTAAAACGACTCAATTTATTTTGTTTATTATTGTAAATTCAAACATTACAATATGTTCTAGACAATTTTACTACATTTTTATAACTTTGCAAACAAATCACTTTTGATAATAGCTTATTTTGCCAAAATCAAGCCAAATTTGCTGACAACTATATATTGGGACAGCTCAACAAGAAATTTGTTTAATACGGAGTTACATCACCTTTCGCCTTAACAACTGCCTGAACTCTTAATGGCATTGTATTTACCAAAGATTGGCACATTTGAGGAGAAAAATTATCCCAAATTTCCTGCAGTTTTGCCCACAAATCAAAAATTGTTCGTTGAGGGTGGTTTCTTAAATATTGCTTCACTTTATGCGACACAGTTTCTATAACATTGAGGTCCCGACTACTTGCAGGATGGGATAGAACTTTTATATTATTATTACTGAACCAATTTTTAGTTGATTTTGCAGAATGGCATAATGCTCCATCTTGTTGGAAAATATAGTTTTCGTTTGGAAACAATTCTTGAGCACTAGGCAAAAGTGAGGTCCCAAGTATATGTTGATTTTTGGGCGTTAACAGTGCCATGTATAAAATTTAATTTGCCCAAACCTCTTGCTGACATGCGACAGACTCACAACCATAATCCCCTTAGGAAATTTAACAACCCTCTTTAAGCAATATTTATGATGAAAGGCTTCTGTTTTATTTCGTATTATTCGTTTTCGATGATCTCCAACGCAAACATCAAATTTAGACTCATCGCTAAATATGACCTTATTCCAATCATTTTGTGTCCACGATAATTTAGATTTTGCCCAATTGTAGCGATTTTTCTTTTGAATTTCTGTCAGTAGCGGTTTTTCTTTGGCCTAAATAAGAATTTGTATCAATAATCTTCAGGTAATTGATTATCCACACAAAATAAAGTTTACCTTGTAAAACCCCAGACCGCATTTATGGATATATTTTCGGCAACATTCTCTTGATATATTTAAACCAGTTCCAGTATTCCATTTAACTGTTACTTCGCGAAGAGTACTTCTTCTCGCAGACTTAAATCTCTTTGAGATACAAATTTTTGGCCTTCCCGAACTTTTACCTCTAACGTCTACATTGGCAGATTCGCCGTATTTTTTATTATATTAAAGACCGTGGTTTTTGGAATACTTAATTCATCAGAAATTTTTCGAATTGTTTTTCCCGTACTGTATTGACGAATGATAATTTCGCGTAGTTTTTGATTTGCAGCTTTTCCACGGACCATTACTTTGAATTAAATAATTAACTAAATTGAAAATTAAAAAAATTAAAATTACTTACAGTAAATCTCACTACTCAAAGTATTGAGTCACTTACAAGCTGTCAATGCTGAAGTTAACAGTTTGTGACATTTGTGACGTTTATAGCGAAGCCGCCTATGATGATATTAATTATTTAAAAATACTTGTCCCAACATTTAGTTGTCAGCAAATTTGTCATTTTATGAACAAAATCCGCTACTGTAAATATGGATTGATTTACAAATTCATAAAAATATTGTCAAGTTGTTTAGGATATATGGTTGTTTATATTTAAAAAATTAAACATATATTTTTCATTTTGAAAAACCAGGGCAATAATTCCAAAATATGACCTTGTCCCAACATATAGTTGTTAGGGCTCGTAATATGCAAAAAGTGGGGTTAGAAGACAAAAAATATCGAAACAAGTCAAAGAGGAAAAAAGTTGTTCAGAACTTACTATACATTACCTTGTATTAATAATAGTTACTGATTGGGGATTCACCAAAGGCTGTAACTTTTCAATGAACCTTCTGTAATTCCTGTCCAGTTCTCTTTGGTAATCTCTTTGGTCTGGCCCTATAAGGTTCTTATTCTTCTTCAAAGCATCGCTACACCTAAAAAAATTCACCATCAAAAATCTTAAAGAAAAAAAAACGATGAAATTAAAATACTTTTTGGAGAAATCCTTAAAACACAATCTCAGTTTGTTCTGATGTCGTGTTAGTGGTTTTCCGTCGCCAGGTAGGAATGTCAAGGCCATTTCTAGAGGACCCTGGTTGACAGTAGTACCTATGCAACCCTGCAGTACCATTTGAAGGATTTTTGGATCGGGCGGTTCTTGCTGAGTCGCTGCAGCAAGCTCGGTGTTTTTTTTCTGAATATCTTCGATAGCTACCTAAAGGAAAATAAAAAAAATTTTCAAGATTTACTTGCTAAAAAACACATAGGCTCAAATACTATCTAGATCTTCTATCTATTAAAGATACTCCTTAATAGAAAAAAAAATGAATTTATTTGCATCATTATATAAATACTAGCGTGTACCCGCGACTTCGTTCGCGTCGAATTAATCATTTGTAATGGTGATGATAAAGCAAAGCAAGTCCGTTTGCCAAAAATAAGCTTTTTACATCAAGCAGTTTAAGCAGAATCGTGGTTAATCAATTACCCAACTTTTTGTAACACCCTGTATGATTTTTTAAAAAATTTCAAAATATGTAAAAAAACAAAATAAATTATGCACGTCCAAGCGTTTTCCCGAAAGACTAACCGTTTTTTAAATAACGAATATTGTAATATTTGAGAGGCATTTTCACCCTCTTGGAATTTGAGATTCGAGAAACCCCCCCTTATCGAATCTCTACACCCCACAGTCAATCCGTTTGCCAAAAATCAGCTTTAAACGTCAAGCAGTTTAAGCAGAATCGTGATTACTCAATGGTCAAATTTTATGAAACACCCTGTATAAATTTTTAAAAAATCTTAAAATATGTAAAACAACAAAATAAAATATACGTGTTTAAGAGTTTTTTCTGAAAAACTCACCGGTTTTAAAATAAAAAATATTCTAATATTTGAGGGGTAGTTTCACCCTCTTGGAACTGGAATTTCGAAAAATCCCTTCTTATCGAACCTCTACACCCTAGAATCAACTCTAGACTCTATAAAGCTTAAAATATGTAAAAAAACAAAATAAAATATACGTGTTTAAGAGTTTTTTCGGAAACTTGACCGTTTTAAAAAGAAAATATTGTATTATTTGTGGGATGGTTTCACCCCTTTGTTTGGAACTGGAATTTCGAAAAATCCCGTCTTATCGAACCTCTACACCCTAGAATCAACCTGTATGCCAAAATTGAGCTTCTTAGTGGTTTGAGCAGGATCGTGAACAATCAGTGAGTCAGTCACTTAAGGATTTTATATATTAGTATAGATGATTAAATAAAATTTATAAATCAAAAATTTACCTCAATGGGTGTCAAAGTAATCTGAGTCCTAGCCACCACCTGAATCCTAGTTTTGACATAAGGAAAATGCACTGCAGTTGTCAAAATCGTCTTCCTTTTATACTGTTCCTTCAGTTCTCCGTGGGCTTTACCAGTCATTGTAAAGGGTGTTGCATATACAAACCTTTCTATAATTTAAATAAATTATAATTAACCAAAAATTAGTCTAAAAAACACTAAAAAATAATTACTAATATTGAAGTTCCTGTCAAAGTGAGTTTGCCTGTATCTTAGCTCAAACTGCTCAAAATACGGTTCGACGTAAGTGATTTGGATGTAGGCTTTGTCAGGATCTAAGAGGTTCACGTCAACTGCGTTGGAGTCTTTGATAATAATAATGCTTTCTGACCCAAAAAGTGCAGCATAGAAGTTCTGTAAAAGATATAAATAAATATACAATGAGTGTCAAAATTTAAAGAAGAAAATCATAAATTTTTCAGAAAGACATTCTGAAAATTTTGAAACACCCTGTATAGTAATTTCCAGTCTCCTGGAAATAACTTATACAGGGAGGAGTATACCATCAGTGAAAGTATTTGCATTGATTTAGAAATCACTCTGTATAGTTCAAAAGATTTAAAAATCCTTATATAATTCGTAGACAGATTAAAATAAATATTTTTATATTTGTATTTGTTATAATACAACATTGAATTAACCATTTCAAGGGTTTAATAAAGATCAAAATGAATAAAGCTTCAAAACGTGTAGATAAACTTACCTCTAATCTACTGAAAATTTCTGGCAGTTTAGTTAAACTAGGTTCCTTGTATATAAATTCTTCTTTATCCAAATCTCCGAACTTAGACCCATAGAACCCCACTCTGAAATACGTACCAAACATTCTTTTGCCTTGCAATTGGTCGATACGAGTATAAGCTTCGTGTAATTTTCTGAAAAAATACAGAGACATAAACAAGAAACTAAAAAATATTAAAAATTTCAATGTCTGGTTCATTTGAACTACCAATAAATACCTACCCGTGAATATTAGCCAGCTTTTTAAAGTCCCTGTTATTTTCGGCTATCGGAATCAACACCCTGTATATATCGTTCATCGGTTCGTACATGGTGGCGATCTGGAAACTACTAGCTGCGTGTTCCAACAGGCCTAAAAGTCCGGCTTCTGTGAAATGGGACCCTAGGCAACCACCTTCTCTTTCCGGACTGAGAACGTCGTCTGAAACGGCGCTTTCTTCCAAAACGTTGGGACTTACCTAAAAGAAAACCTTAGATCGTAACATATATAGATATACCGCTTATTTGATGGCATAACCAAGATAGCGAGGCTTACATAAAAAAAAATATTAGAGCGTGCTATACATAGATACACTGCCCTTGTGTAAGCATTCTGTAACCAACATAAATGTTAAGGCGCATTTTCACGACTCGTCTACTTGACAAATATTTGTAATTGTATAAGGGTGTACACGGTGCGTCGGGCATCTATACAGAATTTAGTATTAGAAGTTATTTACTATATAGGAGCTACGCCGCACTCACGCCAGACCAATAAAAAAATACTTGCCAAGTACACGAGTCGTCAGAGTCCGCTTTTAGAGGAATAAATTACAAAGAAAACCTTAAATCATAGAATACATAGACACCCTTGGCACACTTGTTCGCATTCTGTAGCCAACATATTAAGGCTTATGTAAAAGGTCTTAGATAGTGATATAAATATATAGACATACTGCCCTTTTGTGGGCAATCTGTAATCAACACAGATGCAACTAGATATTAAAGGAGGCAACACAAGCGAAGTTAGGTGTTAGATGAATAAAAAACAAAGAAAACCTTAGATCATAACATACATAGACATTATGCTCATTTGTTGGCATTTGGGTTTACATAAATAAAATATTAGAGCGTACTATACATAGATACACTGCCCTTTTGTAAGCATTCTGTAACCAACATAAATGTTAAGGCGCATTCTCACGACTTGTGTACTTAACAAATATTTGTAATTGATATACAGGGTGTACACGGTGCGTCGGGCATCTATACAGAATTTCTTAAAGTTATTTATTATAGTAGCTACGCCGACTCCCGCCAGACCCTGTATGCCAATAAAAAATACTTGCCAATACACGAGTCGTCAGAGTCCGCCTTTAGAGGAATAAATTACAGAGAAAACCTTAAATCATAGAATACATAGACACTCTAGGCACACTTGTTGGCATTCTGTAGCCAACATATTAAGGCTTATATAAAAGATCTTAGATAGTGATATAAATATATAGACATACTGTCCTTTTGTGGGCATTCTGTAATCAACACAGATGCAACTAGATCTTAAAGAAGCCAACACAAGCGTAGTTAGGTGTTAGATGAATAAAAAACAAAGAAAACCTTAGATCATAACATACATAGACATTATGCTCATTTGTTGGCATTTGGGCTTACATAAATAAAATATTAGAGCGTGCTATACATAGACACAGAGCGCTTTCGTGGGACAGCGTTTTTGTTATGTAACCAACATAAATGTAGATACATCTTAGAGGAATAAATAACAGAGATGTGCTCTAACAAAAAATAATATTGTAGTCAACTTACTTTTTCTAGTGAAGCTGCACCAGCTGGCAGATGAGGTAGAGATTCCAACATAGCTAAATATTCAGCTACAAGTGCAGCTGAATGAACTAAACACATACCAGCTTCTGTATGATTACCTGTAAATATATGTAACACAGTTTATAATAAAATAATGTAATGTAAAATTAAAAAATATTCTGAGAAACCCTAAGATAAACCCACAAAACTAAAAGTATTTTAAGCTATACAGAAAAAAATAAAGTAAAATACAAAATTTTCAACATTCATTTACGCAAAAAAGGAATAAAAAAATTGTAGGTCTAATTTTTTTTTATAATATACAGAAGTATTTGAACACTTTAAAGAATTCAACATTTTTCTGTAAGAAAAATACTCTGAGAAAATTTTAGATGAATCTCCAGTTGTAAAAAGTTTTCTAAAACACACAGTAAAAAAATTAAACAAAATACAAAATTTTTAACGAAATTAGTTCAAATGACCCTTCTGAAATACATACCTCTTTCCATATGTTTCTGAGCCATATTCGCCAGCCAAGTCAGCCTCAAATCCGGCGAATTCTGATACCCTTTCGCAATCCTATACATAAGATCAGAAAGCATTTCTGGATCCTCCTTAAATTCCTTCATTTTAACTGTATCAGACAAAATCATGTGCAAATTGAAGACCAAATCTCTGACTTGTTCCGGAAATGTAGTTTCCTGTAATTCTGTATCTCTTTCCCCATATTCCAGGATGGTTTTTAGAGACCTGCGTAGTGAATCATCACTGAAAGTTGCTGATGTTCCCACCAGGCTGCTCAAGGACATAGTGACTTGCATTTTTACTCTGGCAAAATTCTGAGACAAAGCAAAATTCATTTGTATTATCCATACAAGTTGATTTGTTTTGATCCGGTACCTTTGAATAAGAAGACTAAGGAAGGAGCATAATGCTATCCATGTATTCATGCATGGTGGGCGGAAAAAGCACTCTAGGGTGGGGACCCTTGACAGTTCTGTTTGACGATTCATTTGACATATTTGAATTTGATTTGAAATTTTGTGGATTTGTCAGTCTTTACGGAGCTTATTTTATGTTATTTATTATTTATTCTACTACTGATAGATGTATAAAGGTAGTAAATCTAGATGGAAATTGTGGCAGAACTTAAATTAACAGTGACACTATCGCGATTTATCGAAAAAAACTCTAAAATAGTTGGTTGTGTAGAGTGCGGTAGATCTCGGCAAAAATTGAGTGAAATAATGGAACAACTTTTCGCTAGTAAGTGACTATATAATATACATACGTGAAGTAAACCGATCATTTATGAAATTCACTTAAATTAACTAAATTATATATTTTTCTTGCATTTTAGCTTTTATTTATTACTTGTCAAAGATTAGATGTCAACGAATTTAGATACGTTAATTTGACTTACCTGCTTCAGTAGCGTATCGGATGATTGTGTTAATAAATACTTATTATAACTTATCTATTTTTATTAGAATTATATATTTTTATAACAAATTTAATAACTACCAACATTTATTCACAACGTAAAATAAAACAACAAATTATTGAGTCTACCCCACGTCTACCCTACATCATAGTTTTACATTTTTTAAATAAAATTAGAACGACACTGATAAACCGGAATTTAAGTCGGCCATATTTGAGGCCCATCCCGGTGTACCTAAGATTTTTGATATGCTCCTTCCTTATGCTGGATTCAGAGTTCCGTAGCCGTAAGACGTAAGCCGTATCGTTAGCCGTAAGACTTAAGACGCAAGGAAAGCCATTCATAGTTGCCGTAAGACGTAACGATAACTTCATCGTAAGCGTGCGCATTACCGTTTTTAATAGGTTATATTGTTGTTTGGGTTGTGAATGTTGTGAATAAAACTATAATACTCCTTATTTATTTTGTTATTATTAATTTAATTGAACTAAAATGGTCACGGACAATTATATTTTCGTTGCCGAAGTGAAATATCTGTGAAATATATTATAAAAGTTGTAGAAATGGCTACCGAGTACCACCGAACCTAGCCGACAACACCCGATTCGATAAGACGTAACGTAAGAATTAAAATTGGTTCATTTCTTACGTCTTACGGCATACGGCTTACGGCATACGGAGATCTATGAACGCAATCATATGATTGTGAAGGTCGATATCCCTTACGTCTTAACGATACGGCTTACGTCTTACGGCTACGGAACTCTGAATCCAGCATTAGTCTTCTTATTCAAAGGATCCGACATATACATGCCAAATGTAAAACAAACTGTTTGTTTATTTACAGCTTGATTTGACCATATACTTAATATAACCATTTTTTTAACTCTTTATTCTGTGACTCTTCCTTAATTTTTATATTCAAAGACTAAAACAAATAAAAATCTGTAAATAAACAAACGGCTTGTTTACATTTTGAATATACATGTTGGATCAAAATAAATCAATCTATATGGTTAGTGTATCTTTTAACATGTCAATGGGTAAATAATATGATTTATTTATAATTATTACATTGCCAATCTGGAACGTCTGCCTCATCAAGAGATACAAAGATGCCGCAGCCTGTGATCTAACTGAAGTTATTTGAGAGCCGCAATGTTTCAACAATAACAAACACAAATCTGCACAATGGCTACTTTCTTCATCAAATAAGGCACTATGAAACTAGAAAATTACATAGAAATATTAAACAAGACTAAAAAATATAAATATCAATGTATAAAACAAACAAATAAAAAACTATTATATTATTTACTTTATACACCAAGCTCCTTTGTGAAGCGAACATATGAGGCAATATTGTAGTACTCTGATTTTTCCCTAATGCGTGCAGCAATACAGTCAGCGCTACACCGACCAAATGTTGCTGACTGTCCAACTGAGCTATAGTGTTGACACAACGTTCCAAAGTGTCCAGGATAATAAAGGACGCTTCTGTGGCGAAGTGTCCCTCCAAATGACTGTCATGGAAAATGTCGTCTTTTGTTGGTTTCTCAGTCAGTTCTGTGCTGACCCTGTATGCCATTTGTTCCTTTCGCCAACGTAGTTTTTCCGTTGCTGCTTGAGGTGTACCGCCTAGGGAGGATAACAAAAAAATGTAGTGTTTTGCCCTATAGTAGTAGGAAAAGAGTAGTTGCACTCTCCCAAATATTTTCTGCCAGTTTTTACAATCTGTCGAATATCGGCAGATTGCAGAGCGCTTCAGTTGAGTTCCGTCCGTCGAACTGCGAGGTTCGAGCGTTGCGTCCCAGCACAGAGACGGATTGACAAAAAATGAGTGCCTTACTGTGTGCTGCTATTGATTGTAGTAATAATTCAAAAAATTATGCTTTGAGTTTTTTTTGAGAGTCATTTGTGATCATGTTTATGTTCAGGTTAATTTTCTCATGACTGATTACTACTTAATAATTTGATATAATTTTCATTTAAACCTCAATTTTTTATCGATTTTACTTTTGACAACCATCCCTTACTTGCTGTTTGACGAATTGCACCATTATTGAAAAAAATTTGCTAGCACCGAAAAAAACTGAAAATCCCGGTTCCTTAGAGGCATGGTACCGAAATTACCGGTTCCGAAAAACAGCTCTGGTTCCGGAAACGCTATAACGTACCATAACCGTGAATCTCTATACAAAGTGAGTCTTAAATAAGTACAAATATTTTTAGGGGTAGTATATATTGACCCCAGAAATATGAGGATTTTTCTGCGCAATATTTTTTTTTAAAAAAATCTGAAAACATTTTTTAGTTCTTAGTTAAAAAACATAATTTCTTAATAATATGGTAACTAGGGTTCAGAACCGAAAATTCCCGGTTCTTCTGAGATATCAAAGAACCGGGACTCGAAATTATTAATTCCCGGTTCTTTCGGTACCTTCGGGACTCGGTAACAATAATTAAAAAATTATTCTTTTATTACGTGAGAAAGTAGTGATGCTATTTCTCATTGTTCTTGCTTCTTTTCTCTTTTGAAATTTCTGTAATGTTTATTAGCAATTATTGAAGTTTAAATATGTTATTTTATTATTTAATACAATGTGTTTTTCAATCTATTAGTTATCCAATGAAAATCACGTAACCAATATATTACTACAAAACAAACACATTAATGTTAAAATTAAACTTGTTTTAAATTAAAAAAAAAGTTGTAGAAAATCTTTGAAATAGATAATAATATAAAAATATGTCATATATTGTTTCCGCATTTCTTCCCATCACAAGGTTTTCAGATACAGAAGAATTGTTACTTACACGAAATGTGAAAATATTCTGTTTTCAAGCAAATTTTTACTCAATCATCAATTTTTTTAATTTTATTTTATTGTGAACTCATATTTTCCTAAATACATCTCTGCGAAACAATGGCGAGTGCCACGATTATACTTTGCCTAGTTATAAACCACGACTATACAGCTACGTCAGTGGTCACGGGACGCGAGAACAAGGTCATATAAAGTGGCAGAAAAAGAACAAAGGATTTGACAAGGAGTAAATCTACTAGTTTCCTTATACTATGTCTATATCATACCTTTCCTCCTCTGCATCATTTCCCTGGCAGATCCCTGTCCCAAAATGACATCTTCCAGCTTAGATCTGATGTCTTGCGTGACCTGCGCGTGCGCGTACCCTGAAGATGGTGACGCCTTGCGGCGTGGTTTGTACTCGAAACAGGTAATGCAAGCGTCCAACAGATGGAGCAGGGTTGATAATCTTGTTGAGGTTAGTTCGCCCATCCATTGAGATAAAGAGTCTCTTTCTACGTTTTTTAAAACCCAGAGAACGCAAGTGAGTAAGTTGCGTGTCGTTTCGGCATTAATACCCACTTTCCTGTTTGGTAGCTATAAAAAAATAAAATTATTCTAGTGATACAGAGTTTTAGAGATTTTATGATAAGATATACTCTGTTTTACGATTCAGGGAAGTTTTCGACAGACGATGACAGAAAAAAGGCAGATAACGTCCAATACTATTCCATTTATTTCACTTATAAAAGTTTCTAATATTTTTTAAGTTAACTATGGAAGGATTTATATACAAATTCGTCATGCGTAGTCTCTTGTTGTTTTTAAACAGTTTTATTGGTTTATTTCAAAAATGACAGATCATATTTCAATATGATTGGAGTGATGGAACGATGAACGACACACGGATGCAGATGCGTATGAACCATAGATAAATGAAACAAGTTTAGATTGGAAAGTGCCCATAAGGACAATGTAAACAATATTTGGCGCTATTCTTGCAACGGTGGCGACCAAAAACTTTTGAAAATTTCGGAGCGGTTCGGCTTTTTTAGGAATTATATCGCCAAATATTTATTCAAATTTATTATTGTTTTTAATTTTATAAATAAAATACAGTGTGTTGCAATCTAAATTTATTTCCTTTATCTATGGTATGAACTTAAGATTTTTGAAACTTATCAAACTCTTGGCAAATTAAAGGTTATTATTTCTGTCAAATTATGTCAAATAACCAGAGCTCTCTGGAAAATTATATTTACAATATTAGGTTTGTTTTCACAGCGTGTTTCCAACATGTTTGTGACATGTTTGTTACTTCTTCCAAACCGGTGTTAATGCGCAGGTCTCAAATAATGCAGTTTCTTATCGATTTCAAACCGTCTGTGCGAACAGCGAATCCCCTACTCTTCTTTTTTGATCTAATAATTCACTAATTTTAACTCCTACGTAATACCGCATAAAGAAGAAAACGAACAGGGAATTAATCAAAGACACCTTTTAATGTCTTTGGTTTTGTTCTTTTTAATGTTTTAATGTTTTGTAATTTTGATTCTTGGGTCTGACCCGTTCCTCCATCAGCTCTTCTAGGTCTGTCTCTGTATCCGAAAATTCGGACGCCTCAGATTCTTCGGAAGATTCAAAATCGCTCATTTCTTTTCTTAATTTTTTGAAGAAAAAAACACTAAATAAAAACTACACACGTTTTGTATGTTAAGTTTACCAATATTATTGACGTCGGGTCGCAATACGCATGCGCCGGACACTTTACTTGCAAAAGATCCGCGAACAGGTCTGACTGTCAGCTAACAATCAGAATTTTCTGTGCGAACAGCGTACTGTTGGTTGGAAACCAATCAAAAATTTCTGTGCGAACGCGTTTTACATCATTGCGCATGATTATCTGTTGGAAATATGTTTCTTACAGCTGTGAGAACAAACCTATTGTGTTTGCATTTCGGTTCGTGTTATTACGTGTGTTTAGTGTTTTTAAAAGTTAAGTGGAGGAAAAATCGAGGGAAAAGTAAGGTTAGAATCAGAGAGTTGTATTAGCCACAAATAAAGTTTGTAAAGTTCATTAAAATGTTATATCCTATGTTATAGGGCTTGTTTCTCTCTACAATTTCCTGTCTCACAATGTACCGTTTTTGTCCAGGAAGGGATCATAGTTTCATAGTTGTCGATTTTCGAAAGAAATAAGTACAAGTATATTATTTCGTATATTTTTCATTTTATTGATTTTATGGAAAGCACTGTTCATTAAAATGTTGTATCCTATGTTATAGGGCTTGTTTTTCTCTACAATTTCCTGTCTCACAATGTACCGTTTGTGTCCAGGAAGGGTTCACAGTTTCATAGATGTCAATTTTCGAAAGAAATCATTACATGTATATTATTTCGTATATTTTTCATTTTATTGATTTTATGGAAAGCACTGTTCATTAAAATGTTGGATCCTATGTTATAAGGCTTGTTTCTCTCTACAATTTCCTGTCTCACAATGTACCGTTTGTGTCCAGGAAGAGTTCATAGTGTCATAGATGTCGATTTTCGAAAGAAATCAGTACATGTATATTATTTCGTATATTTTTCACTTTATAGATTTTATGGAAAGCACTGTTCATTAAAATGTTGTATCCTATGTTATAGGGCTTGTTTCTCTCTACAATTTACTGTCTCACGATGTACCGTTTGTGTCCAGGAAAGATTCATAGTTTCAATGATGTCGATTTTCGAAAGAAATCAGTACATGTATATTATTTCGTATATTTTTCATTTTATTGATTTTATGGAAAGCACTGTTCATTAAAATGTTGTATCCTATGTTATAGGGCTTGTTTCTCTCTACAATTTCCTGTTTCACAATGTACCGTTTGTGTCTGGGAAGAGTTCATAGTTGTCGATTTTCGAAAGAAATCAGTACATGTATATTATTTCGTACATTTTTTGTAGCTGTAAAATAAAGACATCACACGTTAGGTAAATAATGGTTTTTAGTACTGTAGAGAGATAAGGTCAAAAGATACTGGTTTAAAAAAATTAACTGTAATAAATTAGCTAATTGTATGATTTGTATTGTGTATTTTTTGTTGTTTGTATATTTTTTTTGTGCTTTTGATTGTTTTGTGAGTGCTTTGTCGATGAAGCTGTTTTGGCTTTTTGCACAATAAAGGTTGTTTTTTGTTAAGATTAAAGATAATTCACCAACTTTTAGGGTATAAAATTTTGTGTACTGTAGTGAATTACTGTTTTATTCTATTCTGCATTGTAAAAATATAAATTTAGTTTCAATATCAATTCAAAAATATTCTGATAATCTATACTAATATATAAAATCCTTAAGTGACTGACATACTGATTAATCACGATCCTGCTCAAACCACTCAACGTAAGAAGCTCAATTTTGGCATAGAGTCTAGGGTTGATTCTAGGGTGTAGAGGTTCGATAAGAAGGGATTTTTCGAAATTCCAGTTCCAAGAGGGTGAAACCACCCCTCAAATATTACAATATTTTTTATTTAAAAAACGGTCAAGTTTCCGAAAAAACAGTATAGTAGTAGTATATTTTATTTTGTTTGTTTTCATATTTTAAGATTTTTTAAAAATGTATACAGGATGTTTCGAAAAATGTGGTCATAAAAGCTGGTTTTTGGAAAACAGATTGACTTTAGGGTGTAGAGGTTCGATAAGAAGGGATTTTTCGAAACTGGAATTCTAAGGGGGCGAAACTATCCCTCAAATATTAAAATATGTTTTATTTAAAAACCGGTGAGTTTTTCGGAAAAAACTCTTAAACGCGTATATTTTATTTTGTTGTTTTACATATTTTAAGATTTTTTATAAATTTATACAGGGTGTTTCATAAAATATGACCATTAAGTAATCACGATTCTGCTTAATCTGCTTGACGTTTAAAGCTGATTTTTTGGCAAACGGATTGACGGTGGGGTGTAGAGGTTCGATAAGGAGGGGTTTCTCGAATCTCTAATTCCAAGAGGGTAAAAACGCCCCTCAAATATTACAATATTTGTTATTTAAAAAACGGTTAGTCTTTCGGGAAAACGCTTGGACAAGCATAATTTATTTGGTTTTTTACATATTTTGAAATTTTTTAAAAAATCATACAGGGTGTTCCAAAAAGTTGAGTAATTTCTTAACCACGATTCTGCTAATCGAAAGTCAAATTCCAACGAGATGAAACTACCCCTCAAATATTACCAAGTTATATAATAATATCGCCATATTGTTTTTTCTCATGCTGACATAAATGTGAGAAAATTTTATCCAGTTTGTATGTTAATGGTAATTCTTGCTTTGCTTTATCATTACCATTACAAATGATTAATTCGACGCGAACGAAGTCGCTGGTACACGCTAGTGGAATATATTTAGGTAGCTTGGCTATTAACAAAGTTTTAAATGATATAAAAGCAAAAAATAATACTTACTGATTGAAATGAATCGCAAGTAGATGGTGGCAACTTCCCAGCAATAACCATAGCTACATTAGGGTTAATGTTGCTAGGACCAGTGTCTTCATGGCTGAATTTCTCGTTTTTATCGAAAGTGAAACGATGGAGCAAGTGGAGAACGTCCATCGCAATGGACAACAATGGAAAATACAATGCAGCAACTCTATGTTTAGCTTCGGGCGAGACATAGCGTGGATCGCCATCGTGCCATGAAAGAAGACTTCTTACAGTGTCCACAGCTTTAATGTGCAATGATGGATAGCTATAGATAAAGTTTTTTTTATTAAACCCTAAAATACAGACGACAATAAAACTCACAATACCATAGACAAGGAAAGAGAGAGTCTATAAATATGGCCCTATTTAAAAACAAAATTAAAAACTCAACAGCATTCCTGTATTTTTAAATTATACAAAAAATACTAAAAGCATTTAAAGAAGATTTACAATTTATGAATGCGTTTTGGGGATCCAGCGATTCATAGAACTTTGATAATTAATATTACAGACTGGATTATTTTTAATTTGTGTTGTTTCACTTAATTTTGTGAAAAACACTATAGTCAGAAGAAACGTATTATTTGCCCACTGTGTACTCTAAATATGGTAGTCTGTATAGTTTGTGGAAGTTCCAGTATATTGCAACAACATTTGAAGATAAACACCATGAAGTAAAATTGGAAATGGAAACACTTAACTTTGCCTATGACTTTGCTACGAAGGATAGTTATAAACTGTGGTATGAAAAACAATGGTATGAAGATCAAGATAAATTATGCATCCATCGCTAAGCCAAGAAAATATAATGACTATGTGGAAAAAAATGTGGTTTTATATTTATTTTGTGCTATTTACTACTAACCTGTACAATGTAGAATTGTTTATTGTAAAAATTATTGTATTGTATTGTTGTAATTATTGTATTTTCTTGGCATAGAACAGCCATAAGTTTCTTGCAGTTTCTTCTTATAGGCCGTAATCGAAACTGCAACATTCAGCAAAAAACAAATTTATAGTTCTAATTTTATTAATTAGAACTATAAATTTGTTTTTTTTATTTCTAATATGTTACAGTAATTAAACTAACAAATTCTCCCAAAACGTTTATTTCCCCATGAAAATGTGATTCAATTTAAGAACTGATATTTTAATAAAAGATTTGAGAGTAGAATTGAGAATAATGAGCTCTCTCCAAGTAAAGCTATGGTTCTCACTTATGCATCAAATTAGATAGTGATCATGCAATCTGTAAATGAAACAATTTTTAATTTACACCAATAATCAATGCAACTTTGACTAAAATCACTTGATATAGGCAATATAGCTATATTACCAAATATCAGCCAAATACATTAACCACCTTCCTTCTTTAAAATGAGCAAATAATGACAAATTACATTTCGTAACTTTAATGATATGTGTATGTTTTAAAAATATATGAATGCAGATCAGTTTTTAAATATAGCCGTATTTCTAAAAATAGTCAAAAACTATAAAAAACAAAATGAACAACCAAAACAGTCAACTACTGTTAGCAATTTCGCATAATAAAATTATTGTCTGTGATTTTATTCATAATGTTCAAAATTCCCGCAAAGCGCTTCTCGCCGAACAAAACCGAACTCTCCGTATAGGATCCGAATGCTTCCGAGGTTTTCGTGAGTTTTAGTATCGTCTCTAAAATACAGCCTTTGAATAAAACAATTATTAAGGAAGGAGTATAATAATGCTATCCGTGTATTCATGCATGGTAGACAAAGAAAGAGCTCTAGGGTGGGGATCCTTGACAGTTCTGTTTGACACATTTGTATTTGATTTGAAATTTTGTGAATTTGTTAGTCTCTAATGAGCTTGTTTGGTGTTATTTATTATTTATTCTAGTACTGATAGGTTACATTTATCCTGTATAAAAATTCTAGATCATATAGATATGATCTAAGATAAAAATATAAAAAATGTCTATACCTATGTGACGGATTCATCTCTCCAAAAAAATCCTATATGGGTATTTCGCCACTGCAAGAAAATCTACAAAATAAAACAGTTATTTTTTGTAAACACTGCTGGCGTTAATCTAACGAATAAAAAAATGCTTAACGTTTCCGAGAGTTTATCTCTTTCCGTCGTCAGAAGCAAAAAAATACAAAGAATAAAGAAAAAAACTATTTAAAATGTCTAAATGCAACTATTTGGAAACACTTTAGTTTTTTTTGAAACAGATACGTCTACAAAAACCGTTGACGTTCTGTTAAAATGACATTATATCGAGTTAAACTTCAAAATTAACAATTACTACCTGATAACAATTACTTAATAAGGTAAAACCAAAAGGCTTCAAACTTTCTGTATGATTATTTTTAATTTTTACGTATGTTATGTTTATTTATGTTATGTTGTTTAAAATCAAAGAAGCGATTGCCATACATTACTAACATCTACAGATGCATGAACAATACATTTATTTTTATTAGATTGTATTCAAAAAGCCTCTTTTATTTTTCTTTTAGAGGCTATCACTTAAAAAAATAAGTATTTTATTTTTTAGATTTTCTTGCAGTGGTGAAATACCCATATAAGAATTTTTTGGAGAGATAAAATAGTTATTTTTGTATCTAGTGCGCGAAGTGCTACTTTAGTGATCGATACTTGATTTTTTTAACGAGGTGTAGCCGAGTTGAAAAATTAGTCGAGATCACCAAAATAGTTCGCGCACGAGTTGCAAACAACATTTTTTCTACAAACATTAAAATCGGGATCCCTAAAAATTATTATTATATTATGGCTTCGAAAAAAAAAGCGTGAGCTTGGAATGTATGTTTTTTTTATTACTGAACATCGTCATCGATTTCCTTTTAGGTCGTTTTAATACTTGGTATTTCTGGTGATTGCCGCCGGCGCCGTGAGGAACTTACTAAAATGACGGTCGATAACATAGAAGATAAAGATTCAATTTTGATTGTTAAACTACCCGATACAAAAACAAACATAGACCGAGTCTTTACAGTGTCAATTTGAATTATATTGAGATTTACCGAAAATACGCAGCTCTTCGTCCAAGAAATGCTACCAGTCGCAGATTGTTTTTAAAATATCAAAATAAAAGATGTGTTAATCAAGTGGTCGACATAAATTCTATTCGTAAGATGCCTAGCATGATAACAAAACACTTGAAGCTGCCAGATTATGAGGCCTACACTGGGCATTGTTTCCGGAAAACTTCAGCCACACTTCTTGCTAATGCAGGGGGTGATATATTTAGTTTAAAGCGCCACGGAGGATGGAAATCTTCGACAGTGGCCGAGGGATACGTCGAGGATTCTATCAACAATAAAATTCAAATATCAGATAAAATTTTAGAGCGTCAAATACCGGGATCAAGCACCTCTACATCAAAATTGGATAGTGTCTCAAGTCCCAAAAAATATTGGTTCGTGTACTGGTTGTACTATTAATGTTAATATTGCAAATAATAACTAGAATATGCATTAGTGTGAAGTTTAGATATTTGTTATTTGTTTATTCTTGAATATTTCAAAATAAATAATTAGTTATGATTTAGTTCTTCATTTTCCAAAAATCAAAATTCCAAAATCCCATATAATTTACATGCAGTGTGCGAAATAAGCTTGATTTTCACGCATCCGTTGTCCGACGATACGTTGATACGATATTAATTTCATTAGTTGTATTTAAAGGCTTCGATTGGTTAACCGTTTCTAACCAACCGAAGTCTTTAAATTCAACCAATGGAATTAATATCGTATCAACGTATCGTCGGACAACGGATGCATGAAAATCAAGCTATAGGCATTTCGCGCATTACTTCGTGCACCGTGTCATGGTAACGTAGGAAAATGAAAAAAAGTGTCACTTCGCACATTGTTATCAATTCGCGAACTTTGTCATTTTTTGACGTTTTAGAAAAATATACTTTAAAAAGCAGGAAATATTTAAATTTCCTGTTACTTACTGCGTCTCTAGCAACACCGCTGCCAAATCTGTCAAAACCAACCCACACAAGTAGTGATGCTGACGATACTCTGGCGACAACTCTGCAAATGTGTTCACTCTCTCTTGGCTAGGTGGCGCTCCAGATAAAAACGAATTCTGACTCGTCGAACTCGTGACACTCGGACTGGGCGATACCCCAGCTCCAGAACACATAAAGGGACTGGAAAACGGTAAATTCAACGGAACATAGTGCTCGTGGCTGCAAATGATCCTCACGAACTCCAGTTTGAGTTCAATCAGCACACTTCCATCTGACATTGAAGAGATTTTTTGCTGGATTTCTTTGCCGTAGCTTCTTAAAAGTTGAAACACCCAACCCCTGTCGCTTATTGAGAGTAAGTCAAAGAAAAAGAAGGCTAACGCTGCGTTGAGCTTGTGAGCTCTTCTAGTCTCTCCTGAAGAATAGTTGATAATCTCGTTAGTAACGTACTGAACTAGAGTAGAGATATCATCAAGAAACTGATCAGGAAATCTTCCTCTTCTTGAAGCATCCAGTGTACGACTATGAGCTAAATGCTCCACCATGCTTTTGTTGATCAACTCAAAAAGAAACCAAGCATTTTGCATGGCTAAGTCCTTGTTCCTTCCACTGGTTATCGTCCACTGATAGGCTAACTCTTGATGTACAATCCTTGGACAAGAATTAAACGTTGGACTGATAGGTTCGTTAGAAGGAACGCGCATGCTTGAAGCCCTGTCAAGGCCTCTGGGTTGGTAGTGGGAGACTTCCAAATCCGGGTTTGAATTACTTCTAACCAAAACACTCCCTTCCCAATGAGGAGTTCCTATTGACATTGGGTGTGGAAGGTTGCATTGGAAGTTAATGTAGGTTGCAAGAAGGTGATTTCGGCCGTGATGGTCTACTTGGAGTTCCTGGATGTTCTAAAGAAAATAACATTGTTTTTATGGAGAAAAAAACGGGTTTAAAAAACTTACTGAAATGTTTTCTAAAAGTAGGCATAATGTCTCGAAGCAGGTGGTGCCCACGTTGAGGGTGTGGCCGGATATGCGGGGCGGTTGAACTAAAAGTTCGATAATGCTGTCGAAGATTTGAGGGAGGTGTTTTACTATGGTTTCCGGTCTGGCGCCTGCCAAACCTAACATAGCCGTCCTACAAAAAAAAATAAAATTATAAAACACCAACTGATCAAAAATGTCTTAATAGTAATCTATCTATACAAGTTGGTACCTTTATGAGAAATCTGATAAAAATCCGGTATATATTCATAAGCCCCATTCCTTGTGATTTACATGAAAAACAATATAGTATTTTTTGAAAAAGTTCATAAAATTGATTTTTTTTGGAAGCCCTAGTATATTTTTAAAGATTAGTAATATATATAGACGTAAAATCGAATTCTGAACAACTGTTCCCTTTAATATTTTTCAATATTTCGTCACATAACCCTACTTTTAATGACATGACATCTGTCAAAACATATTTTTTTATTGTTGCTCATTTTGAATTCAATAAAAACGGCGTCAACGATGGGTACGAAATGAAGATCGCTGTCATTTTATATGTAAAATTATATAGGGAATGTCATCGACCGTCATTTCCAAGCCAACTGGAAACCATTTTTATTTTCGATCATAATATATTTTCCAATCTTACTCAAACAATCTCTTGTTGGCCCTTTTTTCAAGATAAAAAATCCCATTTGTTCAAAAATCTCATTTGATGTAAAAAATCCATTTCATGAAAAAAATATTGAACAATCCCACTCGAAGTAAAAATCCCATTTCATAAAAAAATCTTAACTGACTAAAGAATCCCTCTAAAATTCTATTTTATGTAAAAATTCCACTTCATGAAAAAATTATTCGACAATCCCACTTGAAGTAAAAATCCCATTTCATGAAAAAATCTCAGCTGATCAAAGAATCCCTTTAAAATCCTATTTGATGTAAAAATTCCACTTCATGAAAAAATTATTCAATATTCCCCCTTGAAGTTTAAATCCCATTTCATGAAAAAATCTCTCTAAAAATTTGAAAAACTTCCTTTGAAGATCCCTTTTGATGTAAAAGTACCTCTAAAATCCCACTTGATGCAAAAAATCCATTTCATGAAAAAAATATTCAATAATCCCACTCGAAGCACAAATCCCATATCATGAAAAAATCTTCCAAAAATCCCATTTCAGGAAAAAATCTCAGCTGATTAAAAAAATCCCTCTAAAATCCCATTTGATGTAAAAATTCCACTTCATGAAAAAATTATTCAACAATCCCACTTGAAGTAAAAATCCCATTTCATGAAAAAATCTCTCTAAAAATTTGAAAAACTTCCTTTGAAGATCTCTTTTGATGTAAAAATCCCTCTAAAATCCCACTTGATGCAAAAAATCCATTTCATGAAAAAATTATTCAATAATCCCACTCGAAGCACAAATCCCATATCATGAAAAAATCTTCCAAAAATCCCATTTCAGGAAAAAATCTCTCTAAAAATTTGAAAAACGCTTGATGTAAAAATTCCATTTCTTGAGAAAATTCTCCAACAATTCCATTTGGTGTAAAAATCCCATTTGATGAAAATTCCCTCTAAAAATCCCATTTAAGGAAAAATCCCTCTGAAAATTCCATTTGATGTAAAAATCCCATTTCATAAAAAAAATTCTCTAAAAATCCCATTTGTTATAAAAATTTAATTTGATGAAAAATAATCCCACTTGACAAAAAATAATCGGCAAAAAATTGGTTTAAAAAAACTGGGACTTACGTCAATTCTTTTTCGGAGCCCACTTCGCCCAACCTAGACGGAATGATACCGGAATGAACGTAGTCGTACGCAGCAAAAAATCTCTCTATTGCCGGATCCTGCGTGTGAACTGACGATGCCGTGTCCAATATGACAGTGAAGAGACCTTTGTGATTGTCCAACCATTTCATTCCCGGCAGACACACGTCAGGCGGAATGTAACTGTAGTTTTTCGGAGGCGGTTCCAGTACCACCGGCAGACAAAATTCTCCAGAAACCAGACGATTATCACGCAGCAGAGGCAACCACTAAAACAATACGTATTTTTAGTATTTGGTACACCTTTTATACAGGGTGGCACCTCTCATACGCCGCGGAGGCTCCAAGGAGAGCGATAGTTTGTATTGAAATGAAATTCAGTTAATTCAGAGCACTTTTTAAAAATATAGAGAGTTCTACAGGGTGTCCCCAAAAAAAGTTACATATCAAAGTTGTGTTTTTTGTAATAGAACACCCTATATATTAATTGATTTTCGGATTCTGGGAGAAAAATAAAGGTGAGTTTTATAAGAGAAGTGTATGACTAAAATGTAAGGTTTTTGACATATTTAACATTTTCTAGAAATAAAGAACAATTTTTAAATTACAATAAAAGCTACCTAAATTGGAATTTACCCGGTATAGCCTAATACGTAGCTAAATTAACTATTATACTTTAAATCAAATTAAAACTTGATCCAAAAAGTTATACAGGGTGATACAAAATTAATATTGAACATTGGTCGCCTTTAAAAGAATGTTACTCATTTATTTTAAACGGAACACCCAGTACATTTTTCCGATATTCAATGGAAAATTCATGTCTCTTCAAAATACTATTAAGGTTGCCTACCCCTCAAACAAAGATTTTCTTAGAGATTTTTATTTACATGATTTGATCAGAGTAGATCTTTATTATTTGATAAAATCTAGGTGGCTGTGATATGTCTGACGTTACTTCAACATAGCTGTCTAATTAGTCCAACTTTAACAACTAGTTATCATTTTGTGTCAATTAAAACAAAAAAATTCTCAGTAATTTGCCGAAAATGCAAACTTATCCTACATCAGAGAGAATTGATATTTTTCTATTAGTTGGAGAATGTAGTGTGCATTCACGAATTAATAGAATACTTAAATGCTCCTGATTTTATCTAGTCTGGGTGTTTTTATGGGGATATGTTAAAGACAGTGTTTACAAAACTTGACCAATTATTGTCGACAACATGAGAGAAATTATTTAGCTGCTATTCAAGGTAGAACTCCACATATTTCTTTTAAAGTGAAAAGATCCTTTTGAAAAGACAATCGTTTTATGCAGTTAACAGGAAAGGAAGCATTTTCAGCATTCGATTTCATCTAGCTAATTTTTGTCACATAATATTGGCTTATATCTAGTTTTAATTTTGTAATAATTAAAAAATGTTTTAAACGTGTATCTTTTTATTACAGTTGGGTATTTACTCTACAATATTTAATTTTTGTTAAATTAACAAAAGGTATATCACAGCTACCCCTATATTTATTCAAATAATAAAGATCTACTGACGCAAAATCATAAAAATTAAAATATCTAGGAAAATCTTTGTCTGAGGGGTAGACAACCTTAATAATATTTTGAAGATGCACCGGAATAATATACTGGGTGTTCCATTTAAAATAAAGGAGTAACATGCTTTTAAAAGTGACTATTGTTCCATAATAATTTTGTCTCACCCTGTATAACTTTTCGGGTCTAATTTCTATTTGGTTTAACATACAATGGTTACTGTAATTAAATATCGGGCTATACAAGGTCAACTAAAATTTAGGTAGCTGTTGTAGTAATTTAAAATTTACTTTTCATTTTCACAAAATGTGAAATATGTCAAAATCCTTAGATTTTAGGGATATCCTTCTTTAATAGAACTCACCTTTATTTTTCGCCTAGAATTCGAAAATAAATTAATATATAGGGTGTTCCATTACAAAAAACACAATTTTGATATGTTATTTTTTGGGGGACACCCTGTAGAACTCTCTATATTTTTAAAAAGTGCTCTGAATTAACCTACATATGCTCACAAAATTTCATTTCAATACAAACAGTAGTTCTCCTTGGAGCTTCCGCGGCGTATGAGAGGCGCCATCCTGTACGTACCGGGCCTGGCAACTGTTAGTGCACGGCCACACGGAAAGCGTTTTTTGCGTTTTTAGCGTGAAGCGTCTTTTGCGTCTAAAACAAAATAACAGGATTATATAGGAGTGGCCCCACCAAAAGCGTCTAGCGCTCGGCGTGTCTCGCAAAAAACGCAAATGAAAACAAATCAATTTGTTTTCTGTAGCGTCTTTAGCGTTTTCTATGAGACCCCGTCATAGGCGAACGTAATATTTAATAATACAATAAAAATAAATTAAATAGTGATAGCATTTTTTTCATTTTAGGATATTATCTAAAAATTTTTTTATAGAGAACATCTACTGTTTAGGAAGATTCTAATAAATTCAAAAATTTCAAGGAAATGTTTGAAAAAATGTAGTTTCAATTGTTGAAAAAGTCATAAATTAAAGGAATATTTTCTTACGCGTAAAAAATAGTTATTTATTCGTAAAAAGTGTTTTTTTCTGCGTAAAAAAGGTTTTTTTAACCGAAACAAATAGTTTTTGACGCGTAAAAAATAGTTTTTTACGTGTAAGAAATAGTTTTTTTACACGGATTTTTTTTTTCTGTAAAAAGTTTTTTACCAGAAACAATAAGTTTTTGACGCGTAAAAATTAGTTTTTTACGTGTAACAAATAACGTGTAAAAAATATTTTTTTTTGCGTAAAAAGGTTTTTTTTACCAGAAACAATAAGTTTTTGACGCGTAAAAAAAAAGATTTTTACGTGTAACAAATAGATTTTTACACGTAACAAATAGTTTTTTTCACGTAAAAAATATTTTTTTTTTGTGTAAAAAAGTTTTTTACCAGAAACAATAAGTTTTTGACGCGTAAAAAAATAGTTTTTTTACGTGTAACAAGTAGTTTTTTAGACGTAAAATTTTTTTTTTTGGGTAAATAAGTTTTTTTACCAGAAACAATAAGTTTTTGACGCAAAAAAAAGTTTTTTTTACGTCTAACAAATAGTTTTTTACACGTAAAAAATATTTCTTTATGCGTAAAAAAGGTTTTTTACCAGAAACAATAAGTTTTTGACGCGTAAAAAAATAGTTTTTAAGTTTAACAAATAGATTTATACGCGTAAAAAATAGTTTTCTACCAGTAACAAATAGATTTATACGCGTAAAAAATAGTTTTTTACGTATAACAGTTTTATTCGCATAAAAAAATAAAAACAGTTTTTTTACGTGTAACAAATGGTTTTTTACACGTAATAATTTGATTCACTTTTACAAAATTTGTATTAAAATATCAATATTTTTGATAAACACGAGGCCTGCGCACAAATACACGTCGCGTCACTACGTATTTCTAAGCCGTTAACACGTTTCGTTACAGCTAGCTCGTGTGTCAGGGCCGTCTCAATAGCTCGTATGTCACGGCCTCGAATGTTTACTCCCAGCGCGCATAAAGAAGTTTCACTCCAAAAAGTTTCATAAATCATGTCCTAAAATTGCGTTAGCAACTAGTAATATATATTTACTATTCTATTATATAATTATAATTCTTTTTTTTATATTATATTATAATTATAACAAGTAACCACAACACTACGACATAAAAAAACTATACACATATAAACTAAAATTCGTAAAATAAATGGCAAATACTATTTATTATTTTTACACACACCACTGGCACTAGCAGTAGGTTGTGTTTGTCGCCGAATATATGCCCCGGACCGTCCACAATTCAATCCCAGCATCTTTTATCTTCGTCTCTTCAACGCTAACCGCGCTGATCTCGCCTATCTCTTTCTAACAGGATTGATTGTTGAACGGGCCGGGAATCCACGAGCTTGCGACGTTACTAATTGACATCTTGTTAGAAACTGCAGACCTGTCGCGTCTTTTGCGTGTTTTTAATGGACACAAATCGAAAAAAACGCTTAAAACGGTAAAATCGCAAAAAGCGCTTGAGACGCAAAAAACGCAAAACGCTAAAAACGCTTTCTGTGTGGCCGTGGGCTAAGACCCAAACGCTAAAAACGCTTTCTGTGTGGCCGTGGGCTTACTTTTGGGTCGACATTTACATGTGTGGAAGTAAATCGCATAGGGATCTTATTAAGTCGGAGTGAGAGAAATGCGACCGACTGACGCGACGCGCGACGGTGTGCTGGTGCGGCGTTGCCGACACGCCTTTCCCTATCAAGTAAAGTAAAATCACGATCGCAAACCGCTTATTTTTAAAAGACTTTTTTTTCAAGAGATAACTAGATAAAATCATTAGACATGTTTCTGAGCATGTGAAATGGAATTATAAGGATATCGTTAGGGTGCCATTTTTTTTATAACGAGAAAACGTCAGCAATCGCGATAATTTAAAAACTCAACTTTTTAACACATAACAGGCCATAACTCAAGAACCACTTTAGATATTGAAACTTTTTTTTATTTTCAAGATCGGATATTTTACAATATGTTTACATAAGAAAAATTCGATAAGGTTGTTTTTTCCATTCAAAAATTGTAAACAATCCATCTATTTACTTTTAGAGCATAGCAATTTTCAGCAATATGGTAATTTTTTTATTGATAAAGATTTTCACATACTGTCTACAAAGAAAATACAGCAGAAATATTAACAAAGTTCTTGAAAAAACTACAATCTATTATTTCTAATAGATTTCGAGATATCGATTTTTCAATTCAGAGTTCTAATAGCGCGACCACTATGGAACACCCACTCAATTCCACTTATTTTTACCAAAAATGCAAGTGTTTCTAGCTTGCACTTAAAAAAATTCAAGCTATAGGGAAAATTACAACGACTCGTTAATAAATAAACAAATTAAGTATCACGAGACGTAATTAAATCGTGAAGCTGAACGCATGACGTAAACCTTTCCCTAGAACTTTAAGTACTGACACTGACAGAGGTATTGATTGAGTCGACCGGTCAACTGCGACAAATTTGCTATATCCCCTTCCACGTCTCTTAGCGATGTGCACAGTTTCTCGGTTTATTTCATACGTTTGACAACGTGTTTACTGTCCTCTCTTTGTTCAGTACATTATAAACGCATTGTACTCTTCTTACATACGGAAATCTCGACCCAAGACTAACCTTTGCCAGCCCTTAGTATACAAAGATTTATTCAAATACTTACAGTGTAACCTACAGGTGTTTCTACTACATTCTGTTCAGTCTTCTTCTGACAAGATATATGATAAAACGTAAACAACAGATGATGATTATCGGCCAAAGAAGCAGGAAGTTTGATTTTAACCTCATCATAAAACACGGGAGTTTTCGAATGGTACGTCACAGCAGAAAACACCTCATTGGTCATCTCCGGACAACTGGACTTCCCGAATATGTTAGGCAACGCGTGATTCTCACTCTCACCCGCCATCACCTGCATTTTCACCGCCAAATTCCTAGCAGAACCGGTCCTGTTCGAAAAATTCAACTCCCTAGGACTGACGAATAGTAGATTCCTGTAAACATAGTGAGGCGTCAAAATCTCTTTGACAGGGAACTCAAGCAACTCTTTGGTAGGTCTACCCTTCTCGTCAGGATATGGATGAAGTTTCTCCAGCTCTGTGGTAAGACAGTTCTTATATTCAGCAGGACACGGAGATATTTCCAGCTTGAAAACCGTCGGAATGCATTTCAGTTTCTTCAAGACCAGGGTGGGGCGTTTTAGTTCTTGCAGGCACTTGTAGAGGTCGTCTTCGCGTAATTTGTCGCCTTCCTGCTTGAAGAAAGAGGTCATGGTGAGGGTTATGGGTCTGAAGGTGTCTAAATTCGTCGCCAGGTGGTCTGGAGACCACGATCTGCATTTGTCTTTCCGTTCTAGGGAGCCTCTGCGGGTTAGAGTGCCCATGTCAGCTGCTTTGCGTCTGAGTTGGTCTAAACCACTGCTGGATGATTTTCTATCTGTGAATTTGGAAGAGTAAAAAATTGTAGTTTAGTACGGTTTTAAGGTTATATACAGGGTTATCCTATCCCTTGCTAAAGTCCCTAGAAAATATAGAGTACCTCCATTGGTTTGTCCGCTTTTTTGGAGTCAAAATGGCGGTGTTAGTAACATGTTGGTAAAGATTTGTAAAATGGCGTGACTTTTTTTAAAAAGTGTAGTTTATATGAGACCATCAGGTAATATTTCATTCTTGTTTGTATGAAAGTGTATTAGTTTATTTCAAAAATGATAGATTCAAAGTGATTTAAGTAGCCATAGTATCTATACTAATATATAAAATCCTTAGTGACTTAGTCACTGATTAATCACGATCCTGCTCAAACCACTCAACGTAAGAAGCTCAATTTTGGTATACAGGTTGATTCTAGGGTGTAGAGGTTCGATAAGAAGGGATTTTTCAAAATCCCAGTTCCAAGGGGGTGAAACCACCCCTCAAATATTACAATATTTTTTATTTAAAAAACGGCCAAGTTTCCGAAAAAAAACACGTATATTTTATTTTGTTTTTTACATATTTTAAGATTTTTTAAAAATCTATACAGGGTGTTTTGAAAATGCTGGTCATTGATTAATCACGATCCTGCTTAAAGCGCTTGATATAAAAAGCTGATTTTTGGAAAACTGATTGACTTTAGGGTGTAGATGTTCGATAAGAAGGGATTTTTCGAAACTCAAATTCTAAGGGGGCGAAACAAAAAAAGTCAAATATTAAAATAGTTTTTATTTAAAAACCGGTGAGTTTTTCGGAAAAACTCTTAAACACGTATATTTTATTTTGTTGTTTTACATATTTTAATTTTTTTTAAAAATTTATACAGGGTATTTAATAAAATATGACCATTGAGTGATCACGATTCTGCTTAAACTTCTTGACGTTTAAAGCTGATTTTTGTCAAACGGATTGACTGTAGGGTGTAGAGGTTCGATAAGGAGGGGATTCTCGAATCTCAAATTCCAAGAAGGTGAAAACGCCCCTCAAATATTACAATATTTGTTATTTAAAAAACGGTTAGTCTTTCGGGAAAACGCTTGAACAAGCATAATTTATTTGGTTTTTTTACATATTTTGAATTTTTTTAAAAAATCATACAGGGTGTTCCAAAAGGTTGGGTAATTGATTAACCACGATTCTGCTTAAACTGCTTGACGTAAAAATCTTATTTTTGGCAAACGGATTTTTCGAAAGTCAAATTCCAACGAGATGAAACTACCCCTCAAATATTACCAAGTTACATAATAATACCGCCATATTGTTTTTTCTCATGCTGACATAAATGTGAGAACATTTTATCCAGTTTGTATGTTAATGGAAATTCTTGCTTTGGTTTATCATCACCATTACAAATGATTAATTCAACGCGAACGAAGTCGCGGGTACACACTAGTGTAATATATTACCGCGAATATCTGAGATACCATTAATAATTTAGGAACACTTACTATACAAATACAATACAAAAAGAATTAGCATTTTTTAATTCTGCATCTAACAAAAAAAATAACATACAGGGTGTTTCATTTGAAAAAGCAAAGAAAAATAATTTTATAGTTCAGAAAGTTAGGCGTGGAATTTTGAACACCCTGTATGATTTAGGATTACGATACTTACAGCAAAGTAAGCACAGACTAACTATAGTAAATATCTAGGATAGTTTTGATTTCAAAGCAATTTTTGTATTTTTTTTTAAATCCTGAAAAATGCATTTTTTTTATTTATTTATTAATATATCCGAAACTATCTAAGCAAATTTAATCTTAAGATTATAAAAAGTGATCAGAAAGAAAACCACAAATGCAATAATACACAGGGTGTTTCATTTAAAAAAAAATCAAAATCCACTCAAATTAAAAATGATTTTATATTTTAGAAAGTTTGGCGTAAAATTTTAAACACTCTGTATGATTTAAGATTACTAAATTTAAAGCAAAGCCAAGTATAGACCATCTAAAGTAAATATCTAATATAGTTTTGATTTTAGAACAGTTCTGGTATTTGTACTATTTTTTTTAAGAAAGGCTGAAAAATATATTTTTTTTATTTATTTATTAATATCTCTGAAACTATCTAAACAAATTTAATAAAATTTTAAGATTATAAAAAGTGATCAGAAAGGAAACCAAAAATGCAATAATATACAGGGTGTCCCGTTTAAAAAAATCATCCCAATCCACTCAAACTCTTTTGAGTCATCCTGTAGAATTTATAAAATATTTTCCTGTAATACATCCTAATACATTCCGATCTGCTACCTAGTACATTATTCAGATGTGCACTTAAACATAATTCCTAATTTTTTTTATTATAGGGCCTATAGATGATATAATAATTTGAAAAAAAAACGTACCTAAACTGTTGGTATATGATCCAGACCCTGTAGAATCCTTATCCAGATCTCTTTCAACAGAATTTCCTCCATTGATCACACTGAACAAATTGATCGCCGTCCAGGCAAATGCCTGTCTATATTTTCCCAATCTTTCACAAACTGACACAGCCACAGACTTCAACTTGTCGCGATTCTAATTCAAAATAAAAAATAAAAAAAAAATAACAAACATTTTTAAAAACAAAAATACCTTTTCTTCCTTCAAATATGGTTCTAAACATTCATTAATATCTCCTTGCAGCACTTTTTCGAGTTTAACCACAATAAAAAGATCTGGAGAGGGATGGGTTATATTGAAAATAGAACTTCTAGCCAATGTGCTGGTATCGGCGTAGGGTATGTGTGTACCCAGCATTCTTTTGAGCCCTTCGGGGTTCAAATCGAAATAAAAAGTTTCAGAAACCTTTTTTCGTTCTTTGGAATCGTAGAGGGCCATGGAGACAAACAAAGGTTCCACTTCCAAGTCCAATCTAGAAGGAAATGGAACGAAATAATAAAATTTAAATCAAGTCAACTATACAGGGTCCTGCAAAATAAAATAATCATAATAAAAAACTAATAAATTCGGTTTACCTGCAAACTTAAAATATTTACTTGAATGTTTCAGCAAAATATATATTTTGCATGATATTTTTAAATGGAACACCCTGTATATTATGGTATTTTTTACTTCCTTTCTGATTACTTCACATAATACTGAGATATTATTAAATTTCTTTGGATAGTGTTAGAGATATTAATAAATAAATTAAAAAAAAATATATTTTTCAGACTTAAAAAACGATGTACTTAAACAGCCGTTAAACGGTAGCCTACTAAAATGCCGTTAATAGATATTGTGACGTCGTTCATGTCGGCGGAAAGTAATGCCTAGCCTTAAGCTTTTTGCAACAGCACCTGTGGGTCAGTGGCTGAGGCTATCGCTTCGTAAGCGAATGGTCTGTGGTTCAAATCTCACGCCGACCAAGACTTTTTTATATAAAATTGCTTATAGCGTGATCTTATTGCATTGGTTTCACACTTTTTGGTTGGATTGGTTTAGTTATTTGGCGGGTTGGTTAGCGTGGTTATTTGGAGGGTGTTAATTGATTGGTTAGTTGGTTATTTGGTGGGGTTGGTTGATTTTTACTAATTTATATTTGTTTTTTTATATTTTTTATCAGTGTCGAGGTTAGTTGCGTTGGTTAAGTTGGTTATTTGGTGGGGTGGATAGCGTTGGTTAGTCCTTATAAAATTCCTATATTTCATAAAGCCGTCAAGTGCGTCACATCAACGACGTCATACCTATTAACGGCATTTTAGTAAGCTACCGTTTAACGGCAGTTTAAGTACAGCCTTAAAAAAATTATAGAAAATTCAAGAAATACCCCGAAATCAAAACTATACTAGGTATTTACTATAGTGGGTCTGTACTAACTTTGCCATATATATATATCGTAATCTTAAATCATACAGGGAGTTCAAAATTCCACGCCAAACTTTCATAAATATACAATAATTTCTCTTCATTTTTTTTATATGGAACACTCTGTATATGATTTTTTTCAGTTTTTTTATGATTTTGCAGATATTTGCGGTAATATAGGGTGCTCCCTTTAAAAAAAAAACCAAGAAAATTTATTTTATATTCTGGAAAGTTTTGGCGTGCAATTTTGAACATCCTGTATGATTTAAAATTACAATATTTATAATATAGTAAGTATCTAGCATAGTTTTTATTCCAGGACACATCACATTTAAAAAATAATAAAAAAGGCTGAAAAATATATTTTTTTTCATTTATTTATTTATATCTCTGAAATTATCAAAACAAATTTAATAATATCTTAGGACTGTAAAGTAATTATGAAAGAAGTAAAAAAAATGCAATAATATACAGGGTGATCCATTAAAAAAAAAATCATCCCAATTCACTCACACTTTTTGAGCAACACTCTAGAAGTTAAAATATTTTCCTAAAATAGGCCCTAGTACATACTTTAGGTATGTACTTAAACAAAATTCCTAAATTCTTTTTTATAATACCCCAAACAGATGCCCAACACACTATTGCAACACCCAATACAGTGGTATAAAAAAGATAAAAAACATGTATAGAAAAATAAATATATTCTTACGTCAATTGTTGGCATTTCACTAGAACCCTATGCCCTACATGCTCATAGGGAGCACCAGCAGGCAGCCTTTTCTCAACAAAATCACCGATTTCACTCTGAATATCGCTGGTAGTCAAAGCAAACAAGGCTTCCTGCCTCTCAATCTGTCTCTGACTCTCATTTACTTGATCTTGTGACTCCAAAACTGACTGATCTAAAATTTCTGGTATCAATGGATCACCTGCAGAGTGTCTCAGATCCAGAGAAGCCCAAGAATTACGAGGAGTTAGTGTGTCACCACATGAAGATAGAGATCCAATAGATACAACACTCTGTCGACTGCTACCTTGAGATGTCAAGTCTAAAATTATTATTCGTTATATAACTATACTTATTTAAAATTTAGTTATAAACCTAGATCACTGTTGGCCTCAGAAGGTGCCTGCTGAAAATCAACTTCAAACTCCTGTTTTGGAGCGGGTTGTAACGTTTTTGACAAGTTAGCTCTGCTTGTAATACTGCTACTTAGGTGTCTTTGCGTATATTGCACTACTTTCCATACTGATTTGTAACATTGCACACAAGTTTGCACATGAGGTGGCAAAGTTTCACTAAAAAAAAACAATATTTTTCTTCGATTTTAGCCTATCAAATCGAAATACATACATCTTTTCTTCCGGGACAATTGGTCTTAAGGTTCTTAAAGGTCTCTCGATGACCTCCACTTGCACATCACCTAAAGGAATATCCAAGATATTCCTCAAGGGATCTCTGTCTATAACCAACTGATAAGCGCTGACGTACTCCTCGAAGTCTAAGGGCTCCGCTATTTCGTGTACCCAACTCTAAAATAACGTTTAAATCAAAGAAATTAGTGTTATATTTGTGTGTTTACCATGCTGGTAGAATGGGACATCAACCCGGTTTTATTGCTGGAAATAGTTTTGCGTAGATCGGCGGCATGTTGCCTAAAATAAATATGAGTAATTTAGCAAATAATACGTTCAAATTTCTAGATATTACTTGGATAATTTTTGTGTAAACGCCCTCTGAGTACTCGCCATTGTTTATCTTTATTTAAAAACTTTATTGACAACAAACAGCTGATGAACGCTTGTCAGTTGTCAAGATTTGTCCTGTCAGACATATGTCAGTTGCAAAGATATAGAGGTAGAGAGAAAATGACATATATAAAAATAGGGAGGAGTTTCCGTATCGATAATGTTATTATATTATTACTTATTGATCTCCCCTGTAGATCTAAGCGCGAACATGACATAAGAAAATTTTTGGATGCACACTCGTTGTAACTTATTCTCCTCCCTACTTCTATCTCTGAATTCTCCATCTCTGAATAATATGCCTGATTTTTCATATCGATAATGCAAAACTGTCGATAAGTTTTTCCTCCCTACCTCTATATCTCTGAATGCCATATGTCAGTTGTCATATGATTAATCATGTGTCTGTTTATTTTTTAGATAAAAACTTTGGAATTTGTGTTTGGAATGTAATAAAATACTTAGAAATCAAGCTTTTTCTGCTGTTCTCATACAATTTATTTCATCAAGGCCAGTAAATTGTAAATAAAACCCTGTAAAGTAATGATACCGCTATTTTATAATAGAGAAGCTGAAAACAGGAAACGACAAATCACAACTTTGAAAATATTTAACGATAAGTAAGCATTAAATTTAATCTGTTCCTTACTAGATTTATCACAATAGTTTTCTTGTAGTGTAATTGAAATTGTATCGGATTTGGAATACGAAATTCCTTTCCAATGTGGTGGTGATAAATTAACTTTAAAAATTTCCCTTAGCCATGATTTTCCAGTCGAAAAACCAGTACTAAGTGTAAGCCCTATGGTTTATCACCCATGGGTTAATGAAAATGGAGTAATTACATCAGCGCCTGGCTTAATAAATGTGAGAAACGATACAAACCAGGATTATTTTTGAGTTAGAACTAATAAAACTTCAGTTTTCAGTGCATTCAGATTTGGGTAGAGTCGTTCAGGCTATAATAAGGGATTTTCAAAGAAACCCACCTCGCTTGGCGGCCAATAACAATGTGATATCTTCGAATATACCAATTTTAGGCAGCGCAGATAACAGGGGAAGCCCAAATTTCCAGTCTAGGTCAAGTTTATCGCCTCCTAATGATCCAACAGGGCAATATCAGAGAAAAAATAATACTGCATCGCCTTTTTTGGACTTAAATAACTTGACTGTAGAAGAACTGAAGTTTTTAAATGAAAATGATGATCGGTTAATGGAGTTTATCGAAGATATTCCTCCTATGAGAGACCAGCAAAAGGCTCTCGATGATTTGCTAGTTGGTATTGAAGAATTAGCAGGTATGGTTGTGTTTTATGACTAAAGAATACAAGGAAGCTAAAAAGGTGGAGTGCAGACAATTAATTGTTTGTATATATACCTAGAAAGTTAATTTCTGGCCCCTTCTTCTTGCTGTGGCTTTTACACTTGAAAGTTGAACAAATCACCATTGTAATAAAGTTTATACAAAGTTAACGATACACAAAAATTATTAGTCACTTCTGTTTGGCACCAAAAAATAGCGTTTTATAATTTTCCATCACAGATTTTTCTTCCTATATGCGTGTTACAGGTCCTAGAATTCTTTAATAGTCAGTATAATAGTGAAAATATCTTTTTAGAAGAAAATTTGAACAAAGAGGAACAAATAGAAACCCTAAAAGAGGCAGTGGATTCCAGAATAGAAGAGGTCAATAAATTAGCATTTAACAATGAAAAACTCTATAATGTCTATCAGAGTTTGTCTGAAAAATATTCACCAAGAAATATACAAGTAAGTAATTATTAAAAATACTTTTTTAAAAAATATATAAAATGGTTATTTTAGGAAGAACTAAGGAAGTCAGCAAAAGAAGCTGAAGACGAAAGTGACAAGATTGCTGACTCGTTTCTACAGGGCGATTTGGACGTGGATACTTTTTTAAATATGTTCATAAAGTCGAAATCGCTTTGTCAGCTACGTAAAACCAAAGAAGAGAAGCTGTGCCATCAGCTGGATCGGCTAGAAAAAGCTGGCTTTTAATAGCCCTAAACATTCCTATTTATTATTTTTAAGGACGTATAATATGTATATACACTTTTTTTTAAATAAAAATAAATATTCATATCTTTTTGCATTATTTTTATATTCTATTCAAAACGTATCGATATTTTTGTGTTATTGATATGGACACTCATGCCTATTATTATATATGATATGACAATTTTTTATAACAAAGACAAATGTCAGTCCTGTCAAATATCAATCAACAGTTGATAAATTTTTTGTTGGATTAATTTTTGATTTATGAGAAAAAGAATCTCAATCGGGGTGTTTCCGAGAAGAGGTGACATATTTTCTAAATTTATGTTCAATATTTTAACTTTATAGTGCTTAAAAATACAAAAACGTTTTGAAGGTTATGGCTACCGGATCGACACGCAGAATTTTAGTCGAAACAAAAAACCTATCCAAAGACCCACCACCCGGTATTAGCGCAACTCCCGATGATAATAACTGTAGGTGAGTCTAATTCGTACTGAAAACTAAAATAAAACATTCTCAGAACACGCAATTTTTCAGATATTTTCACGTAGTAATGGCTGGCCCCAACGGATCACCTTACGAAGGCGGTTTATTTAAACTGGAACTGTTCCTCCCAGAAAACTACCCTTTGTGCCCCCCAAACGTGCGATTTTTAACGAAAATCTACCACCCCAACATCGACAAACTTGGTAGAATATGTTTGGATATCTTAAAAGACCAGTGGTCACCGGCTTTGCAGGTCCGGACAGTTTTACTGTCCATTCAAGCCCTACTGAGCAGTCCCAACCCAGATGACCCCTTGGCAAACGATGTAGCAAATATGTGGAAGACTAGAGAACAAGAAGCAATCCTGAAAGCTAAGGAATGGACAAGAATGTACGCCGCCGAATGAGTGTAGACTCTTTGTGTGCATATAAACTTTTGTCAGTGTCAGGTCTATAACTGACTGTGATAAACCAATGTGTTATTTAGATTCTATCCGTAATTCCTCTCGATTGTTTAGTTCAGATTGACATGCCAAATGTAAGTGTGTGTATTTCCTGTAATGGTTTTTTTATCGATCAGTTTTTCTACATGAATTATACATTTAACAGTATGATGGGAAGGTTTTTTGTTTAAATTTAGTAAGAAGCTCAAAGAAATAAGTAAGTCTATAGGATCCTAAATATTTTTTATACGAGTAAAATATTAATTTTTTATTTTTTACCTCATTAAACATTTCAAACTACACTTTTTCAAACATTAATAAATTGTAAAACGAGACGGGGTTTACTTATTTTCTTTGAGTGTTTTAGAAGATATTTTGTTTCAATGGAGGACGATCAATGATAGTAATAATATACTCGATAGTTTTGTTTAAAGCATTTTTAATTTTTTATTTCTTTTTTCACTGTTTTCTTGGAAAAATACGCATCTAAAAACAATGCAACGAACACGATAATAGCACCAGACCATTGTGTGACAGTGAGACTATTGCCAAAAATGATCACCGAGCCTAGAACTGTGAAGAATTTTCTGGTGGTCGTCACAATTGAAACAGCCAAAGGTCCAAAATCTGACACCTAAAATATGAATAAATAAGTGGTATATGACAGGTACAGATCTTAAATTATCTTAAAAAAATAAAAAAAAAACTTTTTTACCATGGAATAGAGAAACAGCTGTCCAACTGCCGACAAAACGCCGATAGAGAGAAGATTATAGTAAATACTAGGAAACTTATTTGCGAATTTTATAAACTCGAACACTTCACTAGAGATGAGTATCACAAAAATTAGAGATAGACTCGACCAGCCGTTGGCGGACCTCATCATTTGTATGCCGGAAGGTTTCGATTCTGCTCTAATTCGTTCCTACAAAAAAAATGCCTAACATGACACCGTTTTTTCTTCATTTTCATTAAGATATTTACCTGAACAGCACCAGTTATACCGTCCATAACTAGAGACAAACACAACAACAGCTCTCCTGTATCAAAACCACCTTCTTCACTTGCTGATTTCGAAGCCTTTTCCTTAAGCATAAAAATAATTATCCCAAACACTATTAAAAATACGAAGACGTATTTTCTCAAAGGATACGATTTCCTCCCTAATAAAACACCCAATAGCATTACTGGGATGGGTTTGGCAGACTTTCCTACGACTTGAGTTGGATAAGATACCCACTGCAATGCCATATTTGAGGCGACCATAGCCAGCAAGTACGTGGTGGATACACTGGCGTAATATAGCTTGGCCGTCTTGTCTTCACCTTGGGGCCATATCAAACAGGCTATCTGGGCTATGATGTAGTTTAAAATGCATTGTGTACAAACTAGAGTCAATGCAAAGGTAAATTTCTCACTGATAACTGTCTTGGTTCCGTCTGCTAGTACTTCCTCGTGCACGTATTTGCCTCTGGTCACCTTTTCTTGTAAAATACCGTAGTAAAAGTACGAAACAAAGATTCCAGCTGCGTAAATTAAGAACTTTTGTTTTTGCATCCTATTAGCGCTATGTTACAAACTTAAACGAATATAACGTAATGAATGAATGATCGACACTCCTATTTCTGGCCATACATTGGAAGCTTTTATAGAAAAATTACCCGCAATTCGAATTTCTATTTATTAGAAAACTACAAACTAAAGACACGTCAGTGATTTTTTATGAGGTTAAATTGCTGTCAAAAAATCTAGGTTATGTTTGTTTGTATCTGACATTTTTCGAAATGTTTAGTCTCTGTGTTTAGTTGTCCGCTCAACGTCAGGATAAAATAATAAATTAATCGTCCGGTTAGAAAACACAAAACTTGGAAGAGGATTTAACTATAATCGCAGCTCTTAAATTAATTACTTCAAATAAGTTATTTAATTAGTCAATTGATACGTACGTGAAAAACACTTGAATCTACACCACAATCTACACGTTTTGGTTTGATGTAAACGTACTTGTTTGGCGGACAAGTAACAACAGCCAAAAAATTTTGATTTTCAGCAAAAATTTATCTCCTGCATTATTCTTATCTTATCGTAAATATTTTGCCAATTTTCCAGTTAGCTTTGCACATTATTTTAGATATCTCAAATTAATTCCCTTAATATTGTTTTATACTTAACAAACTAATAGGTATAAATCCGTTGTGTTTACAGCTCGAGTTATTTTTATCTTAGGTACACTATTTTTTGTTTGTTTGGTTTATTTAAACATAAATTACAATACCGTACTTCCAAGGTATTTCCCCTTATGAATCAGTTATGGGTGCGTCAAACTCGCAAAACTTTATTTCTCAAAGTGAACTATCAGAGGACGAGTCTGACTCGGAATATTTTCAAGTTGAAATGAGAACTACCGCTACTTTTATGATTGATGCGGTTTTGCGAAGCCATAGAAACTCGGGACCCGGTAAAACTTTATCACCAAATAGAGTTCGTGGTATTGAACAGAAACTGGACCAGTATGAAATAGTAAGCAGCCGAGAATTTTCTTTAATTTATGCCATTAATTTGATTTAAATTTTTAGGTAGCATTAACATATCTGTTGTACGACAGGGCTGAAATAGCTTTACAAACCCTTATTCCTTTCTTATGCCACACCAAAGATAACGTTTTAACTGAATGGGTCAATTCTGAAAGCCGCAACAACCCTAAATGGCAGAGTAAATTTATCGAGGCAATGTGCATAATACAAAACTACCAGATCCTTAAAGAATTCGGTTATAATAAGGAAGAATTGAAGGCACAGTATGTACCAGAGCAACCTGAAGTGTCAGAACTGGTAAACAAAAAAAGGAAATCCCTGTATTTATTGGCAGAAAAACTGAATACAAGGGAAACGGAAATATTTCTGTACAATATGAGAAAGGCTTTTGAAGAAAACCATGAGGTGTTTCAGGATTACGATTTTGATTATTTAGAATTGTATTTTTTGGACTGGGAACAAAGAACAATTGGTAGTAATTATATTAAGAGGTCTTTGAAGATTATGGATAAGGAACATTTGTATGAAATCTCAGAAAATCTTTCACGTTGTGAGATAAATGATATTCCTGAAAACAATGTAAGTATCATCATTAAAGAAATCAATGAAAAATAACACACGGTTTGGTTAAATCGTAGACTTAAAATAAAATGTAGACTGAGCATCTCATTCATAAATAGCTGGAACATGCGGTCAGACAATGTCTTGTTATTGTTGTGTTATTGTTTTGGGTTATAACGAGTGCGACACGAGCGATAGATAGGTTGAACTCTCTGTATCATAGCCGGGTAATTTTTTTATTTTAATGAAGCTATAATTAAATTAAAAATATATCGTATTTAAACTTTTTTATATTTTATTCAGATTTAGGACAGGTTTTTTAAATAAAAGTTTAGAAAAAACGTCTTAGAGTCCAAAAAGGATAAAAATAATAAAATACACGTTATAGAAGAAATTTTATAATCGAAATTACGTAAATTTTGAAATTAATAATAAATTATTAATTTTAGTCAAACATTTACAACCCCTAATATTAATCAAAACAGGATCTATTCCACAGATATAATAGAATCGGCGACAGGGAGTGAAAAAAAATATGATTGTTGTAATTTTTTTTCTGGTTAAGTGATGTCTTATTATGTAAATTAGAGAAAACATAAATCTGTTCCATTAAAGCAAGGAAGGTGATAGGAAGTGGATAAAATGAAAACTACATTTATTTAACTCGGTACTGTCTTTATTATACCGGGTGCGTCCCAAAAGTGGCTCATCCCCATATTTTTTTATATTTTCAAATAAAAAACCAAATTTAGTATGTTAGTATATAACATAAATTAGGATTGATTGACGCATTCAATTGTTTTTGGTCACTTCCTGTTTCACCGGAAATGACTATAACTTTTAATTTTTAAACTGCACCCTCATTATATTTCTACTTTATTCAATAGAAAATGACACTCTGAATAGAATGACATATCATATGTCAACTTTTGACATTTTCGCATATGGTTTAATTGTAATTGTAACACGCGGTTCATAACGACAATTTGACTCGAAATACCAAGTGTGTGGTATCAATATATTCATAAAAAATGCTTTTTCCAAATATGCTAATGAGTCACCCTTGTTCCATTTGAAAAAATTGACATATGTATGATTAAAAATACGATTTGTACATCTTTTAACCGGCCTAGCCAAGACACGAAACCTATTAGACGATCAAAACTATTTTTCCAAGGCTCCTTGATTAAAACTTAGTGTTTTTAACAACACCATGGCACCCTGGATTGAAATTTAAAATACGATTTGTTTTTAAGCGACAATGTCAAAAGTTGACCTATGATATGTCATTCTATTCAGAGTGTCATATTTTATCGAATAAAGTAGCAATACACCGAGGGTGCCTTTAAAAATCAAAAGATGTAATCATTTCGGTGAAAAAGGAAGAGATCAAAAACAATTGAATACGTCAATAAATCCTAATATGTCATATACCTACTAACATACAAATCTGTTTTTTTTATCTGAAAAAATAAAAAAGTTATAGGGGGTGAGCCACTTTTGAAACGACCCGGTATATTAAAAAATATTGTTTCATAATGTAATATCATTTTAAAATTCTTGTATGTTATTTTAGATTCTGAAGATAATTTTAGAATAAACCGGAATATATTTTTAATAAAAACATTATTAATTATGATTTTGTTACAATGTAAGTAAGTAAATAATGTAATGTAAGAGAAAAAATTCAGATTTTACATTTTTCTAAAATATTATCTAAATAAGCGCATTTCTACAACAACGCCACTGACTCCTAATGGGTAAATTGAGAGTTGCCTACTGGTCGAAAGTCGTTTCAAGACTCAAATGGATTATTTAAGTCAAATTTCTTGCAAATTTGGCACTGGCGAACCATATTTTATAGTTCTTGAACAGAAAAAGTCAATGAAATAAACACTTAAGGACTACAAGCTAAGAAAATGCGTTAATACAGCCGGGGACATAGCGGCAACAAAGCTTTACCGCACACGTGCGACGCGCAGGGTTCGGAAGTAGTTAATTAAGACGTAATTTACCTGATTAACTACGTGTAGTTTTTCTTCAAAAACTACGTCTTTTCCCGTTCATTAACTACATGAAAACTACGTTAATAAACTATGTATTGATATTATGAATAATTTTCCTTTGTATGAGGTGTAATAGAGATAATATGATGTAAATATTATATTTAAAGCCATATTTCTTCTGTTTTTTTAAATACATTATGTGTTTTTAAAGCTTCAACTTATTATAACCTCACCTCAAACCTTTGATATTTGAAAGTTACATACATAGGTTACATAAACTACACCCTCTACATAAATTACATTAACTACATGTAATGTAGTTTATGTAGTTTTTAAAAGCAACATTTAGTTTTCCGAACCCTGGCGACGCGTACCACAAGGTAATAAATGAATCATAGAAATGAATGAATAGGCTCCCTCGCCTCTAATCGGTGTTGTCATATTGTAAAGAACTTATCCTTTTTAAACAGTATCCGACTTATAATTTAGTAGTATAAGGACTATTTAATACATCTATGGAATATTAAAACCTACTTTATTAAATTGTAGTATTAATATCTCAATATATGTGTATCTCAAGAAAAAAAATATTGATTATATTAAAGACGTGACAACATAGGCTTGATGAGGAAGGCTCGGTCGACTGTACCCAGAAGTAAACATGTGTACAAAAAAGATTGTTTGACCGCGTTGAGATGTAAATAGTGTAGTCCAAAGAATATACCTAGCTAGAAAAAGAATGGACTCTGCCATACTGAAAAATGGTCCTACAGAAGTGGCGCCATCTATTGAGTAGGGCTTGTTTTAAATGGATCGAAGCGCGGGCTTTTTAAATGAGCGTATTTATGGAATTTTACTCTAAAATAATTAAATTTGATTATTAAATCTTATTTTTTACACAAATTCAACAATACTAGTAACAAGTATCGTTGTGATGTGTAAAAAAAATAAGACAGTATAATTTATACAATTATTAAATAAAATTAAAGCCAAACGTGTAAATATTATTTATTATTTAAAGTTTTTATTTATAAGTCAAATATTGAAACATCGTTTATTATAATAAAACAAGACCAACGTAATATGCCCTAAGTTTTGTAAATGGAGTAAATATAAATAGGTACTTAAATGATGGCAAAAATAAAAGACTTTCATTATATTTAGGGCCACAAACAAAAGGAATTGTCTAATTAAAACACATATAACAAATTATAGTTTGAAAAACATTTTGATAATCATATATGGATAATCATTTCATAATAGCTTTTTTCGTTTTCCTGTTATTACCGATTCTGAACCGTCCTAGAATTGTGATGCGTATGCGCAGAAGGAAATATGAAGACATTATTTCATTTGCGCATGCGCTGGAGAGTTCTAGGACGATTCAGAATCGATAATAACAGGAAAACGAACAGACCTAATATTATGATTGGCGCTATGACGACGACAATATTTTTTGAGAATTTGACAATAGTATGACAATGGCCGTTGGAAACTATGGAAACTACAAAAAAATTCTGATTTAACGCCATCTGGCAATAACTAGTAGCAACTTCTTAACCTAAAAATTAATTGCACTACCATCTAGCGCCTGAGGCTGGAACTATTTTATTTGAAATTTCCGTGGAAACGGTGGAACCGCTTTTGCTATTTCACTTTCCCGCCCCTGGTGTAGTCTATATTTTATTTTAAGTCTATGGGTTAAATTCTGTCAAACAACTGTCTTTAGACACATGTAATAGATACATTCAAATTTTGCTTCTAAGTGCTATAATAAATATTACACTCACTTACTAAAGAATCTATCTTAGTTAATAAGTTAGAATTAAGCTTTAATTATGATTTGTCAGGACATTGAAATAGAAACTCAGAAAAAAGTGGTGAAGAAAGCTTCAACAACAAGAGACACCACATTTATGTCTCCAAACGAGAATGTATATTCGCTAGAACCTGCTTCTAGCTCTTCTATGATGTCTGTTGATATAAGACACACTGATCAATACGTAATTGATCCTGAGTACCCAGGTGTAGTTCTGATCATTAATCAAGAACATTTTTATACGGAATTTAATCCCGAATACAAGGTAATTTATTTTAATATCAAATATATACAGGGTGTTTCATGACATATTAATGTTTAAGGGGGTGATTCTAGGATCGATTCTATGAAAAAATCTTATATGTATGTATAAAAAAACATGGTGGTAAAAGTTTCTAAAAAAATACATTTTTTTTTCATAATAATACTGGTGTTATAGATATTTTTTATGAAATTTGATAACGTTTTCTATGCATCAGAATACTCTTATTGATGGTTGCCTAACCTAACTAGTGGCGTACATAAGGGTTTTATTGAATACTAGCGTGTACCAGCGACTTCGTTCGCGTCGAATTAATCATTTTTTGTAATGGTGATGATAAAGCAAAGCAAGAATGTCCATTAAAATACAAACTGCATAAAATTTTCTCACATTTATGTCAGCATGAGAAACAACAATATGGCGATATTATTATATAACTTGGTAATATTTGAGGGGTAGTTTCATCTTGTTGGAATTTGACTTTCGAAAAATCCGTTTGCCAAAAATAAGCTTTTTACGTCAAGCAGTTTAAGCAGAATCGTGGTTAAGAAATTACCCAACTTTTTGGAACACCCTGTATGATTTTTTAAAATATTTCAAAATATGTAAAAAAACAAAATAAATTATGCGTGTCCAAGCGTTTTCCCGAAAGACTAACCGTTTTTTAAATAACAAATATTGTAATATTTGAGGGGCGTTTTCACCCTCTTGGAATTTGAGATTCGAGAAACCCAAGAACAGTTAACCTAATAGGACTGCTCATTCAGCCAAAAGTGTCCGCCAGGTGCATGCGAAAACTACTCCCTTTGTGACGTCATTGTAGCCCTTGTCATGGTTATTAGTCCTTATCCGGCAACCAATAATACACACACGTGCATTAGTTTATTTATTTAAACACCTTATATGTATGCAGTATAGAAAATTAACTGTATAAATCGTATTAAATACTAGGATAATGCATTTTTAAGAACAGCAGTTCCCAGCATCACACTTTGCAAGCATTCTTTTTAGAGTACTTCCATATTTTGCTTTAAAATAATTAATAAACAAAATCGTGGGCACTTAGTAAGCACTTTGTCACAATCCACAACACAAAATGAACGTATTTATACACTCTATAGCTCTAAAAACTTTAAAAACACCTTTTTCACATTTAAAATTGACAAAATAACTCAAAATTTCTCAGCTGTTATTTTTATAAGTTTACCATAGGCAACTAATAATGCACACTGTCATGACAAGGACTACAATGACGTCACAACTGTCAGCTGAAGCGCGGGAAGAGGCGAACGTACGTCTTATGAGGATGAGCAATCCTATTAGTTTACCGTTCTTGCGAGAAACCCCTTCTTATCGAACCCCACAGTCAATCCGTTTGCCAAAAATCAGCTTTAAACGTCAAGCAGTTTAAGCAGAATCGTGATTACTCAATGGTCATATTTTATGCAACATCCTGTATAAATTTTTAAAAAATCTTAAAATATGTAAAACAACAAAATAAAATATACGTGTTTAAGAGTTTTTTCGGAAACTTGACCGTTTTTTAAATAAAAAATATTGTAATATTTGAGGGGTGGTTTCACCCCCTTGGAACTGGAATTTCGAAAAATCCCTTCTTATCGAACCTCTACACCCTAGAATCAACCTGTATGCCAAAATTGAGCTTCTTACGTTGAGTGGTTTGAGCAGGATCGTGATTAATCAGTGAGTCAATCACTTAAGGATTTTATATATTAGTATATAGATAATACAGGGTGTTCCAGTAGAAAAAGGACAAGTTTGATGTTTAACTTTTTTTGGGGACAGCCTGTAGAACTCTATATATTTTTATCAAATGTTTTCTATTAAACTATGTACATTGCCCCCAAAATTTCATTTTGATATAAACTACCGTTCTCCTTGAAGCCTCCGCGTCGTCGTATGAGAGGCGCTACCCTGTATATGAGGGTAATTTTTTTACTGTTTATTTTAGCATTTGCTGCATCGACAGCAAGGTGTTAAACTTCAAACCAGAGTCGGTACGGAAATCGATAAGAAACGTATCGTGGAAGTCTTTGAAAAATTCAATTTTAAAATCATTATCAAAGACAACCTGGCACATTATGACGTGGTCAAGGCCATCGAGGAAGTGACAATTAACGTCACTAAAGAATCCAGTTTGGTAGTTTTTATTCTTTCTCACGGCGACAAAGGTACAGGGCTTTGATATCACTATTTCGCATTACCCTGTATATTATGTCGCTGCATTTTTTAGGCGTGATATACGGAGCGAACAGTTGCAGGGTGGAGGTGGACAAAATAGGCCGCATTATGAAGAAGAAGAACTGCCATTTAGCTGGAAGGCCGAAAGTGCTGATTTTGCAGTCTTGTCAAGGATCGCATTGTCAACAAAGTAGGTTTTTTTATTTTACAAATAGTTTTATATTTGTTACAGTTAAAAAGCTATTTTCTACGCGTAAAAAACTTTTTTTATGCGTAAAAATATTTTTTTCGCGTAAAAAACTTTTTTTATGCGTAAAAATATTTTTTTCGCGTAAAAAACTATCTGTTACACGTAAAAAACTACTTGTTACAGTTAAAAACGATTTTTTGCGCGTATAAAACTATTGGTTACACTTAAAAAAACAATTTTCTACGCTTAAAAAACTATTTTTATGCACAAAAAACTGTTTTTTATGCTTAAAAATATTTACGCTTAAAAAACTATCTGTTACGCGTAAAAAACTACTTTTACGCGTATAAAGCTATTTGTTACATTTAATAAACAATTTTCTACGCGTAAAAACCTATTTTTATGCGCAAAAAACTGTTTTTACGCGTAAAAATATTTTTTCGCGTAAAAAACTATCTGTTACACGTAAAAAACTACTTCTTACAGTTAAAAAAAATATTTTTGCGCGTTTAAAAATATTTGTTAGACTTAAACAACAATTTTATACGCGTAAAAAAGTATTTTTATGCACAAAAACTTTTTTTATCCGTAAAAATATTCTTTACGCGTAAAAAACTATCTGTTACACGTAAAAAACTACTTGTTACAGTTAAAAACTATTTTTTGCGCGTATAAAACTATTGGTTACACTTAAAAAAACAATTTTCTACGCTTAAAAAACTATTTTTATGCACAAAAAATCTGTTTTTTATGCTTAAAAATATTTACGCTTAAAAAACTATCTGTTACGCGTAAAAAACTACTTTTACGCGTATAAAGCTATTTTTTACATTTAATAAACAATTTTCTACGCGTAAAAACCTATTTTTATGCGCAAAAAACTGTTTTTACGCGTAAAAATATTTTTTTCGCGTAAAAAACTATCTGTTACACGTAAAAAACTACTTCTTACAGTTAAAAAAAATATTTTTACGCGTTTAAAACTATTTGTTACACTTAAACAACAATTTTATACGCGTAAAAAAGTATTTTTATGCACAAAAACTGTTTTTTATCTGTAAAAATATTCTTTACGCTTAAAAAACTATCTGTTACACGTAAAAAACTACTTGTTACAGTTAAAAACTATTTTTTGCGTGTATAAAACTATTTGTTACACTTAAAAAACAATTTTCTACGCGTAAAAATCTATTTTTATGCGCAAAAAAACTTTTTTATGAGTAAAAATATTTTTTTCGCGTAAAAAACTATCTGTTACACGTAAAAAACTACTTGTTACAGTTAAAAAATTATTTTTACGCGTATAAAACTATTTGTTGCCTTAAAAAACAATTTTCTATGCATAAAAAACTATTTTTATGCACAAAAAACTGTTTTTTTTATGCGTAAAAATAATCTTTGCGCGTAAAAAACTATCCGTTACACGTAAAAAACTACTTCTTACAGTTAAAAAAATTATTTTTACGTGTTTAAAACTATTTGTTACACTTAAACAACAATTTTATACGCGTAAAAAAGTATTTTTATGCACAAAAACTGTTTTTTATCCGTAAAAATATTCTTTACGCGTAAAAAACTATCTGTTACACGTAAAAAACTACTTGTTACAGTTAAAAAATATTTTTTACGCGTATAAAACTATTTGTTACACTTAAAAACAATTTTCTATGCATAAAAAAACTATTTTTATGCACAAAAAACGGTTTTTTATGCGTAAAAATAATCTTTACGCGTAAAAAACTATCTGTTACGCGTAAAAAACTACTTTTACGCGTATACAGCTATTTGTTACACTTAATAAACAATTTTCTATGCGTAAAAAACTATTTTTATGCGCAAAAAAGTGTTTTTTATGCGTAAAAATATTTTTTTCGCGTAAAAAACTATGTTACACGTAAAAACTACTTGTTACAGTTAAAAAATATTTTTTTCGCATATAAAATTATTTGTTACACTTAAAAAACAATTTTCTAAGCGTAAAAACCTATTTTTATGCGCAAGAAACTGTTTTATGCGTAAAAATATTTTTTTCGCGTAAAAAAACTATCTGTTCCACGTAAAAAACTACTTGGTACAAAAAAAATACTATTTTTTTACGTGTTAACCACTCTATGTTACAGGCAAAAAGTTATTTTTTACGCGTAAAAAATATTTTTTTAATTTAATACCTTTTAAATATGCGCACATAGTGCACACACAATTTTTTTAAATTTCTTATTGAAGGAGATGAAAGTTCCGACGATGAAATGGAATATGCCACGGATGGTCCCAAAATAGTACCGTCGAGTGCGGCAGATTTTCTTACATTCTGGGCCACCATTCCTGGTTATGCCGCTATTAGGAACATAAATCAAGGATCCTGGTTGATACAGACCCTGTGCCAGGAAATCGAGAACAATGCATCAAGGTAAAAATGTTAAAGAAAAAGATTTAATTTTTTTTATTTGCACAATGTTTAAATCCCTGTAAGTATACGCATAACCTTTAAAATTGTAGTGATATTATTCAATTTGTACAGGTGTCACTTGATGGACATTTGCACCAAAGTACAGGACAGGATTTCCTCCAAAGAATGGAAAGAAATCACTAAAGTCAACATAATGACACCGGAAATCCGGAGCACCTTGAGGAAAGCGTTCTACCTTCCTCGCATGAGAAGTGCCCGCTAGGTGGCGCATTCAGGTACGCTTTTTTACAATCCCGTGACAATATAAAGCACTGCAATTGAATTCTTTATAGTACGAGAGCTAGCAACGTCGGAAAAACAAGTATTTTAAGACGTCTGGCTCTTTGATATATCTTTTACTAGGCTCTCTAGAACAGCATGCGGCCCGCCTGACTGCCGGTAAACGTTGCGTTCCCTACTGCGCATTGAAAGAAGATCCTGTATTTTTATTAGTCCTTTAAATTCTAGTATTGTAATAATATTTGTTTTTTTTTAATTATCAGAATTATTTAATACTTTACTATCAGAATATAAACGAAAATAAAATAAAAAAGTCTTTGACCTGACCCGGATTCGAACTCTGAATCATCGGTTCGTGGTCGGAAACTCTACGCACTGCGCTATGGAGATATGTTCGGTTTATATTCAATAAGAATTTATAGGATTAAATTAATATAAAATATAGCATCTTCTTCCGATGCGCAGTAGTGAACGCAGACGTCTTAAAATACTTTCTCGAAAACGTTGCTAGCTCTTAGACTATTACTACTTATGGAGCCAAAATGACCTATACCGATGACATTAATGACGTAGACTTAAAATGACGTGACTTAATGATATACAGGGTGGTCCGAACTGTATTCCAGAAACTTCTAAAATACTTAGTTTCGGAGATATAGGGTGTAGAAGTTTAATTTTTATTTCGATTTTTTCCAAATAATTTATGAAGTAACGTCAATATTTGGATGAAAATTGGTGTCTAGGAGTTTTTTGACATGAGAAATTTGATTTTGATGTCAATATGACTCCTACTAGTAGAGGGCGCCACCTACATGTGTTTTGACTGTTTTGAAGCGTAATAACTTTTTGTCCGTACCTGTATAAAACTACCGAGCGCAAAAATATACATCTCTGTGACTTTTTACGTAAAAAATATATCTTTGTAAAAATTGCTACAAGCAACCGTTCTCAAGATATTTAGAATGGAAATAGTCAATACATGTCATTATTGACGATTAATAAACACGTTGAGTATACGTCGTACAAAATAAAAACCGTTGCGGGCTATCGATTAGGCTAATAAATGTGTGCAGTGCTACCACTACTCAAATATGGCCCTTATGGGACGTTTTCAATGAGTTTTAAATCTCCAACTCGATATTGTGTTGGTAACGGCGAGGAAGCGGTTGCAGCGGTGCCACGTTTATTTGCCATTTGCCAGAATTTTCTGAACGTTAGTCGAGAGCTGTGTCTCGTGTATATTGTATCTTTTAAAACCTTTATCTATCGATCGAAAACTGTTGTTTTCAGAATATTTTGTGTAGTAGTTGTTAGTTTTTTCTTTGAAAAATGCCTAAGCAGTTAAATAGTTGGTGCCAAGAATTAGTGTAATCTCTGATACAATATTTTCAGAAAGAAAGGGACAATAACGGCCCGTTATATTATAATAAAGTATTTTAAAGTAGACCAGTGAAGTCAGTTTTTTTTATTTTGAGGAACCAAACCTACTCATCTTCTATGGAAAATACTTATTAATTCTTGAAATATTTCAAAAAGTTATATTTTATAATTACCTTACCTTACCTATATATTTTATAATTTTTTATTATTTACCACTCTTTATAATAGATAATATTTTGAATTGCCCGAAACCCAGACTGTTATTAATTAAACAAAATGTTTAAAACAATGTTTTTAAGACACCATTACTTGTTTTAAATATTTGTTTAAAACAGAGTATTAAATAGGTTTGGTGTGTAGGTGTTTATTTCAATAAAAAATGAGAAAAACTCGTTCAAAATAAAAAAAAACAACTATAATACAAATGGAATAAAAAACAGAGTAATCAGCTCAACTTAATATTGTCTAAATAAACTGTTAATTCTGTACTATTACTTGGAGGAGCACCATTAAGGTTTCTAAAACAGAGTGTAAAAGTGTTGTAAACATATTTTCAACTTTGTATTTACAATGTTCTTTAAAACCAAAAAAATTTGTTTTAAACAATAAAAAAACATGTTTTGTTTAAAAATATTTTTTTTCAGCGCTGCTTGAAACTATTTAAAACTGTTAACAATTTAAAGTTTATTTTAGAATTTTTAATAGATATTTAAATTAGATATACTAAATTTTTCAAAAATATTTCTCTTCCGATTACAATCTGGCAACAATGCTGTCTACAATCAACGCACGTGCTCGATGACATGCAACGGTTTTTATTTTGTACGACGTATAGATAGTTATTTCACTGAAGTAATAAATTTGGGAAATTTTTATTTTTTTAAATTAATCATAAATTTTTCTGCAAAAAATGACGATAAAACAGTTTCTGTTGAACTTTTAGCACAAAAACATTTCAAATTTATGATTTCAGTCTGATAACTATTTAGTCAACATGTTTAATTTATGTCAATGATGACAGGTATTGATAATTTCGATTCCAAATATCTCGAGAACCATTACTCGTAGCGATTTTTACCAAGAGACCTTCTTCACGTAGAAAACGTCGTAAATGTATATTTTTTTACTCAGTAGTTTTATACAGGTACGGACGAAAAGTTATTACTCTTCAAACCAGTTAAAAAATATGTAGGTGGCGTCCTCTATTAGTAGGAGTCATATTGACATCAAAATCAAATTTCTCATGTCAAAAAACTCCCAGACACCAATTTTCATTCAAATATTTACATTACTTCAGAAATTATTTGGAAAAAATCGAAATAAAAATGAAACTTCTACACTCTGTATCTCCGAAACTAAGCATTTTAGGACATACATTTATAGGAACTTTTTTACTTATATTTATCTGCGAAGTTTCCGAAATACAGTTTGGACCACCCTGTATAATAAATAACTTGACCTAAATAATTTTAATAAGTTTATAAAAAATATATGTTCCTATTTTTTAATTTTCCGCCTTTAAATTGAGTCAAAATGGAGGTAATTACGGTCGTCTGTATTATCTAGGGACTTTACGCTTTTTAAAGTAATTCGATAATGCATGGAGATTTTAAGATTCTTTATTTTTTAAATCTATGACACATGTCACCCTTTGAATAAGAAGACTAAGGAAGGAGCATAATGCTATCCATGTATTCATGCATGGTGGGCGGAAAAAGCACTCTAGGGTGGGGATCCTTGACAGTTCTGTTTGACGATTCATTTGACACATTTGAATTTGATTTGAAATTTTGTGGATTTGTCAGTCTTTACGGAGCTTATTTTATGTTATTTATTATTTATTCTAGTACTGATAGTTGTATAAAGGTAGTAAATCTAGATGGAAATTGTGGCAGAACTTAAATTAACAGTGACACTATCGCGATTTATCGAAAAAGACTCTAAAATAGTTGGTTGTGTAGCGTGCGGTAGGTCTCGGCAAAAATTGAGTGAAATAATGGAACAACTTTTCGCTAGTAAGTGACTATATAATATACATACGTGTAGTAAACCGATCATTTATGAAATTCACTTAAATTAACTAAATTATATATTTTTCTTGCATTTTAGCTTTTATTTACTACTTGTCAAAGATCAGATGTCAAAGAATTTTGATACGTTAATTTGACTTACCTGCTTCAGTAGCGTATCGGATGTTTGTGTTAATAAATGCTTATTATAACTTATCTATTTTTATTAGAATTATATATTTTTATAACAATTTTAATAACTACGAGCATTTATTCACAACGTAAAATAAAATAACAAATTATTGAGTCTACCCTACATCATAGTTATACATTTTTTAAATAAAATTAGAACGGCACTGATAAACCTGAATTTAAGTCGGCCATATTTGAGGCCTATCGCGGTGTGCCTAAGATTTTTGATATGCTCCTTCCTTAGTCTTCTTATTCAAAGATGTCACCAATATCGGACATTTTGGGTCCAAAACAACTGACAAGTCAATTACCGAATTCTTCTTTGAATCTAGGGACTTTACGTTTTGTGATTGAAGACAAGTGTGATTTTTTTGTTATATATTTTAAGCACTTTTATTGGCTGTTTTATGTAGTGTTTGAATTTTGTTTTGTCCCAATTTTATAAGTTTTTAACATTTTTTTTATTATAAATAAGAAAAAATAAATAAAAGGGACAAAATAAAACGCGAACACTACTATTTTTACGTTTATTTCGTTTTGTTTACTTTTTTACTATAAATCTAGATCATATATACGGGGTGTGCCAAAAAATGGGTTTTATGGAAAAAATTATCTACGGTTCATATCAAATAAACTTTGAGTTACGTCATCGAGGGAGCGATTTTTAAATTAATTGTTGCCAACCATTAACATATTCGGCGCCGGGTTGACTAACTGAAATTTAAATGTCGCGCTGGGGATTCAGGTGGCAGCTTTGCTGTAAAAAATGTCAAGTTGCCACATTTATTTATTTATTTCCTGACATTGTCGTTCATTTTGACATTTTAGTTTTGTATTACGAGTTTTTGATTTAAATTAATAGTGTTGTGATACTTTAAGCTTAAAAATGTTTACTAGCAGACCTTGCAGTCGAACATTGTTCTTTATAGAACCTCTTTTAGTGCGAAGTGTACAAGATAGCTTAATAACCGTAAAAAACTCATCGCAACTTTATTAGAATATTTTGAACGGGAAAGCGGTAGTAATGGCCATTTATGTCCCTTAAGTGCTGTTAAGAAGGTGAGTTTTGTTGATGTAAATAATAACTGTTTATATATTTATAATTAATTTATTTTTGTTTCCTAAAATATTTTGATTAAAAGAAAATATATAAAAGTAGGCAACGCTGTGCCGGTCAAGCTTAATCACGTGACCAAAAGTTTATTTGATATGAACTATACAGGGTGCTACAAATTCGAGGTACGAGCATTGGTATCTCGGAAACCGTAATAGATACGAACATGGTTAAATTGAAGCAAAGTTGCGCTTTGGGATGTTCACCAAGATGCCATCAAAAAAGTTTTAAAAATTTCAAGGATTGCTGAGTTTTTTGGAAAACACGGATTTTTTTGAAAATTAATTTTACTTTTTCCTGTCGTTACTTTTAAGAAAATCAAAAAAATAATATTGTACATTTTCATAGCCACTTTATTAGGGCTATCTGATAGTATTTTTAGATTTTCAAATTAGCTAATAATTTGTGAGATACATAGGCCAACTTAACTTTTTTTTTTAAATACGGACCTGCATTTTTTATTTCCGGTTTTGAAAAAACTCTCCTGAGTACAATGATATGCCACACTTGTACTTTTTTTGTTGTTTTGGGTACCTTTACAACAACAAAACGATTTAATTATTATTTAAAATAATTTCAAGTTCGACTCTGTTTTTTTTAAATTATTTAATCTGATTATATTCATCGCAACAATATTGAGGAGTGCTAATTAACATTGAATAAGAAAAATCGAGCCAATTGGATGATTCAAATAAATTATATCCAGGTCAGAAATTTAAAGATATTATTTTTAACTTTTTTATTGTGAATTTGAAATCTCAGTGTGCGATCTAATAATATGCGTAATATTAATCGTAGTTATTATAAATAAATCGACTTCTACAAACTTGTTTCTAGTGCTCTACATGTACGAAAGGGTTTACCACTCTCCCTATAGCACAAATTTATTTTTCGTTCAATTTTATTTATAGCTCTTTGAACTTTCTTCTTATACTTCCGAATGCATTTTGTACTCTTTATTGTAAATGTTGAGATGTATTGATTTCACTTTTACAAATGACGTGAAGTAATATATTCATTTGTATATTTCTCTTTATTATTTTATTGCATTTGATTTTCCATATTCAATGTTTTACCCCACCTCATTGTTAAGTTTGAAAGCTTATCAATATTGTAACGATGAATAGATTAAATATTTAAAAAAACAGAGCCGGACTTGAAATTAGTTTAAATAAATTGTGTTCAAATGTTCGAAACAAAAAAAAATTAAGTGTGGCATATCATTGTACTCAGTAGACCGTGTTCTTTCAAAATCTGGAATAAAAAATGCAGGTCCGTATTTAAAAAAGCTAAGTTGGCCTCTGTATCTCACAAATTATCAGCTAATTTGAAAATCTAAAAATACTATCGGATAGTCCTTATAAAGTGGCTATGAGAATGTGCAATTAGTTTTTTGATTTGCTTAAAAGTAACGACTGGAAAAAATAAAATTCATTTTCAAAAAACTCAGCAATCCTTGAAATTTTTAAAACTTTTTTGATGGCATCTTGGTAAACATCTCAAAGCGCAACTTTGCCCCAATTTAACCATGTTCGTATCTATTACGGTTACCGAGATACCAATGCTCTTATCTCGAATTTGTAGCACCCTGTATACATATTTAACTTCTTCAGCAAACCGAATAACAAAAAAAAAGTTATTTTGACATATGTCATGGTGGCAAATTATAAAAATAATTTTTACATACGGTGTGGGGTTAGGTGGCAAAATTTCGAAAAAAGCCAAAGAGAAGTTGTTCAGTATTTGATTCTATGTCTACGTACCATGTTTAATAGTAAGGGAGATAAGTGGGGATCTCCTACTATAATAAATATGCAGGGACTTTGAAAAAAGTATCAGTTTTTCGAATATTTTTCGAAAAAAAAATATTTACACACCCTGTGATGATCTAGGACTAAAAAGCACTAAAATGAAAATTCTGAATTTTCTGTTTTAATGGGATAGGTTGTTTTGACAATTTTTTAAAATTATTTTGACTTATAAGAGACAATATAATAAAAAAAACTTTAAATGCCTTTGTCTTGAGTATTGTGTTGTTAGATTTAATAAAAAAGTATTTTAAGTCAAAGGCTTGAAGGCATCCTTCTTTATCTTCTTTTTTTTGAAGAGTCCAATTTTCGGAATCTGTAGACACATTTTTATAAGGCTTTTATTAAAAGAATATTTTTTGACAAATGTTTTTTTTTTAATTTCTTGAAATTCATAAGCCTTTTTATCTCTACTTAATTCTCACTATATTTTATTTTTTAACATTTATTATATGTAAGATTAAATCTTTATTTTTGTTAAGTGGTTTTAAAACCACTCTTTTTAAGTCTTTTTTATAGTATTTGTTTTGTACAAATTTAGATAAAAAACAATCGTTATAATTGATTGTTTTTCTTGTTACCTCTTTATGTAATTTTAATTATTTTTGTAAAAATTGTATAGTATACTGTAATATATTGTATCTTTATAACAAAAAATAAATATTTTTACATTGACAAAGAATGACATTTTTCAATATCAAAATAAAAAAATCCCACTATAGTCTCTCCAGCAAGAGGATACATGACGGTGACGGGTGTATCTGTCATTTCAATTCACAGTTAAATTGTTTTTTTTTCTGTCAGTAAAACTTCTTTACGCGCGCTGGGAGTAAAAATTCAAAGCCGTGACACACGAGCTACCGAGACGAAAACTGGTAAGGATCGCATGGTCGTGCAAACACCAAAAAAACATTTGATTTATAGCTAAGAAAATCATTATAATAAACTTGACTGTACCTGTGTACCAATATCTTCTAGTTGTGTGCTAGGAACTAAATTTTTATGCATATTTTCATCGATAGGTTGTAGCTTCTGAATCACGGTCTAGGTAAAGCATCTAGCTCATTTGCTATCTCGGAATTAGAATTATTAGAGTTATGCAACTCGCATTTTCATTGGAGGATATTGTCATATTTATTTCAAACCAATAATCAACGAGAATATTCGTATAATTTAACAAAACTATTATAAATAGACCATACGAATTGTTGGTTAGGTTCAAAATTTATTCTCTTCTTAAATATATTTTAAAGGGGCGTTAACATTATTAGGCATTTGCATTAAAGTGTGTATTTTGGGTGGTATCCCACAAAATTTGCAGGCTATTGAGGAAACAGAAAATGTACAGATTACAGAAATAAATTGAAAATAATATTTATATTAAAACAGCATTATATGTCACTTTTTAAACATTTTCTTTAAATCTTTCAATTTAATAGCTGTTAGTAAGATGTTTGACTTCAAATATGCGTACATAGTGGACACACAATTTTTTTTAGGTTAAGTTGATGAGAAAAAGTACAATTAAGATATATCTGTTGGCAGTAAGTATCGATTTTTATTTAAAACTAAATAATAAATTACAAATAAATCTAAAAACAGAAACTAATGGACGTATTGGGAGAATTTGACGAGTTCTTCGTTCTCTTCGCACACCCAAGGTTTGACGTGATGACAGGCGACGTCATGCCAGTTGACACCGTCGTTGTAGAACTGGTTGAGTACTGCCAAACAGTTTTCTTGAGCACCTAACAAGGACAAAAACAATTAAAATTCTTGAATTAAACTTTTTAGTGCGAAATAATAAGGTTACGGAAGCAACCCAAAATTCTTTGATAGAGGAAACTAACCAAATATAGAATACCATTTAGTTTTTGTGTTATATACTCAGATGCAAAAAAACCCAACGGAAAATTTTTTTAAGTCAAATTTAAAGTGTTATATTTTTGTCATTTCTAGCCCTATAGTTATTTTTCAATATGACAAGGCGGCTTTGGTGAGCTATATACTACTATGACAGATTAGGTATCCTATAAGTATACAGATAAAAATCTTGTCCCTAATTCGTGGTACGAAAATTGTTTTTATGACGATGAGAGCAAACGAGTAAATTTTCATGTGCGCCAAAATAAACTCCCGTTTAAACAGCGTAATGACTGGGCCGGTCACAAGACCGGTCAGGCGCTGTGCACAATTTTAGAGGCCATAAGTGGGCGTGCTTATGCGCAAACTAGTAACCTAACTAGTGCGCGACTTCGAAAATTGGAACCACGAAAAACAATGCTTTTGACGATAAGTTTATAATCTGTATAATCTGTGCTACTATGAACTGCCCATCATGTTCGACGTTTGGGAAATGCTTGGCAGGAGGTTTAGATGTCGCGAAGCGGTACCAGATTCAATAAACGAACTTCGCTTGGTTCTTAAAGAAGAATGGGAAAGTATAACGCCATATAATATATGTCGCCTCAATGACAGTATGAACGGATGTATACAGCTAGTCATAGCAGCCAAGGGAGACAATACCAAGTATTAGAGTATTATTTACAATTTTCTTTCTGTTTGTATACTTGAGTATTACAGAAATGTTTTCTTTAATATTGTTAGTTCTGTTATCGTTATGAATGTTTATTAAAACCAGGACTGTATCGTTAGTCTTTAACGTTTTTTTTTAAATTTACTATAGAATATCCAATGCAGCGTAATATGATGTTACGACAATAGTCACCAAAACCATCTCGTCATATTAAAAAATTACCTCAAAAAGTAATGATAATTGAAAAAATTGCAAATTGATCGTAATCAGTTCATTTCGGTCTTAAAAATTAAACAAGCATGTATTGACATGAATGAAAAAGCAAAATGCTAAGGAGTCATGGTTCTGACCGTAAAATTATATTTTAGGAAAATGTACACACAAAATTATTGCACAGGGTGAGTATAATGATTGGAAGAGATCAAAAATCACTGCCTTTTACGATTAACTGTATTTGTTTCCGAGAAATGGCCCAGTATTCAATATTTGGTTACTTTCCTCTACTACTCTATGGGTACTATTTTTCTGTCATTCTTACCTCCTTGTTGGGCTTCTCTATTGTCAGGCTGTGGTTTTCCAATACCACCATTCTCTGACCAATCGTTTTGGTCTCTCTGGGTTGTGGGTGCCAGTTTCTCCAAAGAACCAGTCCAGAACCATCCGTGTGTTTCATTTGGTACCAAATCAGCACGATTGCAACCGGGAAAGTCACATTTTCTACCGGAAGTCCAGATGTACTTAACCTGCAAAAATAATTATACGTAACTAGCGTGTACCCGCGACTTCTTTCGCGTGGAATTAATCATTTGTAATAGTGATGATAAAGCAAAGCAACAATTTCCATTAACATACAAACTGGATAAAAATTTTCTCACATTTATGTCAGCATGAGAAAAAAACAATATAGCGATATTATTATATAATTTGGTAATATTTGAGGGGTAATTTCATCTCGTTGGAATTTGACTTTCGAAAAATCCGTTTGCCAAAAATAAGCTTTTTACGTCAAGCAGTTTAAGCAGAATCGTGGTTAATCAATTACCCAACTTTTTGGAATACCCTGTATGATTTTTTAAAAAATTTCAAAATAGAAAAAAAACAAAATAAATTATGCCTGTCCAAGCGTTTTGCCGAAAGACTAACCGTTTTTTAAATAACAAATATTGTAATATTTGAGGGGCGTTTTCACCCTCTTGGAATTTGAGATTCGAGAAACCTCTCATTGAACCTCTACACCCCACAGTCAATCCGTTTGCCAAAAATCAGCTTTAAACGTCAAGCAGTTTAAGCAGAATCGTTATTACTCAATGGTCATATTTTATGAAACACCATGTATAAATTTTTAAAAAATCTTAAAATATGTAAAACAACAAAATAGAATATACGTGTTTAAGAGTTTTTCCGAAAAACTCACCGGTTTTTAAATAAAAAATATTCTAATATTTGAGGGGTGGTGTCACCCTCTTATAATTCGAGTTTCAAAAAATCCCTTCTTATGGAACCTCTACACCCTAAAGTCAATCTGTTTTCCAAAAATCAGCTTTTATGACCACATTTTTCGAAACATCCTGTATACATTTTTAAAAAATCTTAAAATATGAAAAAAAACAAAATAAAATATACTACTACTATACTGTTTTTTCGGAAACTTGACCGTTTTTTAAATAAAAAATATTGTAATATTTGAGGGGCGGTTTCACCCTCTTGGAACTGGAATTTCGAAAAATCCCTTCTTGTCGAACCTCTACACCCTAAAGTCAATCCGTTTTCCAAAAATCAGCGTTTTACGTCAAACGCTTTAAGCAGTATTGTGATTAATCAACGACCAGATTTTTCGAAACACCCTGTATACATTTTTTAAAAATCTTAAAATATGTAAAAAACAAAATAAAATATACGTATTTAAGCGTTTTTTCGGAAACTTGGCCGTTTTTTAAATAAAAAATATTGTAATATTGAGGGGTGGTTTCACCCCCTTGGAACTGCAATTTCGAAAAATCCCTTCTTATCGAACCTCTACACCCTAGAAACAATCTGTATGCCAAAATTGAGCTTCTTACGTTGAGTGGTTTGAGCAGGATCGTGATTAATCAGTATGTCAGTCACTTATGGATTTTATATATTAGTATAAATTTTCTAAAAAAAACATCACTTACATTATCTCTAACAAGACGTTCCTTGATCCATTCATTCTCCACGGAAGTCTCCAAAGATACAGTCTCCATGCAATGTCTCCTGCAGTAGTTTCTAGCCGACAGCCAGTCTTGTTGTACGTCTTTCAATGAAGGGTCCCTCCAGCTGAAGAAATATCCCTTACCATTGGGTCCTACCTCATGGATAACCCTCTGGTTGCACAGGTTTAAGTCCGGGACAGCTAGAGTCCTTCCAACGGGAAGATCAGCCATCGCCAGTGACAGGCAGGATAGGGCTAGGATCACGGAGCTCAGCATATTGTCTTTGTTTTTTTTTGCTGAAAAAAATACAGAAAAATTTTACATTTTGATTATATATTCTTTATTATACATTTTTTTGGAGTAAGTGCGATGCATCATTGCATTTGGGAATTAATAAGTTTTTAAAAAATGAAATAAAACATCCAGGTCAGTATTTAAAAAACTGAAGTTGATGATGGTATCTATGTATGGAAACGAAACGTCAGATTGAAAATCTAAAAACAATAAAAACATCAACTTATAGAGCAGGAAAAGTAGTAATGGGAATGTAAAATAAAAAATAATATATATACATAATTAAATAATAATTAAAAAAACCTTGTATAGGCTGATATTTAATTACAGTAACCGTTGTATGTTAAACCAAATTGAAAATTGACCCGAAAAGTTATACAGGGTGAGACAAAATTAATATGGAATATTAGTCACTTTTAAAAGCAAGTTACTCCTTTATTTTGGTGGAACATCCAGTATATTATTCCTGTGTTCAATGGGAAATTTATATGTCTTCAAAATATTATTAAGATTGCCTTCCCCTCAGACAAAGATTTTCCTAGATATTTTAATTTTTATTATTTTGCGTCAGTAGATCTGTATTATTTGAAAAATCTAGGGTGGCTGTGATATACCTTTTGTTAATTTAACAAAAATTAAAGATTGTAGCGTAAAATACTCAACGGTGATAAAAAGATACACGTTTAAAACATATTTTAATTGTTACACATTTAAAACTAGATAGAAATCTATAATTATGTGACAAAAATTAGCTAGATGAAATTAAATGCTGAAAATGCTTCCTTTCCTGTTAACTGCATAAAATGATTGTCTTTTCAAAAGGATCTTTTTATTTTAAAAGGCATATGTGTAGTTCTATCTCGAAAAGCAGCTACAATAATTTCTCTCATGTTGTCGACAATAGTTGGTCGAGTTTTTTAAACAGTCTTTAACATATCCCCATAAAAAACTCAGATTAGATAAAATCAGGAGCATTTAAGTATTCTATTAATTGGTGAATGCACACTGCATTCACCAACTGATATAATCATATCAATTCTCTCTGAAGTAGGATAAGTTTGCATTTTCGCCAACATTTCTGAGAAATTGTTTTGTTTTAACTGACACAAAATGATAACTAGTTGTTAAAGTTGGACTAATTAGACAGCTATGTTAAAGTAACGTCAGACATATCACAGCTACCCAAATTTTTATCAAATAATAAAGATCTACCCATCAAATCATGTAAATGAAAATATCTAGGAAAATCTTTGTTTGAGGGGTAATAAACCTTAATAGTATTTTGAAGAGACATGAATTCTCCATGGAATATCGGAATAATATACTGGGTGTTCCATTTAAAATAAAAAAGTAACATGCTTTTAAAGGCGACCAATGTTCAATTAATTTTGTCTCACCCTGTATAACTTTTTGGATCAAGTTTTAATTTGATTTAGAGTACAATAGTTAATTTAACTACATATTAGGCTATACCGGATAAATTCCAATTTAGATAGCTTTTATTGTAATTTAAAAATTGTTTTTTATTTCTAGAAAATGTTAAATATGTCAAAAATTTTACATTTTAGTCATACACTTCTCTTATAAAATTCACCTTTATTTGTCTCCCAAAATCAATTAATATATAGGGTCTTCCATTACAAAAAACACAACTTTGATATATAACTTCTTTTGGGGACACCCTGTAAAATCCTCTCTATATTTTTAAAAAGTGCTCTGAATTAACCTATATATTATGCTCACAAAATTTCAGTTCGATACAAACTGTCGTTTTCCTTAGAGCCTCCGCGGCGTATGAGAGGCGCCATCCTGTATTAAAATAGTAGATAACAAATTAGAATTTATAACATTACTGCTCAATACTACTTACAGCAAATTCAAAAAAAAAATTAATATCATTTAAAATAATTACAAAAAAATTTAACATTTTGTATGAACTATGTACTTATTTCAGGACTTTTCTCAATTTTTTTATGTGAATCCTCATTTTAAGACACTGTATATAGACAAAAACAAGTAACACTGATTGGTAATTGAGTAATTAAACAATAAAAATCACAGGTACGCCTAGCCTGAATATTAACTAATGGAAAGCTATCCACGGTATGTAGTTTTCACTTTCTTCATATCTTTAACTCAACCTATCGACCTTTGAATCAAACAAAAAAAAAGAAAATTCTTTGTGATTTACCTTATTTAAGCGGGATCTGCTTGTACGACGTCTGATTTTCACACCCGATGGTGCAAGCGCGATGTCTTCGGGTAGTACTGCTAGTGAAGACGTCTTATCATGTTTTATATACGTAGGAGGTGGCAGTAAGAACTAATATAGAGATCGCCTTGCCCAAATTGCTTCCATGTTAAGTACGGTTCCTGTTTATGGCTATTTTTGCCTTGAAAATTTCGATAATTTCAAGGGCCTGTATTAGAAAATCGAAATTTTTAAACCTACAGTGTGTCCAAGAAGTTTAGGCTCTAATAGAAAAATAGTTATTTTAACTGTTCAAAAAATTTCTGGTATGCCTTCTTTAGGATAGTAAAAAATCTTGTGTATTTTATTTTATTCCGCATTTTTAGGGTTCCGAATATCAAAAGGTAAAAAAGGAAACTTTATAGGATCACTTTGTTGTCTGTCTGTCAAGACCCTTTCTCTAGGGAACGCGTGGAGGTATCTAGTTGAAATTAAAACCGTATACCCAGGTCTACAATCCCTTGAAGCTTGAAGCTGTGAAAAAATTGAACTTCTAAGTAGTTATCGTAAAAAACACATGCTTTAACTTTTTTATTTTTTTCATCTAGAACCTCATATGGAACAAATCATATACAGGGTGTGACCTATTCTAAGAAAAAAAACTTCATCTATATTACTAATATATAAAATCCTTAAGTGACTGACTCACTGATTAATCACGATCCTGCTCAAACCACTCAACGTAAGAAGCTCAATTTTGGCATACAGGTTGATTCTAGGGTGTAGAGGTTCGATAAGAAGGGATTTTTCGAAATTCCAGTTCCAAGATGGTGAAACCACCCCTCAAATATTACAATATTTTTTATTTAAAAAACGGTCAAGTTTCCGAAAAAACGCTTAAACACGTATATTTTATTTTGCTTTTTTACATATTTTAAGATTTTTTTAGAAATGTATACAGGGTGTTTCAAAAAATCTGGTCATTTATTAATCACGATCCTGCTTAAAGCGCTTAACGTAAAAAGCTGATTTTTGGAAAACAGATTGACTTTAGGGTGTAGTTAAGAAGGGATTTTTTGAAACTCGAATTCTCAGGAGGTAAAACTATCCCTCAAATATTAAAATATTTTTTATTTAAAAACCGGTGAGTTTTTCGGAAAAACTCTTAAACACATATATTTTATTTTGTTGTTTTACATATTTTAAGATTTTTTATAAATTTATACAGGGTGTTTCATAAAATATGACCATTGAGTAATCACGATTCTGCTTAAACTGCTTGACGTTTAAAGCTGATTTTTGGCAAACGGATTGACTGTGGGATGTAGAGGTTCAATAAGGAGGGGTTTCTCGAATCTCAAATTCCAAGAGGGTGAAAACACCCCTCAAATATTACAATATTTGTTATTTAAAAAACGGTTAGTCTTTCGGGAAAACGCTTGGACAAGCATAATTTATTTGTTTTTTTTTACATATTTTGAAATTTTTTAAAAAATCATACAGGGTGTTCCAAAAAGTTGGGTAATTTCTTAACCACGATTCTGCTTAACTGCTTGACGTAAAAAGCTTATTTTTGGCAAACGGATTTTTCCAAAGTCAAATTCCAACGAGATGAAACTACCCCTCAAATATTACCAAGTTATATAATAATATCGCCATATTGTTTTTTCTCATGCTGACATAAATGTGAGAAAATTTTATCCAGTTTGTATGTTAATGGACATTCTTGCTTTGCTTTATCATCACCATTACAAATGATTAATTCGACGCGAACGAAGTCGCTGGTACACGCTAGTATAAATATGTATATGTCCTAAACATCTTAACTTTTCAGATACAGGGTGGTAAAATTTTCTAATTTTTTTTTCAAAATATCTTTGATGGTATATTTGATACACGTCTTCCAAATGTTTATTTTGATATACAAAAAAAAATGTTTTTTTTTTCTTAATTTCCTTCCAGCCGATGCAGAAATGATTTCCACACAACAGTGTGTCATATTTTCAGCGTTCAGCGATTTGATCCCGAAATAAACTGACTTAATAAGCAAAAACTATGCGTTGAACGAAAAAAATCAAGAGACAAAAAATGTTTACAAATGAATGGAGATTTTGAAAATAATTTTTATTTTAAGAGAAATCAGTGGTGTACCACTTTTTTCTCCAAAAATATTCAAGGTTGCGATAATTCACTGGTTGAAATAAATAAAATTCTTTGTACACCAAAAAAGGTATTTTGATACATAGAAAACGTGTATCAACTTTCATAAAGATATCTGTAATAAAATCAAAGTTATTATGAAAAAATTTTTTGAGCTAGACCATTTTTGTCTATGGTCAAAATTTTTCCTGTTTTGGATGAACCGATTATAATCAACTTGGTGTCGAAAAAAAGCTCTTTTTTTGGTCTACCTGTAGAATCAAAAACTGTACCGTAATAACTTTGTTAGTGGTCACTAGATGGTGTTGTTCGAAATTCGCCAAATAATACCCATTTTATCAAAAAAATCAAATGGTACGCTATGATTTTTATATCGCCACGTATTTTGTAGTTATTAAGACCATTGTGTAGTAAGATAAAAAATCTAGGTGGCTATTTAAATTAAGAATTTTTTCCAAAAATCTAAAAGCCTTATTTTTCGGTTTTCCCTTACTACTATCTGAACCACCCTGTATAATATCCTTTTAATTACTAAACATTTTTACTGGTAATTTAAATTTCTAGCATTCTTATTAGTACCTAAATCTTTCAATTTTTAGAAAGTTCTGTCATTAAGTATTTTCGAAATACTTAACCAGTGAAGACATTAATTTTAATTGCTTGCTGAACTTTACCTACCTAAGGGATTTTTAATATTTCTTCTTTGAATTTGAAATGTAATTGGTTTATCTAGTATTTAAATAGTATGTTAATAATACAGGGTGTCCTGAATTCCAGGGTGACTACATCCTAACCTAACCGGGTGCGTCTCAAAAGTGGCTCACTTATGGGCTCACCCCTATAACTTTTTTTATTTTTTCAGATAATAAAACGAGATTTAGTATGTTAGTATATGACATAAATTAGGATTGATTGACGTATTCAATTGTTTTTGGTCACTTCCTGTTTCACCGGAAATGACTACAACTTTTGATTTTTAAATGACACCCTCGGTATTTTTTTACTTGTGTGGTACCAAATTATTCGTAAAAAAATGCTTCTTCCAAATATGCTAATGAGCCGCCCATGTTCCATTTGAAAAAAATAAGATATGATTAAAAATACGATTTGGGCATATTTTAACCGACCAGGGCAGGACATGACAAATATTAGACGGTCAAATCTATTTTTCCAAGGCTCCTTGATTAAAAATTAGTGTTTTTAACACAGCCATAGCACTCTAGATTGAAATTTAAAATGCGAATACGAATAATAAAATTTTGAATACGTCAATCAATCCTAATTTATGTCATATACTAACGTACCAAATCTCGTTTTATTATCTGAAAAAATAAAAAAGTTATATAGGGGTGAACCACTTTTGAGACGCACCCGGTATATAAATTAACACAGCTAAAAACATGTTAGTTAAACACTATACGTAACACACCGCTACTTATACTGCTGGGCACCCCCCACAGAAATCTTGAATTTTGACTGAATTATGACTCTTGGCTAAATATTAATTTTTATTTGCTTGTGGCCTAGTAAAAATTATTTTTTCCATTTGTATTTAGTTAATATTATTTTTCTGTGTTTAAAAATGTGTATTACATTTTCACAGTTTTTACTTTTTTACAAAATTTATAGGTGTTAAGTAATCCACGGGAACACGGGTTGATATAACCAAGTCTATCAAGTTTACTGATAAAGAAATTTATGTAAATGTTTTATTCAAAAATGTATTTATTTTTAATTATATTATTCTTCATTTTTTAAAAAACAAAATCCCTAGGCCCCCCTGGGTTCAACCCTAGGCCCCTCCCAGGATAAATTGCTAGTTACGCTAAAGGTTAAACAACGTTCATAGTTTCATAGTAAAAATTGATGCAGTTATATGCGATTATATATGCGGTTTTATTCAAAATTAAATTAAAACGACTACAATGATGCACGTATTATGAAACTACATACTTCGCGACCTTCTTTCGTGATAAATAAATATTTTAATAATGGAAATGGACATAAGCGTTTTTTAATCCCATAAAAACAATGTCGTATATGTCACCCGATGGACACATGACACACTCGCCTTCAAGACACGCTCAGAATATTTATCAAAAAGTTGTGAAACAACATCTATAAATGATCGATTACCGATGGTACTCTTTTAAAATGCATTCTTTGTACACATCATTTGTTGTTACCTTAGATTAGAATCGAATAATAGGTAACAAACAAATTTTATAGTTCATTGGAATTATACAGGGTGTCCCAATATTCCTTGGTCATAGAACTACTACTACACAAAAGTGCTTTGTTTGTCCGTTAGAGGGCGTCAAACTTGAAAAAAATAATCACGTTTTTTCAGATATTTTAAGAACCGTTATTCCGATTTGAATGAGACTTTGGGTGTCTATATTTTTTGAGGAATTTTTTTTTCTGAAGTTGTCTATACAGTGTGTCCCAGAAATAAGTGCAAGTATTTTAACTGGTAGTACAGTTTAACCCCAGAAACACGCCTTTATGTTTGTTTTGCGCGAAAAAAATTTTTGAAAGTTTTTTTGGAATTTTTTTTAGTTTTTATTTAAAAAACATAATTTCTTGATAATATGGCAACATAGGTAGTGGATTAAATTTACAAGAAAGAAAATCCAGAAAAGATCCAGATCCAAATTTTTTTTTAAATTTTCAAAGTAAAATAACTCCCTTATTTTGGACTTATTTGAAAAACGATAAAGAGACAATATGTCTCTTTTATCGAGATCTACCACCCTTTAAAATACTTGCACTTATTTCTGGGACACCCTGTATAGAGGTAAATTATATCCAATGAACTTATTTTGATTCCAAAAAGACGTAGTAGTCCATGGATTATTAGGACATCCCGTATATTTTTTCACTAGCATTGTATATTTTTAAATAGAATGCTGTGTATTTTTTTGATCAGTGCAATTGTAATTATCTCTTTACCGAGTGGTTTTTTAATTTGACCATATTTTCGAGTAAATGTTCTGTTCTTTTAAAGAAAAAAATTAAAAAATTATTTCTAAAATTATAAAATCGCTATAATTCTTTATTAATTTTTTAGGCGTTTTAAAAAAATCCATAAAAATCAAATTAATCAAAGCTTTAAATTGTATATACAGGGCGAATCAAAACTAAATATGATGTTTTTCTGGATATTTTAAATGGAACAACCTGTATATCTTATATCGCACAACACAGTTTTTAAACGTAATGTTAACCACTTCCTATATCCAAAATCAATATTTTTTATTGAGAAATTTTCGTCCTTTTTTAAATATAGCACATTATTTGCCTTATAAAGATCCATTTTAGATATAAAAATTATGTATCGAACCAGAAAGTTGGATAAAAAGCAATATTCATTGAGTGTATTCAGTATGGATTGTGTACGAGAACACTCTGTATAAGTATTTCAAAAAGCATACAAAAAATTAATACCAAATACCAATCAATATAGCAGTTGAAGCAGGGTGTATATCTGGTTGCATACTGTTTTGGTACCGCCAAAGGGTACCGCGCAACTTTTCAAATATAACTTGTTTAATTATTTATTCGTATAATCTGTAATCAGTATAAAATACGATAGTACTTATATTGTTTTATGAAACGATGAAAAAATTTCCATTTCTTTAAATCAGCAATTAAAGTGGTGCTTATTTTTTTTACCTGCGATAAAAAAATGTATTCACTGATGTTTTTAACTTATCAGGTTTTGAATTATTTATTGGAATCAATTCAATTATAATTGGTTGAATTAGATTATTCTATCAAAGGATATAGCTACTTGATTGTCTGGACTAAAAATAAATCTTTATATAAAAAGGAATATTTCAAATGTTCATTAGAAACGAAAAAAAAAATGCTTCAGGATTTTTATTTAACTTATTATTAATTTATGTATTAACAAAATTATGCTGCATTAATCTTGATAAATCAGAGTGTACCTATTTTATTTCAAATAAATAAATGTTTGATTATTTGGTTTTTCATTTGGTTATCACTTTTATCAGGTATATATTTAACTAATGTTTAACATGTTTTCTTCATTAAATAGATTTACCTCTTTTATATTACTAGTTTTGTTATCTAATACAGTAATAGGTAATTCTCACGTGTACTGTCACAGTATTGCGCAACATTATTTTTTTGCAAGTTATTCAGTGCAAATCCAGGCTATAAAAAACACTTTTCAATTGATCCCATCTGAACGACAATTGAAAAAATATTATCTTAAATTGAATGGATTTGGAAAGCTACGTTCTTATTTTTTCTACGGTCTGGATTTGGCGCACTTGCGCTTGTATACAGCGTTGTCAAGTTGTTGTCTATGTTGTGTATGAAACTTTGAATAATAATTATTTATTAACACAAACATCTGATAAGCTACTGAAGCACGTAAGTCAAATTGACGTATCTAATTTCTTTGACATCTAATCTTTTGACAAGTAGTAAATAAAAGCAAAGCTGCAAGAAAAATATATAATTAGTAATTTTAAGTGAATTTTATAAATGATCGGTTTACTACACGTATGTATATTATATCGTCACTTGCTAGCGAAAATTTATTCCATTATTTCAAAATAAAAACACTAAATCACCACAATACACCAAAACACTTTTACTTTTACACTGGACGCGCGTTTCGCTAACCATGTTAGCATCATCAGCAGATGATTATAAACTAAAGTACAATCTACAAGTTGAGCGTTTATATACTCGCTCAGTGGGCACCGAGTGGGCGTGGCAAAATCTAGCCAACCGAGTCAGAACCCACTGAGCGTAACAGTTAGATTTCCGCCACTAGAGTAGTAGGAACAAAGAACTTGAAGGAATTGGACCGTTGTCTCTGTTCATACTATCTTTACATTTATTAATTCTGATGCTTTCATATGCATTTAATTGCCTGTAATTTGAGACTTGTTTAATTAATTTTAAATTATTAAGATCTATACAATGTTCTTTATCAACAATATGTTTGGCAACGCAAGATTTATCCGGTCTACCATATCTTATCTGAGCTAAATGTTCTTTAAATCTAGTTAATATTGATCTTCTAGTTTGCCCAATATATTTCTGATTATATAATCTTTACAAGAAGTTTCATAAATACCCGACCTTTCCAGTGGAGGTGTTTCATCCTTTGGATTACCTAATAAATGTTAATTTATTATTAGCACTATACTCAAGTTTATAATTGGCATTCTTAAAAATTCCTTTTTAGACCACGGGATAACTCTCTATCAAACGGTATCGAAAAATATTTAGATGTATCTTTCTCCACTTGAAAAGTCGAATTTTCAGAAATCATTAACCTATACCTACTTTTCTAATTAATTTATCAACTAGTGAAGGAGAATATCCATTACACTCAGCTACATTCCTAATGTAATCTCTTTCTATTTCATATCTTTCGTTGGAAAGTGGGAAACTAAGTAATCTATGAACTAAGAAATTTAAACTAGCCATTTTATGTTCAACACTATGATGTGATTCGTTAGGAATATATCTGCGTGTGGTCATATTTTTCCTATAAATATCAAATTCCAGGCAATTATTATTATTTTTAATAACTAATACATCTAGAAATGGTAATCTGTCGTTGTTCTCAATTTCATGCGTAAATTTAATGGAAGGAAAACGATTATTTAACTTAGAAATAAAATTATCTATGGTGTCTGAATGTGTGTTAAAAACAGCAAAAATATCATCCACATACCTAAACCATACTTTTGGAAAATACTCAAACTGATCTTTAGCCTCCACTTCAAACCTGCTGATGAATAAATTAGCCAAAAATGAAGACAATGGATTACCCATTGTTGTACCTTCCCGCTGTTCAAAAAAGTTGTTATTAAATTGAAAACAATTTTGTTTCATACATAACGATGTAAGCTCAATATATTCAATCACAGTTTTGTTGTCATTATTAGTTTTGTTGTCCATTATTTCTCTCGATTTTTGACCGACATCTACCACACGCTACACAACCAACTATTTTACAGTCTTTTTCGATAAATCGCAATAGTGTCACTATTAATTTCTGCCACAAAAAAATTCCTTCTAGATTTACTACCTCTATAAACAACTACCAGTTGTACAATAAATAATAAATAACAGTCAAACAGAACTGGCAAGGTTCCCCACCTCCGTCCATGCATGAATACATGGATAGCATTATACTCCTTCCTTAATATTTTTATTCAAAGCCAATTACAACAGTATCAGGGTCCAGGACACAAAATGACTGACAAAAATCCTCCAAAATATTTAGCGTGTACTTCAACGAAAAACAAAAGTACGTGACAACGCCGCATCGATCGACCGCCAAAAAATTCCATCGATCAGCTGATTGTCAATGTTCCATTCGTTTTCGGTCACATGTCGCGGGGTTTTTGGCCAGCACAGGCTCCGAAAGCACGGTGAAATAACACCGATTGCAGCATATTTCGACCTTCACAACATTGTTATGTTCCAATCGAGTGAATATCACCGCTCGAGAAAGATTGCGGTAGACGAACAACGTGCCAGTGGTTCTACTCCAGTTGATCTGGCAAGGTTAAGCCTACAAGAAGAGCAAGAAGACTGATTGCTGGCCAAAATGCTGAACGACGTGTACCGAAAACTCAAGTCAGACATGAACAGCTGGCTGGTCATATCCCTTCTGCTGAGTCTATTCGGGTTTTTGAAAGAGTTGAGACCCTCCGAGCCCTTTATATACGAGTTTTTGATAGGGGAATGGAAGAATTTAACGGAGAGCCAGGTGAATCAGGAGGTTTATCCTGTGGGAACTTACAGCTACTTGGCCCAGCTGATTATCGTGTTCCTTATCACTGATTTGTGCAGGTACAAGCCCTTGATTATAGTGTTAGGACTGACGGGGATTGTGGTATGGGGTATGCTGTTATGGACTACAAGCTTACTGGCCACTCAAATTTTGGAGGTATGTCTATTTATTTTCTTGATTGAAATTTATACAGGAACTCAAAAAAATCAGAGGTTGTTTTATAGATCATAATAATTATACAAATTTAAGTCCAAATAATTAGACCGTTTTTATGACCTAGATAATATTATATTGTTGGCCAAGGTAAATGATAATTATTATGCAATAAAATAGCTGAGTGTGTTAGTCTTCATATCGCTGACATAATGTGATAAATTAATATTATACAATAGCAGACAATAGCTGTTTATTTTTACATATACAGGGTGTTCCTTTGGTGTGTTTTGATGATTAGAAGACGTGTATGAAGTTTCATTTCGATATCTGTAATAAATTAAGAAAAAAAGTTTTTTTTAGAAAAATTTACCACCAATGCATCTCAGAAATTAAGATGTTTAGGATATACATTCACATGAAGTTTTTCTCTTAGAATTGGTCCAAGAATAACGCTCTTAAATATTAGCATGTCATTAAGGAACACCCTGTGTTAAGGAGTTAAATAGCAAGATTATTGACCACAGTACAGAGTGTCCCATTTTCGTGTGTTTACAGTGTTTTTCGTTTATGAGCAGAGATACAAAGATGCGGGTTTCACATCACTATGCTACATTTTTATGAAACAAAGATGCTACAGGTCGATTTGTTCTAGGTTATCCTAGTTTCTGAAATACAGAGATTATTTAGACACACCTTGTATTATGTTGGACAGGGTGTCTCAAACGAAAAGTTAAGACATTTTTTTAAAAAATATATATTTGAGGAATTATTCTGATATTTTTGTTTTTAAACAGTTTTCTGATCCTTATGGTTTATACAGGGTGTCCCAGAAATAAGTGCAAGTATTTTATCTGGTAGTATAGTTTGACCCCAGAAACACGCCCATGAGGTTTTTGTTTGCGAAAAACAATGTAGAAAATTTTATATTTTTCTTGACAATTTCCGCAAAATACTGAAAAACTTTTGAGTGCCGCTTGTTCAGTGTCCGGAAATTTGTTTATAGAGCTTCGAGAGAATGCGATGTTGCCATCTCCTACATTATCCAAATTCTGTATGTTTAAGTATAAAATTATAAGTTTATAAGTTCACATTAAATTTCTACAAAAAATACTTAAATTAATTTCATTGACTGTATATTTTTTAATGATTGTAGATTAAAATTAAGTATAATGCAACGTCTAATGTATTTTAAATATATTTTCTACAGTTTAGTAAACTTAAATGATAAAACTAAATAATGAACAATTATAGTTTATAGCAAATTTTTAACAGTTCAGAATCAGCACCCTGTATGAGATATATAAATAGCCAACGTTGGATTTTTAGGTTATCCAATTCATTTGAGATTTTACTCAAAACAGACCTTTGACAAAACTAAAAAACAAATCGACAAATGTAAGATAAGTCTGTAATAGTACTTTAACCGCAAGGGTAGATTAAATGATACTTTAACAGCGTGGATAGGTTAAAAACTTTATTTCTTCTCGCACGTGTTTTGCTTCCATTTTTGAAAATTTTTGTATTCCTTTTCATAAGTTATTCGGGATTTAAATGGAAGTAGTTTGGATATGGCGTTTGTCGCTTCAGCCTGAATATCTGTTGGTAATTTACTTACTTCGTTTTGAGCCATTTTTGGCTCCAATTCAATCAGCCATCGACACGAAAGAGAATTAAAATATATTGACTCGAAACTGACAACTAACGATACAGCTTTATTTATTTGTCAAATTACATAGAAACCAACGCCAACCCAGCACAATAATTGTTCTACTCGTAATAAATTCCTTGAAATAATAATTTCTAAATATTTTTTAAAACGTAACTCGCTATGGAAAAAAATATTGTTTTATACACGACGATAAAATTGCATTATTAAAAATTAATTCATTCGCCGTTTCATCGCTCGTGAATTAATCTTTTCGATAGAATTTTTGTATAAAAAATAACTATTTATCTGAATTTTCCAAGTCGTTTTTAAATCTTTTTAGTCGATGTGTCAACACCGGGCGTCGAACAAGTTGAGATTCTGGTAATTGCTTGGTATTTGCGACTGCATTTCGAATGCTGCCGGCGGCTCTCAAAATGTTGCCATTATTTTTTTAAATTTTCAAAGTTAAATACCACGGTTAGTATCAATTTATTTTATTATTGATAATAAAGAAGAATACGGGCTAATTAAATGACGCCTAGGGCTTGACCTCGCCAAAATTATCATCGATTGTCATTGTCTAGCCGTCTATGACGCTTTTTTTTCGGTCGTATATGGTATTTACCTCTAGTATTAAGTAAACTACTGATATTCTCGGAAATAACATTATTTTTGGCAGTATTATATTTATCGATAGTTAAATAATAGATTGTAAATCACCAGAAAAAAATGTATATATGTAGGTGCCTTAATCTTTCAAGCTTCCAGATAAGTATTATCTCAAAAAACCTCTACGAATACCACCAGTACATAGTCACAAAAATTAATGAAAAATAAACTGTGTATTTAAAAAAATAACATGTTACGGTTCATAGAATATTTAAAAAGTGTATATTTCTTTCCAGTGTACGTTTTTACTTTTCTCAGAGAACTGAGGCTCTCTGAGGGCTTTTTGTTCCCGTATTTACTACAAAATTTCAGAAATGTCACCGGTGAAACGTTGGTTCAAAGTGTGTATCCCTGGAGAACGTTTGCAGCAACTATTAGTGTGTTTTTAGTGTTATTTTCGGTGGATTTGGTTAAGTACAAGTGCTGGCTAAACGTTTCGTGTATTTTTTATGCCGTGGCCACAGGTTTGGTGATATTCAGCCATAAGTATCTCTCTTTGCAAATAGCACAAGTAAGTTTTTAGTTAGTTTTGAATGTTTTTAAATAAAGCAGGTATTTTACCGGACAGTAAAAGAATTCTTGATATTTTCCGGGATATTTATAAAAAACTTTTGAGAGCCGCCTGGTTGGTGTTTTTTTGATATTCCCCAACGAAGCCTTGCAATGTTGCCACCTCCTACGTTCCCACACTCTGCGTATTAGTGTGTTTTTATAAGTTCGCAGTAATTTTAATTTCCTACACAATGAATTCCGAAATAGCTATTTACGTAACAAGTTGCGAAATGAATGTGTTTTAAGCACGGGACGCAAAATTGTCCAACGAGGCGACAGCCGAGCAGCGTCTTTTCGCAACCAATTTCATACAAGATTTTTTGTGATAAGCGGATAATTTGAGATTTTCATGCTATTATTAGTATTTATTTTTAAATATTTTTTAAAATGTTCTGGTAATCGGTTCCTAAGGCATTGTTTATGCATTATTTAATTGCAAAGTTCTGTCAGATTCAAAAGTTTTGTGAAAAAATGAGTGATAATGACGAGTCTTTGGATATTCAATAAGTTGCCGAAACTGCGCTATCCACGTTAGTGCCCGAGAAGTCGAAAAACTTATACGAGACCACCTACAGCAACTTTGAAACCTGGGTCAAAGAAAAACATGTTGAGAATTTCACAGAAAAGGTATTGCTAGCCTATTTCCTGAAGTTATCAATTACCTTAAAGCCGTCAACTCTGTTTAAGATTTATAATAAATAAATATTTTCATTGTTTCTAACGTTTCATTTTTTACTTTTAGGCACTAGTGCCTAAACAAGTGTCACTTTTAGATACTAGTGCTTAAAAGAATGTCATTTCGAATCTCAAATAAATATCAAAAACTGTCAATTTCGAAACGCTGTCACAAAAAATTAATTTTAATTGTGTATGTCTAAGGAATATTGGGATACCCTTATAGTGCTGATTTAAAGTTATAAATCCTGTATTACATTTTACTTATCAGCAAAATAACTTTTTAAATACCTTGGGCTGAGCGAGCACACAATAAAAAATATTTTTGTGTTTAAAGATAGAGAAAAACAATATATGTACTTTTATTGACTTTTTATCAATTTTATGTCGGATAATATACCTATAATCAATTTAATTATCAATTAAAGTCAAAGTTTATTGTAAAGTAGTCATAAAATATGTAGATATACATAATATACTCGTATCACACGCATATTATGTAGGTATAATATAATACGAATAGCTTATTCAACCATTTCCAATTATGGTGTACCCTCCCTCACATATTTAGATACTTTGTTTGTAGTTGGGCCCATTGTTATCTATTGTTGGCTATGCGGGCCCAAGTTATCCCTGCTAATTTCCTAAATATCATGGTCCCATCTCAGGTTTGGTCCTCTTCTAGGTCTCTCAATTCCTCGTGGGTACCATGCTGCAATTTTTGTAGTCCATCTGTTTAATCCAGTAAAATTGTATCGCCGTATATAGAGAGTGAAAAAAAAATTACGGGCAAGCTGATTTTGTCAGCGACTGTCTTCTGAGTGTAAAATTAACAAAATCTGAAATTTTCCCCTTCCGGTTTTTGAGCAATAGGGGTGGTTTTTTTAATACTGTACTACAACAAAATAATTAGACGCAACTTGTACATAAGAACATTCTCTATAAGTTCGCCTAATGAATTTTTTTTTATAAGTTTATTATTTCCAGACTTAGCGGCCGTTTCATGAGCTCTTTGGGGTGGTTTTCAAAAAGTTTGCTTTACAGCAAATTGACCCGTATGAAAGTTGTTCATAATAAATGGACAAGCAACTTTTCCTCATGATTTTTTTTGTAGCTTGATTAATTTTGGAGATAGCGTCCAGTTCATGGATAAATTAGGGTAGTTTTCAATGTTACTCTTTTTCAGCAAATTCACCTTAGGAAACTCGTTCAAAATAAGCGTACATATACCTTTGCCTCATGAACTTTTTTTGTAACTTGACTATTTTTGGAGATAGCGCCCAGATCATGAACGAGTGGTGGTAGCTTTACAAATAAAAAAAATCATAATATTCATTCACTTGACGAATTCCATGTTTCGTTTTGGGGAAATAAATACATATCATAGGGAAGTTTGCATGTAATTTTAATATGAACACCTTTAAGTTGGTAAATTTGTAGAACTAAACAAAAATTA